AATAACGAGGTTTTACTGTAACTGTACGTTACGTCGTTATTTAATTTGCTTTGAATTTCCTTTGCCGCGCTCATATACCTCCAGCATTTTGGCGACGTATGGAGCGAAAGAAGTTCGACACGCATACGAATCAAGGCTACTCAGGAGTTCTTGAAGTGCATTTTGCTCGGCACAAACCTGTCGCGAGTCTTTATCATTGCAAGTTTGCACACTATGATGTTTTTGACATGTAACACTGTCAGAAAATGACAATGATGTTTTCACTGCCATGGGGATCAATTACTATGGGAAAAAAAATGTTAGCAGACCAGTAATTTAATGGGTACTATAAATATTTATTTACAACTTAAATGATTGTGTTTTCTTTTACAATCATTATTTCGTCAGGAATGTAAGATATTTAAACTCGTTGAATATGGAGTGGTAATCTCGGTACGATGATATTTTCAAAGCGGACGATGCGCTTATCGCGGCGCTGATATCGTAGACACGGCCGAGCCTTTGTGACGATGCATCGAGTCATTCCGAGCTGGGACAATTCGATCATTTAATTAAGGACCAAAAAAATGCGACAACTTGTAATCGGCTGTTTTATTTTGCCCGTGGGTCGATTACTCGGAGCCCCCTTGCGCTGCTGCACGTAGCCAACCGTGCTAATCGCAGGCGAAGGACAACAAACTAAATAGAAAAATTAGCTCCCAAGAAATTAGTTTTCATCCTGGATTTAATCGTGCATTGCTCCAGTGGCTTCCTAATGTCAAAATGAAGAGTGTTCCAGACGGCCGCATTGGCGCATTTGGAACCGCGGCGGTGCAGTGACCGCCTTTGTTCGACGGTCAGCCAGAATCCGCTGCTGCGAGGATAACCGGGGACGGGGGTTTTGTGTTGAGCTATGGGACTGATAGTCCCTGGAGTAATCTGTGACGGGAAAACCTTGCCCAACGACAGCTTTATCGACCGCGTGTTTCGACTATACATGGTGTACCTAGTGATGTCTGTTTTCCCCGAACACGGAGGGTGATGTTCTGGCTCTACGCGGTTTGACGCTGCGAAGATTCTCATCTCCGCGTTGGAAAGTAGTGCCGTGAGAGCGCTGGATCTGTCTGAAGATGTGTGAACGAATCGACTGTGAGAACGATTTATTTGTCGTTTGTGTTTTTGTGCGTGCGTGTGTTTTGACGTGGCGTTGTAACGAGACGCTGCTCCGGCATACGCGGCAGCGGCACAACAACGCAAAATATTCGCGCACATTGCCGTGTGCGTCCGGCCGGCCACTCGTTGAGGACGCTCGTCATGCGGACGCCCACATTGGCGAATCGTTCAAGTGACAGTGTTAGGGGCCAGCATCAGGCTGGCAATTCAGTGTTAGGGGCCAGCATCAGGCTGGCAATTCATTGTTAGGGGCCAGCAGCAGGCTGGCAATTCAGTGTTAGGGGCAAGCGATGGGCATTGGTGCCGTGGTGCGGGCAGAGTGATGCAGATAGGGTCTTGTGTTGAGGTGAAGTAAAGCGAAGGCACACACCACACACACACGAGCAATGGAGAGCGACCCGGCATCCTTTAGCACAATGGCAGAGCTCGTGTAGTATTAGTTCAACAAGGAGGGAGGAGGGGGCGGTGATTTTGGACCCAGGAACGCGACCCGTTGTGTTTCCCAAGAGGTCAACGTATTTGTCGAGCGCGGTTTTGCCCAACGCGGCATTTTGCAGGAACGTAACCGGCATGTTGGGCGAGCTCTCTAGCGACACGCGCATCGCGCGTGCATTAGAATCGAACACTATTTACGGCATATGAAAATTACACGTGCGCACACGATACATTTTTTCCTTGCTGTGGTGTTTTCCCCACCTGATGATGATTGCTTGTGTTGCAATCGAAACGTCGTGATTTATTTTATTTTCTACCCACGTGACTTTACCGAAAGAACCAGAGTATGGATCCCTGCAGTCACGAAAACTTCAAATCTAGAATGATACATTTGTTGTTACGTTGAGGCTAACGGGAGCGAAGACGACCATGAACACGATGAAAAGATACGGACGAGATGGTAAAAATCGAGACAAGGGACAGTCGTGAATCTTGTTCGGTTCACCGAATCGCTGGGGAGGGGCGGACGGATCTTTACGTGTGTCGGACTTCATCGCTCGTGCACACAGTGGCATGGTTCTGTTTTATTTGTGTACTTCTGCTCGAGTTTTTGTTTTCACCACGTACATTTTGAATGGCGATATCGGCTTTGTGCGTGTTTCTATAATGTTTTAATAATATTCGACACGAACATATCCGATAACATATGCGATCACATATCCGATGACATATCCGCCAATATTGTCTGGCAATTGATCAGCATCGATTCAATCAAAGCGTGACGCTGCTCGTGAGAGAAATTGTGTTTAAGCAGAGCCGCTGCCGCTCCTGAAATGTGATGCACTTCCCCGAAGGCCGTGGGGTTGATGGGTTGAGCAAAGACCACTCTTATATATCTATAATATATATATTATATATATTTATATTTTTACGTGGGTAGAGAGTCGGATGTACAAAGGGGAAGCACGGTGGTCTGTATCTGTTTCGTTTCTGCCGAGGTTACTCCCGGCGGGGTCTCTTTGTACAACTCGGGGCACACCTTTGCGCATGCCCTACGAAGACTGCCGCACAATCCACAAAGACCGGAATGTTTCTGTCCCATTTGAAGGGAGCCGCCGAGTGAAGCGAAAGTAATTCGACGCGTTGATTTTGCCTCTGCCGTGTGCACGTCGATGGAGGGCCGTTGCCTGAAACGTCACCTATTTATGTGCCCTTCCTCTTCATAAGGCGTTGAGTTTTGTCGTTGGTTTGTGCTGTTCGCACCACTGCCGCCAACGCAGCAGCAGCAGCGTCACGGAATAATTTGTCGGATCGGATCATTCGTGCGTCGTGATTAATCAGCAGGCCGAGACCATCTTCCATTACCTGGCCTAAATTATAATGAACGCTTTTGCTTACTTAAGAAATATATTCCCTCGGGTGAATTGCTTTGTTGATATTTCAAAGGGAGAGGTCTACCGCTTTGCCGATACCCCGAGCGTCGTCGTATTCCAAAGCGTCCCCGAGACACCATTGTTGACGTGACGAAGTGCGTTTGTGTAAACGTCGTTGGCCGATGTTTGAGAGCGACGTTGAACCCCGGGCAGGCTGATGATATCCCCCACGTGCACCCAGGGTTATTTTAACGTCCGCTGCTGCTTCGAATCAGAATCTCTGCGCTTTATTTAATCCGCCGACATCCAGTAGCGAGCGATGCAGACGGCGGCGCGTCCGCTGTTACGGTGAATCCACGCGACCGCACTATATTAACCAGGGCGGCCACCGCGATCGAACCGCAAACTTCCACCCCCGCCCCCCCACTCATTGCCGGCACCTGGTGCGTTTCCCACCTGGTCGTTCTCAAGGGCAGCCTCGCCAATAACAGCGGTGGGCTCTCGTTGCCAGCGCCGCGGGTGCTATCGGGGTTTTTTCCTCACACCGCCCCCCCCCCCCCCCCCCCGCGTATTGCAGCAAAGTCGCCAATCGGCATCTGACACGCCGGCCAGAATCTCGAGCGTTTGACCGGCAATGGAGCTGCAGTTCCGGCTCCCACAATGCACGCACATCATGCTCTAGCCGTAGTACCAGTGCTAGATGGTATTTTGACCCCACAGAATTTGGACACCAGGTTCTGTAAAGGCCCACTGAGCCGTGTAGCTCTTTTTCCGAAGCGACCTGGCCACAAATGGGAGCTCGACGAAGTGGCTTATCGTCATTGCGTGTAAATTTATAGCACCGGAGAAAAATTCACGTGACCGCGGGGAGAGAGAGAGACGCGCAAACTCTAAATATACAGCAGGCGTCAGGTTCGAGTTGGAACCTACAACCTCCTGTAAACCAGGCGAGGTTGTTAAAATCTGGCCCCCCCTCCGGGAGTCAGGGGGTTCTGATCCCCCCCCCTTCCCTCCATGGCATCAGAATTTAACTGGGGGGGCTTCAATGATTCATATAATTCTGCTCCCGGGGTGGGGAAGGGAGTACTTGAATCGTTTACACGCCTGTTTGTTTTCGCTCCAAGTGGGGTCAAATAGTTCCATGGGGGTGGAGGGAAGAATAAATGCTGCCGCTTTGCATGACGAGCAAGCCACTTGTACTTTCAGATGCTGCCTCTCCCAGCCACTCACTGTAAACCGGTTGTGGTGACCTGTCGCTGCAAGCACGACTCGTTGGAGTGGGGGGAAGTGTCCTTCCGCCCCCCACCACCCCCCCAGGGGTTAGATTGGCACGCTAGAATTGTCTCGCCAAAGCGACCAGTTTGCACTGTCCGATCGATGGATGTTCATACCTTGTTCTGCCAAGCCATCTTTGACTTACACAAAGACCCCTCCTGTAGCCTGACTGTAGGGGCAAGTGCTGTGAGCGAGCACCTATGAAGGCCGCAACGGCACACGAGGGGGGGGGTGGGTGGGCAACACCACGCCCGACCACCTTTGTCTCCCTCGTGGCGATGTTTACACACCGCATTTGAGGCTGAGTCGACCTAGGGGAGGCCCAGGACCTGTTCAGATAGCCGTCACTGGCGTTGGCTGTGAGCGGGAATCCACCATTACATTCACACACGCGTTGTTGTTGTTGTACCGTTCTTGATGTCTCCGTGAAGCACCCAACTCGAATTGAAATGGTTGCGAGTTCAACTTCCAATTCGAGTTGCGAGTCGCCCTCGAAACCTTTCCAATTCTGGGTCGTGTGCTGTAAACCCACCGCGCCACCCGAGCCAGACCAGCCGTAAGCGCGCCGCCGCGCTGCTCGGAATATTCGTTCTGCTGCCACGGACGGCTGCGCAAAAGCTGCGGCTGTTTTTTTGTCATCCGTGTTTCGTCGTCTCGCGAGCCACTCGCTTGGCATTGGCCACGAGTGCCAATTCACCGGGGTAATGCATCACTCAGCCTTGTCTCTCCCCCCCCCCACCACCACCGCCCCACCCCCGTGTGCAGAGCTCTCCTCGCAGGCCAAGCCGCTGAAGACACCGAAGGCCAAGAGAGGGGGCAAGGTAAATGCACTCAAGCTCGTGGTGCCGGCTCGCTATCTCAACGGCGCTGCCCTGTTCGCATCGAAACGAATCTGTAACTTTGACAACATTTTCTTGGTTCTTTCGGTAAAGTCACGTAGAAGGGAAATATTAAAATAATAAAAATAAAACGTAATAAAAATTCTCACGACGTTTCGATTGCAACACAAGCAATCATCATCAGGTGTGAAAACTACAGCAGGAACATTTTAGCTGAAGTGTAGTTTTCACACCTGATGATGATTGTTTGTGTTGCAATCGAAACGTCGTGAATTTTTTTATTATGTTTTATTTTTATTGTTTTATTATTTCCCTTCTACGTGACTTTACCAAAAGAACCAAGACTATGAATCCCTGCAGTCACGAAAGCTTTAATCGAAATTTTACAACATTGACAAAAAAAATCTTGCAATGAAACCCACAACAAAAATATTGAATTTAGCATCGTTGTTCCTCTTGCCTAAATTGCAAACTCATTTCCATAAACCGATTTGTTGTTGTTGTGTTTAGTTTGTTGTCCTTCGCCCGCACCTGCGACTAGCGCAGTTGGCTACGTAGTGTGCGAAAAAAGTTCACCCGCCATTCGCCACGACGTGGCAGTGATGTCACCACGGTGCCCGTGCCAGGCCCCAGGTGCACTTTGAAGCCACGTGAAGTGTCGACAGATCAGGGGACAGATCCACGTGCCATGGGTTGACTGACTCAGATGACTGGCAAATGCACCGGCTGTACCCCCTACTGTGCCAAATTAAACACATACATACTAACTTAGGCCAACCAAGGTTTTTGCATCTGAGGATTTTGCACGGGGCTCAAATACAACCGTGAAATCAGATTCGTGACAAGAACCATTCTGCGCACTTTTTTAACTTGACAAGAGTGACACCACTGATGGTGATAGAAAACAGGAAGAGCCAGCCGCTGCTACTGCCACCACTGCCGCTGCCTCCACTGGGACCGGATCCAGGGGCTCAAAGGTCCATGGGACAAATGTTTTCCAGCAGCCACAAAGTCTTGTGATTTATTTTGGCTTTCCTCGATTGTACTATCGGCATCAATGTCATGACACGAAGTTTCTGTGCGGATCCTTCGCTGAGCAGTTTGTCGTCCTTCGCCCGCACCTCTGATTAGCGCGGTTGGATACGTAGGTTGCGAAACGAGTTCAACATAATAAATACATACGTGTGAGAGAATGGCCCACAGAAGACGATACCACAGAGTTACTTATCAGCTCCTTTCAATTGACCTTTAGTTCACCGTGTGGGGGGGGGCTGGACTTCCTCACCCATCCCGTCGCGTGGCAGCCAAAGCGATATTTTTCATCGTCAGACCTTGAACTCGGATAAATGAAGTGCACAGTTATTGTTCACCGGGCCGTGACCCTCCCACTCGCCACTCACGAGAACCCGGTTCAATCACAGGGGGCCGGAGCCTGAGATTTGAAACCCCGGATCCCAGCCGTGCCTGCTTAGCGCTCTGACCTCTGGGGCCGGCCTGGGCCAGCCGACCTCCTTCCACGCAGTTGAACTTCAATTATTCGGCAGGGTGTGTGAGGCCCCAATTGAAGGAATGCCACGCGATTTGTCCGGCGTCATAGGCAAGTGGCGCTGCGAAAACATCTTGCGAGAAAAGGACTCGCGATTTATTTTTGGCCAGCCCAACGTTTAGTCCGTCGGCGCAGGCCGGCGTTTGAGACGACGCGAGTTCGCTCGCAACAACCGGCGAACTCCCGTCTGCTTTGCCTACACCCCCCCACCTCCACCCCCGCCGTTCCCGTTGCGCGCGCGCCGTCTGTCGCTGCAGGGCGGCGGTGACCTGGAAGACGTCGCGAGCTGGCCCACACTCGGGGAGATCGTCGTCTCAGAGGTGGGGGGGGCTGGGTTTCATACCAGGACAAGGCAAGCAGACAGATGGCTTCATCCCATAAAAATCCATTCTTTACTCCACTCATAAACCACCCAACCGTCTTGGGGTGGTGTGCGCCGTGAGAATTGGCGGCACTGCGCGCACCGTTACACTCGCTGCATGAGACTTGTAAGGAAGGCTGTGTCATCCTCTCGGTGCTTTCTTTCTTGTAGGGAACGTCGTGATCTTTCCCTGGAACTTATTGATATTTTCCCCTGTACATTTAAAACAACAACAAAATTGCCAAATCGTAGCTCTAACTGTGAACTGATCATAATGTAGGCGTGACAAATTAGTGATTAAACATAAATATTTATTGTCACCTGATGGAGCAAATCGGTAAATGAGACAGAAAATACATCCACCACCCTGAATTGGGACGGTGCGTTCGATCGCGGGGCACACACTGTTTCGCCCCATTGAGTCGTGAGAAAAAAAAACACCGTGGGCTCGTTTCCGGCACTCAGCGGCCGGCGAGGGCATCCCCACGAGCTCTGCCGATTGCGGAGATCCGCGTGATGCTGTTACTTGTTCAGACGTTGGCTTGGCCTGTCGCGCCGTTGAGCCCGAGTGAGCGGCCACGCCACCCTCGTTTGCCGCAGGCTCCGCCGGACAAGGCGACGCGGAGGGAGCGGAAGCCCGAGAGCGTCGCCACCGTGGCCGACTCCGCCGCCGTCGCCGCCGACTACGACGACGAAGCTCGCGTCGACGGAGCCGACGCTCGCGACGCTCGGGAGGCTCGCGACGCTCGCGACGTCCGGGACGTTCGCGAGGACGCCAAGCAACCCCGCTCGCCCGTGGCACGCAGGAGAGGTGACCTCGCTGATCACGTCAAGGAGCATAAAGCATCATCGCGCAAAATCCGGTCATCCTCGCAGAAACAGCGGCTTCTCGGCTAACCGTCGAACGAAGGCGGTGGTCACAGCATCGCGCGGCGCGTTCAGACGCGCTTCTGCGGCCGTCTGGAACGCTCTTGCTTCCGATATTAGGAAGCCGCTGGAGCTACGCACTTTGAAATCATCATCTCGATTAACAAACTAATTTCTTTAGAACTGCTTTTTGTGGTTAGTTTGTTGTGCTTCCTCCGCCATTCACGGGTGGCTACGTACGGTGTGAAAGAAGCTCCAACATACGTGTGTACGTGACGCCGCCGATTCTGATGACGTAGAGCAGTGAGTGGTTCCCGGCCTGTGCCACGTGGACCACTTTGTCGTGGGAATCGGTGCGCGGAACTGGGGCCAAAACTACGATGGGGGGAGTTGTTTTGATCGTTTAAAAAATATATATATATCTGCCATCGGTGCGTGGCGGTCCGTGAGAAGATGTCGAGGGTTTGTTGAGAGTTCGTGGGTTGAGAAAGGTTGGGAACCACTGGGTGTAGAGGATCAGTTTTTGATGGTCGTGGTGATGGAAGTGGTGCCGATTATCGTCGGGGTCCACGGTGGTGGTTCTGATGGTGTAGGGGAATTTGGTGGTGGTGGTTTTGATTGTGTGGGTGGTGGAGATAGTTGTGTCGGTGTTGTTTCCGTGGGGAACGGTGGCACAGCGATTAGCGCGCTGCGCTCCGAACCTGGTGAGCAGAATTTCGAAACCCGCTCACGGCCAACATCGATGATGATTATTTGAACCAGTCCTGGGACTCGCCTAGGTCGACTCAGCCTCGAATGAGTACCTGGTGTGCTGTGTTAACATCGCCACTGGGGAGACAAAGGTGGCTGTGTCTCCCCAGTGGCGATGACTACGACGTTTCGCCAGTAATTACAACTAGCTTCATCAGGTGACAGCCAGATTTGTGGAGAAGTCTTAATTGTTTCGTTCCTTATATAGAGGCTTAGATGTGGTGAGCACACTTCTGCGCTCTTGCGCAAAGTGGGTAACGAACAAAGATTTAGCCAAAGATATCTCAAGACTAGCTGAACACTTTCTAAAGAACACCGACTTCTTGCGGCAAGGTGACACCTATAAACAAAAGGAAGGAGCAGCAATGGGCTCTCATTTGTCTCCTGCGATAGCGAATTTGTACGTGGAAGATTTTGAAACAAAAACAATAGCTTCAAGCACACTAAAACCCTCTGCTTGGTTTAGATATGTGGATGACACATTGGTGGTCTGGCCACACAGCAAAGATACATTGAACGCATTTCTAAATCATCTCAACTCGCAAAACCCATCCATCCAGTTCACCATGGAAGTGAAAGCTGGATATTCTGCTCGAAAGGGGTCGAAATGGTAAAATAACACAAAGTGTTTACCGAAAGAAAACGCATACTGACGCCTATCTGAATGCAGTCACACCATCACCCCGCACAGAAATCGGCTCTTATCACGACGCTCATTCATCGAGCTAAGAAAGTGTCAGATGGTGACAGTCTGAGAAGTGAAATTCAACATGTTAAAGAAACGCTGCAAATGAACGGTTACAATAATGCACAAATCAACAGGGCATTAAATGCCAAAACCAAATCAAATAACACGAGCATTGAAGCTGCCCAAGTAATGAAAACGATCAAAATACCGTACATTGCGGGAGTAACTGATAAACTAGCCAGATGTTTGGAAAAACAAATCATGTTCGTGACCAGGCTGCGTGACGCCAGCAACTCGGTAGACTTGAGATTCCGTTTTCGTCGCACGCGTGCGTTGGACGAAGACTCGGATTGAAATTCCTAGATCTGAGTGGTATCGGCTTGGCTCTCACTTGGTTTTATAAAAAGGGCCGGAATGAATGAACGATTGAATTCAGTAAGACCACCTGTGTTGTCAGTGTTCACTAATGTCTGCAGGACCAGAAGCTTGCACGCCTCCACAAAGACAAAGATCCCCCATATACCCTTAACAGACTGTTGAGGCAAGTGCTGTTAGCGAGCACCTATGAAGGCCGGCACGGTACACGAGGGGGTGGGTGGCCAGCACCACGCCCCGGCCACATTTGTCTCCCCAATGGCGATGTTTACACACCGCACCAGTTACTTATTTGAGACTGAGTCAACCTAGGGGAGGCCCAGAACTGGTTCAAATAATCATAACCGGCGTTGGCCGTGAGCGGGAATCGGACTCAGGTCGCCAGGTTCGTAGCGCAGCGCGCTAACCGCTACACCACCGCTCCTCATACTCTCAGACCAATACCAATACCCGCGATTCGCCGCTAAGTGGCGGTGACGTCATCACGGTGCCTGTGCCAGGCCAGGTGCAATTTGAGGCCACATGAAGTGTCGAAGGCTCGCTGACAGGAGGTCACGGGACAGACATTGGTTGGCTGACTGAGATGACCGGTCGATGCACCAGCTGTACCCCCTACTGTGCCAACTTGCTGCATTTTAGCCACCCGGCACTCCACTCGTTGTTGTGAGGATCGTTCCTCTGCCCTTTGTTGTTGCTGGAGGGCGACTGCCTCCAACTGCCCAGTAGCGTCCTTCACGAGTCCTCCTCCACAGAGGCCGATCTTGACACCGCTGGTACTGGTCATCAAGTTTACCAAGTTCCACATCCTCTTGTGCCACATCACTCCATCTCTTCTCTAGCCCATGCCGCGCCTGTTTAGCCCCCTCTATGCGGCCAAACAGTAGCTGTTTGGGCATGCGGTGGCTGGGCATGCGGGTTACATGACCCAGCCCCACAAAGCCACGTTGTAATAGGTTATTCATCAATTGATAGCGCACGTGTTGCTGTGCACGCTCGCACGTCTGTGAGAATCTGTCGATCTGTCCCCAAAGCAAGGTCTGTTTGCGTGGAAACCGCACAAACACAGCGCTCTCTGTGCGTGTGTGTGCGCGCTCGCCGTCTTCGCCGGGAGGTGGGGGAGAAAAAAAAGCGTGCCGAAAGGGATTTTTGTGTTTTCGCGTCGTGAAAACAGAAACGGCTCGATTGCGAAATGAACATCGCGGAAACCAAATGACGGCCGAATCTGAAATGGCACGGGCTTCGAGGTTTCGCGGCGCGAGGACTGCGCCGTGCGCCTGCCTCGTGGTTCAGGAGGGGGGGTTGTGGGTTTGCCAAGGGGGGCAGAGCCCGTGGCTGGTTTCAGATGTTTCTTGCCGCCAATGCGAGGTTGTGGGCGGGAATCGAATTGTCGGTGAACCTCTATTTTGCGTGCCATTATCGCCCTCGGTAAAGGCGTCGGTGCACGTTACAGGATGACTGGGAACGGCACGGCCGCCAAAGTTTGTAGCACGGCGTGCAAACCAATGGCACCGCTCCACCCCAGAAGTCCACGCACGCGTAACAACGACAAAGATGCCCCGTGTAGGCTGAACAGACTGTGGGGGCAAGTGCTGTTAGCGAGCGCCTCTGAGGGCAGGCACGGCACACGAGGAGTTGGGTGGCCAGCACCACGCCCGGCCGCCTTTGTCTCTCCAGTGGCGATGTTTACTACACACCGCTACACTGGGTACTAATTTGAGGCTGAGTCGACCTAGGGGAAGCCAGGGACCGGTTCAGATTATCGTCACCGGTGTTGGCCGTGAGCGGCAATCGAGTTCGGGTTAGTAGGTCAGCAGTGTATAGTAGCGTAGTGTATAGTAACATAGTGTATTGTAGTGTATAGCAGTGTAGTGTATAGTAGTGTAGTGTATAGCAGTGTAGTGTATAGTAGTGTAGTGTATAGTAGTGTAGTGTAGTGCCTCCATAGAACCCAATGTGTTCGCTTACCAACCATTCCCTTGTTAACGACTGGCTGTTTTCGGTCCAGTAAATATTAATTAATGCATTTATTAGCCACCTTTCTTTTAATAGTATGTGTTTATAATGTTGTTAGTATCTTTATGTATTCATGTCCGTTGTGTAAATGTTATAAAGTAAGTTTTCTGGGTGAAAATTGGTAATTTTCGATGCTATCGGAACGAATTAAGCCTTTATAGTGCATTTCCTATACTTGCTTAACGACTAAAAACGAGCGGTTTCGTGAAACCAATCACCGCCGTTCAGAGGGGCGGGGGTTCTGCTGTTCTGACCAGCTTGTAGAACGTCCAAACAACCCCCGTGAGTGACACAAGCTGTTGGGAGGCCCTCATCCAGCAGTGGATTGTCAAGCGGGCCGCCCCATGTCTACCCCGAGTAGGAGGGTGTGAAGTCTAAACTGCTCGTACAAAAAACTCTCCCCTTTGACATTCATGAGATGTCAACTCCCTCGCCGGGTACGCAGGAGGTCGGGGTTCGATTCCTGACCCTGACGCCTGCTGCTGTATATTTGAAGTTTGCGTTTCAACACGTAGGCTTTCACGACCAATATTATCCACGTTTATATTTACACGATCTAACACACGCAAAAAAACCCGTCATGGAGTTTGCATGTCTCTCTCCGTGGTGACGTGGATTTTCTCCAGGTCCTCTGGTTTTTCGCTCCACATTTACATACCGTGTCAACCCCATACTGTCTACCCGTATTCTCGTACAGGGAAATTCAGTTTTCAGGTCCATACGGCGTACAGTCGTTTCAATACGAGGGTATAAACTTGGAGGAAGACTTCTCTCTTGGAGGCGACGCGTTTATTTGAGATGAACAATAACAATAGCAATAGCCGTAACGCTCAGGGCTATGGCCCCTGTTACACTACGGGGTACGGCCCCGTCACCCGGTAACCTAGGGGGAGGTACCAGCCTTCCCTCTAGCGGGCCCTACACATATTCTTAGGTTTATCTTCGCTAAAGTCACGTAGGTAAAAAAATTTAAATTAATAAAAGTAAAATAAAAATGAAAGAAAAAATCACGACGTTTCGGAGGCAACACAAGCTTTTTATTTTTTATTTAACTTTTATTAATTATCTTTTTTACCTACGTGACTTTACCGAAAAAAACCTAAGAATATGAATCCTTGCAGTCACGAAAGCTTCAAATCTAGGGCCCTACACACTCCGTGCTACGCTCTCACGGGTCTTCCGCTACGGACGCTAGGGGAGGCTAGCCTGACCCGACCTAGCCAGGGGTCTCACCGCCGGTCCGCTGCAACCCGGCTCTGACAAGAGCCTCGCTTGAGGGTCCCAGGGTGCTGGTCTCGTCTTCAGGCGTCTTCAGATGTCTTCGGGTCTTGAGGGGATGAACACTGCCGGTCCCGTTGAGAGGACCGGCTTTTATACACAAGTTGGGGCTTACCCCGCCCCTAACCACAGCTTCCCCCGAACCTTCCAGAAGGGTCTGGAAGGGTCTGGAATGAACCGTTGGTGCCCAGCCTTCACCCCTCGGGGGTCTGGGGTCTCTACTCCCGGTCACGGGGTACCCAGGGGGGGGGGGAGGGTTACCCCAGGTTAACCACCACACCTCCCGCTCACTCTCCCGGCCGCCTCCTATCGGCCTGTGAGGGTGGTGACAGTAAGAAGACAGCACCTTGGTATGGCGCTTACAGGAGCAAAAAAAATGTCTATTTGTATGTGTTTCTCCCTTGTGATGGGACTTTGTAGAATGAACGTTGAGATGTATAAGGGGCACGGGGTGACCAACGAGGTCTGAATTGGTCTGTGATAAGGTAGGCAACTGATAAGGGGTTGACAGGTACGCATTTAGCATCAACGTGTGTTTACATGGTTTGGCTGCTATAAATGTGCACGTGATAAGCCACTTCTGTTAAGCTGCCATTTATGGCCGGGTCGGAGCTTTGTAGCTCGGTGGGGGCTTTACCTGCTAACAAAAATATAATAATTGTAACCGTTGATCGGGTCTCGCGGCGCTCACTCGCGAGCCGTGGCCACTGGCGTGCCGCGGCTGAGCGAGCGATGGTCGCCCCCCCCCCCGTCACCGCTCAATCCCCTCGCCGTTTGTCCCCCGCAGGAGGGAAGCAGAAGTGGATTCCGCTGAGCCTGGACGGGCCCTTGCGGTCGCAGAGCGGCGGCGGAGGCCAGCGCGGTGGCACCGGACGATCGGCCTCCGACTCGGCCGCCCCACGCAGACCGGATGACTCCAAGAGTACGACGCGGGGGGGGGGGGGGGGCCGGGGAGGGGGGGGGCGATGTTCTCAATGAGCGGCACGGTTACGCTCACGTTCGGAGCCAAGTTACAAGTGTGGCCGCTCGGCGGATGGATTCATTGTGTAGGCAGTAGGCCGCAGGACGACGTCTTTTATTTGCGGTGAAACGCCGGCAAGCCGCACTGATTGCTGCGTGGGGGGGGGGTGTCTTAAAGTCACAAAGAACAAACAGTACCAAAATTAAATACAAATAGTGCAAAGTGTAGGAAAGGTATGCAAGTAGGTAAACATAAATCAAGTTTATAAGCACAAAGTGCAAACGTGTTTATCAAGGGGAGTGGGGAGTGGGGGGGGAGCGCATTACGGTTCTGGGGGATGTCCGGAGAGAGAGACGGTGACTGCGGCAGTCGCGGTGAAAGGGTATTCAAGGGCTCAACCCGGCGCCGTGTGTAAATATGCAGCATTATAGAGTGTGTGTGTATTTGCACACACATAGAGTGTATATTTCAGTTTAATTTCAGTTTCATTTATTTTGTACGAGCTTTACTACCCCAGCTTCACCCGGGACTTAATTCACCACGCCCAGCCGCCTTTGTCTCCCCAGTGGCGATGTTCACACACCACACCAGTTAATTGTTTGAGGCTGAGTGGACCTAGGGGAGGCCCAGGGCCGGTTCTAATGATCGTCAGCGGTGGTGGCCGTGAGCGGGAATCGAACTCTGGTCGCCAGGTTCGTAGCGCGGCGCGCTAACCACTACACTACAATGCGTTACGCTTCCACATGCGCGGGTCACGTGACAGATGTGACATCACAGCAAAAAATTTATGCATTATTGAGCTCCCCCCCCCCCCCCAAAAACAAAAGTGTATTTTTAAGTTAAAATGTACGCGTGTTTTTTCCACTATGTGTGTGTATGTACACCATTTTTTCGTGCATGTGTATATACACTATATACAGGATATTCATACTCTTTGTTTTTTTCGGTAAAGTCACGTAGGTAAAAAATTCAAATCAATTAAATCACGACGTTTCGGAGGCAACACAAGCTTCCTTCTTCAGGTGGAACCGTCACAGCAAAATTACAGTAAAAAATTACAGTAAAAAATTACTGTAAAAAAATTACTGTATCAAGTGAAGAGAGCTCTAACCTCTCTTCACGCTAAGTAATTTTGCTGTGACGGTTCCACCTGAAGACAGAAGCTTGTGTTGCCTCCGAAACGTCGTGATTTAATTTATTTTCATTTTATACTCTACGTGACTTTACCGAAAAAAACAAAGAGTGTGAATCCTTGCAGTCACGGAAACTTCAAATCTAGAATTAACAGGATATATACATGGCTTCAGTTTTATGTAATCCATAACAAAGACATTTAATTAACACTCGATATCAATGAGCTCAAAACAATTAAATGCAAACAGTAGTAATCACATCTAGATTGAAAACTCATTTGTTTAGAACTGCTTATTGTTGTTGTGTTTGTTGTCCTTACCCCGCACCTCTGATTCGCGCGGTTAGCTACGCAGTCGATCGTCGATAATTATCCGTCGGCTTCGGGGGGAGGGTGGGGGGGGAAGGGTACGTCGGATTTTCAAAGACACCAGGTAATCACGACTTCGTCGTTAATGAAGATGGCTTATGTTTGCATATTCTCGTATGAAATGTTTTTAGGTGTTGTGAGTTTTAAATTATGTTTATTAAATTGGCTTAAGTAGACATACATACAGGCAAAAATAAATATCACGTAGGCTTTCGCGACCAATATCATCGATAATGCAGTTTTTTAGTTAGATCACGTAAATCTATAAATGTGTCATTAAACCCACCACCACCCGACATAGCCATGTGGTGGCGGGTTTAACGACAGATTTTTTTATTTACGCGATCTAACCCCCCCAAAAAAAACCTGTGTTATGAAAAATAGATATCCTACTGTGAAGAGTGACTGTATTTACTGTACCGTACTTATCACTCCGATCTCGAAGACTCCGCATCATGGGGGGTGATGTCCGTAGCGCCGCTACGCTCTTGTTTCAACACCACCTCTCGAGTTTGACGATCGCCGGATTGATGCAGCCTTCAGAGCAGTGCTCCGGCGAACGCCGATTAACACAACGCACTTTTTTGCCGGATCGCACCGTGTATTGTTTTTATCACCGTAGTTATTAGTCATGAAAGATGTATACACGTGCAGTATTGTCATTATTTAAGTTGTTGTATGTAGTGTATCATGTACCGTAGAGAATATTTAACACTGAAATCAAGCGTAGCTACTTTGTATGTCACGCACACGGTGCCGATGGACTGGTTACCGCCTTTGGAGCGGTGTTGCCGGTTTCGCCGGATTGGCACCGGCACTGCCGGATAATGTTGGAAGCTGCCGGACAATCGCGCGGTGCCGGATAATCGATGACCGAGTGTACATACATACACACAACAACAACTGCTATTCGCCACTAAGTGGCGGTGACGTCACCACGACGCTTGTGCCAGGCTATGTGCATCTTGAAGCCACGTGAAGTGTCGAACGCCCGCTGGCAGGAGGTCACGGGGCAGACCCAGGTGCCACGGGTCGACTGACTGAGATGACCGAGATGACTGGCTGATGCACCACCTGTGCCCCCTACTGTGCCAACTTGCTGTGCTTTAGCCACCCGGCACTCCACACACATACATACATACACACATACATACACTCATAAGTACGTACGTCTCTCTCACGCCCCCACCTCCGCCGCAGGCTGGCGCCGCAGCGAAGGGCTGGAGGATGCCGGCTCCGGGCGGGGAGGCGGTGGTGGCGGTGCCGGAGGGGCCTACCGCGGGCGGGGGAGGGGCAGCCGGGCCAGGGGGAGGGCCCGGGGTCGAGGGAACCCGCGCGGTAAACGCTCGGGAGCGGTGTCCGACGTTTCGCTCCGCGTGCCGGGAGCTCATGTCCGTTAATGCGCTCTTGATCTTCGCGAATTTGTTTTTTTTTTGTTTCGTGCCGTCGCGTTTTTTCTGGGGTTTTTTTGCCGTTTATCCAAAACTCTTGACAATCTATAAACGGAGCCGCGTCTGTCTCTTTCTCGCTCTCTCGCTCTCTCTCTCGCTCGCTCTCTCCCCCTCTCTCTCGCTCTCTCTCTCGCTCGCTCTCTCCCCCTCTCTCTCCATCTCTCGCTCGCTCTCTCTCGCGTGCAGTCCACTACGACCACCGCTACGGGGGGGTCGTCCCTTTCCTGGGCGGCGTCGGTGGCGGCAAGAATGGGCGCCCCGCCGCGGGCACGAAGCCTCTGTTCGTCGTGGACGGCTGCCAACCCCCCACCGCACGGAGGAGCCCTCTACTCCGTGGACGAGACGCTGCTCAAGGAGTACATCAAGCGGCAGATGTGAGGCCGTGGCGCGCGGCCGGGATGGGGGTTCACGGCACGGGGCGGGAGTTGAACGCCGAGGGTTTTCCACTCGTAAACTTAAACTAGAAACTGTTTTTTTTTATTTTTAACCAGATAGGACCCGCTGAGCTGGTGGCGTATCATCATTATCATCATCATCGCGTGGAAATTTCTAGCAGCATCCAAATTACTCTAAACGCGTGGTGATGTTGATTCTAAACGATGAGGGGAAAAACCCGAGGACCCGGAGAAAAATCCACGTGACCACGGGGAGAGGAAGACACGCAAACTCCAAATATACAGCAGGCATTGTCGGGGTCGGGATTGAATCCACGACCTCCTGCATACCAGGCGAGGTAGTTAACATCTCCTCGCCACAGCGGCGCCCCTTGTCAGTGGAAGGGCAGTGGTGGAGTGGTCGGCGTTGCTGCGCGATGAACCTTCCCGCCCGAGTTTTAACGCCACTGACGGAGCGGTATCTCAGTCGCTCCCGGGTCTGCCCGCTCACCAACCCGATCCGACCAATGTGGTTAATCGTGGTCAAACAGCACTGCCGCGATCAGCGTGGAACTTGGGGAGACCTTTATCCAGCAGTGGCTTGACAAAGGGGGCCGTGAATTATTATTAATTGACGTGTTGTATACAAGGGGACTCAATTAACCCATAGGCCATTGCAGGCTTGCGATGTTTACCGTGCTGTTAAAATATGCGTCAAATACGCGAGAACTAGAATCGAATCGTGACCCTGTACCGCCAGAGTTGCCTGTGTGCTGTGCGTGTGCTGTGTGTGTGCTGTGTGTGTGTGTGCTGTGCTGGTGCTGTGCTGGTGCTGTGCGTGCTGTGCGTGCTGTGTGCGTGCTGTGTGTGTGGTGCTGGTGTTGTGTGTGTGCTGTGTGTGTGTGCTGTGCTGGTGCTGTGCGTGTTGTGTGTGTGCTGTGTGCTGTTGTTGTCCTGGTGCTGTCTTGTTGCTGTCCTGGTGCTGTACTGTACCGGTGCTGTGCCGTGCGTGACAGCGAGTACTACTTCAGCCCGGAGAACCTGGAGCGGGACTTCTTCCTGCGCCGGAGGATGGACCCCCAGGGCTTCCTGCCGCTGTCGCTCGTCTCCAACTTCTACCGCGTGCAGACGCTCACCACGGACGTGAAGCTCATCCTGGAGGTGACGCCGGGCGACGGCGCCGGATGCGGCCGGAGCGGCCGGCGCCATCGGTCGGGTCTAATATTTTCGGAGGGGGTGCCCTTTACAGAGTCCGTTCTCTCCTAGAACGCGGCGGTGCGTAGCAGTTTGCGTTCCTGAAGAACACCGCGTGATGGAAGGGTCTCGTTATGATTAATAATAGAGGAGATCATCGGTTATCCGGCGGCCGGATTATCACTACTCATCATCGTTGTTCTTGCGTAGCATCGTGTGTTTAGATGTTGTGTATATGTTTTAATGTTTTAGATTAGTTTACCATTTGAAATTGGCAGAAAGAAACGTGCATACATATAAACAGTTTAACACGTGAGCAATAATCATCCATAATAGAGGTTTTTTGGTCAGATCGCGTGAATATATGAATGTGTCGTTAAACCCGCCACCACCCGACACAGCCAACTAGTAAGGGTTGTCACGTACACAGAATGTGGCCAATTCGTCACTAGTACAGCACACCGGTGTGTTGGAGAGCCACATATTGTGGCTTGGTTCTCCAACCAACTCAGCCTCAAATGATTACCTGGTGTGATGTGTAAACATCGCCACTGGGGAGACAAAGGTGGCCAGGCGTGGTGCTGGCCACCCACCCTCTCGTGTACCGTGCCGGCCTTCATAGGTGCTACTCGCTAACAGCGCTTGCCCCAAGAGTCTGTTAAGACTACACGGGAGACCTTTGTCTTTGTATTTATATCGAACGTCTTCCGCACCGTACGTAGCCAAACGCACTAATCGGAGGTGTGGGAGGGACGCAGCAGCTTGGCCATTTAGTTGGTTCGATGCCAAGTCGCTCGCTCACTCGCTCGTTCTCTCTCCCTCTCTCTACCACTTGAAGGCGCTGGAGGACAGCGTGGTGGTGGAGATGCGGGACGGGCGCCTGCGGTGCCGCGTGGCGCCCGAGGTGTGGCCCCTCCCCCCCAGCGAGGGCTGCCCCACCGACTTCACCCTCCTTCTGCACTGCCCCGAGTTCGTGCCCAAGCAGGCGGCACGGGTCATCACAGGTGCGCACGCACGCACGCTGGCACACGCACACGTGCTGGCACACGCGTTGGCACACGCACACTGGCTCATGCTGGCACGTGCTGGCAGGCACACGCTGGCACGCACACGCTGGCACGAGCGCATGCTGGGATGCGTACGCTGGCACACATAGACACGCTGGCACACACGCTGGCACACACGCTGGCACACGCTGGCACGTACACGCTGGCACGCACACGCTGGGAAGCACACGCTGGCCCGCACATACGCTGGCCCGCACATACGCTGGCCCACACACACGCTGGCACATGGTGGCCCACCCACGCTGACACGACGCATGCTCGGTCACGTGGGTCATCCGTTGCTCGCTCACTCGCGCACACAAGCACCCATCCACTTGCGTACGCACCCGCTCACTTATTCACAAGCTTGCGCACACGGCGGTGAGATGTTAACTACCTAGCCCGGTATACACGAGGTCGTGGGTTCGATCCCGACCCTGACACCTTTATATTTGGAGTTTGCATGTTCTCCCTGTGGTCATATTGATTTTTCTCAAAAAGAACCAAAGGCTTTGGCATAAAGTTATGCTTCTGTATGTATGTATGTGTGGTTGAACTTCTGTCGCACTATACGTAGCGAAGGTGCGGGGGATGGACAACAAACTAAACACAAAAGGCAGTTCTAAAGATGTGACTTTTCAATGAAGATGTAAAAGTGCACTCTATTCGGGACTCGCCCTGTAGCAATCCAGGCAAAGTGGTCGAAGGGTTGTCCAAAACTTGGAGACCCCTGTGGAGAAAATATGACTTTATGGGAATATCCAAAAGCACACGTGAAATAAAAAAATAAAAAGCTCGGTCCACGTGGCATCGTAGGGCCGTGAAGGAGGGCGCCAGCATTGAGAGGACAAATTTGCTGCTGCCGATGCTGCTGCTGATGGGTATGATCATGGTGGTGGTGGTGATGATGGTGGTGGTGAAATGGGGAGCGGTAGTGTAGTGGTTAGTGTGCTGAGCTATGAACCCAACAACATGAGTTTGATTCCCACTCACCCCTTTGTGTGCCGTGCCAGCCTTCATAGGTGGTCGCTAACAGCACTTGCCCCGACAGTCTGTTACAGGCTATGAGGGGGACGTTTGTCTTTGATGATGATGGTGGGGATGTGGGTGATGATGGTGACCCTGATGGTGTTGATGATGATGACGTGGGCGATGTTGATGGTGACGTGGGTGACGTTGATGATGATGATGATGGTGGTTGTTACGGTGACGCTGGCAGTGACGTGGGCGATGATGATGGTGACGTGGGTGATGATGGTGACGTGGGTGATGATGATGATGATGATGGCGACGACGATGACGGTGGTGACACTGGCGGTGACGTGGTGGTGCGCAGAGTCGGCCCCCAGCTCCCCGCGCGCCAGCCCGGTCCGCGGCGGCCCGTCGGGCGCTGGCGACGTGGGGGGCCCGTTGTGCCCCCTCTCCCGCGGCCTCTCCACCAGCCTGCCAGACCTCGACTCGGAGCCCTGGATCGAGGTCAAGAAGAAGCACCGACCCTCGCCAGCTCGCGAGCGGGCGGTGAGACGCGCGCCACCCACACCACCCTCCCCACCCACTCCACTCCCCCCACCCTCCCCACCCTCCACACCCACCCACTCCACCCTCCCCACCCACTCCACTCTCTCGCCGCCCTCCCCACCCACTCCACTCCCCCAACCCACTCCGCTCCCCCCACCCACCCCACCCACTCTGCTCCCCCCACCCTCCCCACCCACTCCACCCTCCCCACCCACTCCACTCCCCTCACCCACTCCGCTCCCCCCAACCCACCCCAACCACTCCGCTCCCCCCACCCACGCCGCCCTCCCCACCCACACCACTTGCCAGGTCACGTCTGAAAAAGAGATACACAGTAGCCCAGTGGGTCTTAAAACCTGGTGGAATAAAAAATAGTTACAAATAGTTTCAGTGAATCGGCCGGCCACGCTTTCTGGTTCTCTCCCTTGTTGCCCTAACCCCCTAACCTTCCCTTGCGGGCGACGGGTGGCGATTAATCCCCGGGGCTCTTCAATGCCAATGAATCACTGCCGTCAACTCTCTCTCTCTCTCTGCCTGCAGAATGGCGATGGCGGCAGTGGCTCCCGAACGTCACCGGAGGGGACGTCTCCCCGATCGCGCGAACACCAGAGCTCGCACAGCAGAAAGCAGCAGCAGCAGCAGAACGATCATCATCATCAGAGTCGTAGCCAGACGCCCAGCCAGGCGCGCTCGCACCGCGACGGCGAGCGTCCCGACGACAAGGAGGAGCTCGACTTCCTCTTCGACGAGGAGCTCCTGGAGCAGCAGCCGATGGACGGCCGGAGGAACCACTTCACGGACCCGGACTCGGACTGGGACTCGGACTACGAGATCGACGACAGCGACGTCAACAAGATCCTTATCGTGACGCAGACGCCGCCCCACCTGCGGCGCCACCCCGGCGGCGACCGCACGGGCAACCACGTGTCGCGCGCCAAGATCTCGTCGGAGCTCGCCAAGGCCATCAACGACGGCCTCTACTACTACGAGCAGGAGATGTGGAAGGAGGAGATGGAGCCCGAGTACGCGCAGATGAAGGTCAGAGAGGGGGGCGGCGGTGGTGGCGGTGGTGGTGGTGGAGGCGGTGGTGGTGGAGGCGGTGGTGGTGGCGGCGATGGTGGTGGCGATGGTGTAGGTGGCGGTGATGGTGGTGGCGATGGTGGTGGTGGAGGAGGCGATGGTGGTGGAGGCGGTGGAGGTTGTGGTGGCAGCGGTGGTGGTGGTGGCGATGGTGATGGAGGTGGTGGTGGTGTTGCCGATGGTGGTGATGATGGAGGTGGCGATGGTGGTGGCGATGGTGGTGGTGATTGTGGTGGTGGAGGAGGTGGTGGCGATGGTGGTGGAGGAGGCGATGGTGGTGACGGCGGTGGAGGTGGTGGTGGTGGCGGCGATGGTGGAGGAGGTGGTGGTGGCGATGGTGGTGGTGGAGGAGTTGGTGGTGGAGTTGGTGGTGGTGATGGCGATGTTAGCATCGTAATTGGAATCCGGTGGATTGTTTATTATCCGGCGGCTTCTGGGGGGGAGTGGGCGCCAGAATTTCAAAGGCTCGGGACGATTACTGCTCCATGAAATAAAATAGCTTCTTTTTGCACATTCTTCTATAATATTGTTTTGAAGTGTTATGTTTTGTTTGTAATTGTTTTTAATGTGTTTACTCGATGAAATTGGCATAAATCAACTTACAAATAGACCAAAATAAATATCCTCTTGTGAAAAGTGACTATTTACCATACCGTGCTTACCACTCCCATCTCGAAGACTCCGCATCATGGGGTGTGATGTCCGTAGCGCCACTACGCTCTTGTTTCAACACAACCACTTGTGTTTGACGACCGCTGGACTGATGCAGCCTTGAGAGCAATGCTCCCGACGAATGCCGAATTACACGGTGCACTTTTCGCCGGATCTCACCGTCCGTATTGATTTTATCACCGTAGTTACTAGCCATGAAAAATGTGTACACGTGCAGTATTGTCATTGTTCAAGGTGTATGTAGTGTATCATGTACCGTTCTAATATTTGACACTCAAATCAAGCGTGCCGATTGCCGGACTGGTTACCGCCTATACTCCTTGGTTCTTTCGGTAAAGTCACGTAGGTATAAAATAAAATCAATCTAGATTGGTTACCGCCTTTGGACCGGTTTTTCCGGTTTCACCGGATCGCCCCCAGACCGCCGGATAACGTTGAAGAGAGCCGGATAATCGCGTGCCGGATAATCGACTGTATTTGTTTTATACGCGAGGAATCCGATGAGCTATAAAACTATTTTTCGGCGATATCCAGCGAGGTGTGGACGGGTGGCGCTGGGTGATTGTCGTGGTGTTGATGCTGTGAGTGGTGGTTGGTGGTGGTTGGTGGTGGTTGGTGGTGGTGAGGATGGCGAGCGGTGCTGTAAACGCGTCGTTAAACCCGCCACCACCCGACACGGCCAATTTAGCAAAGGTGTCACGCAAAACAGAACATGACGATGAGTTGCTAATTCAGCACACACACACACCGGCCGTGTGTTGGAGGAGTAAACCACCCACGACATTTACAATTTGAGCACCGTGACATTTAGCTGGTGGAGGAATGTGAGCGAGTGCGTCGCGTGTGGCAAGTGTCGTTTTAAGGGTGCCTGTGATTTAATCTTTCTGCATGTTGTGGATCGTATGCGCGAGCGAGCGACTGAGTGAGTGGAGGGCATCGGTGCTCCTGTAGTCTGTTGCGGGCTTACACGGGCCACCTTCATCTTTGCCGTTCTAGCAAGAGATTGAAAACTTCCGCAAGCTCACGATGATCAGCCAGGAGGAGTTCGAGACCCTGGCTCCCGAGCCTCCCGTGGACCCTTACCAGGAGGTGCCCCCGGGGCCCCCAAAGCAGCAGCCAGGTACCGGCATCGCCCAGCAGCGGATTGAGAATGGCTCCTGGCGATTGCCAGCGACTCGCCGTCGCGAGCTCGTGTCGATCTCGGCCGTTGAATTGCGAGCGGGCGCGGTGGAGACGTTGGTGACGGTGGTGGCGGTGGTGGCGTTGGTGGTGGTGATGGCAAGTGACAGCGTTAGGTGGCGACGGCAGTGATGGTGGTCACGGTGGTGATAGTGGCGGCGACAGTGGCAGTGGGGGAACGGCGGTGGGTGGTGGGGGGTGGCGCTGCCGCCGCTTCCGAGGTTGAGAGTCACGGCATCGGGGCGTGCGCCCCGCTACGCCGGTCGCAACGCCAGTGGCTGCTCTTCCCGCTCGCCCCTTGAGTGACGTCGTGTTCGCTTCACGGCCTGCCCTGTTGAACTTCTTTCGCACCGTATGTAGCCAACCGCGCCAATTGGAGGTGCAGGGGGAAGGACAACAAACTAAACACAAAAATCAGTCGTAAGAAATGAGTTTGTCATTTTAGATGATGATCTAAAAGTGCACAGCTCCAGTGGCTTCCTAATATCGGAAGGGAAGAGCGTTCCAGACGGCCGCAGAAGCGCATCTGAACGCGCCGCGCGATGATGCTGTGACGACCGTCTTTGTTGGCCAGCCAGAAGCCGCTGCCGCGACCGTATTTTCCCTGATGATGGTTTATGCTCCTTGACGAAGAGCAAGCCTGAAAAACCCCGCTCGGTTCCTACCCGCTGTGCGGGCACTCCTGGGTACCCGTGGCTACCTGAACCGATGCAGGGCCCTAGCTGAGATATTCCAGGTTCGAGTCCAGGCAGGCCCCCTGGTGGGTTCTCAAGCGCAGGGGGGAGCCCCCACGGGCTCGGCACGGTCACCAATGATGGGCACCAAAAACAACCCCCCATTGCGTTAATGTCGGTTCTCATCTTAATTTTCGAGAAGAAGATGCAGTCGACTCTTGATTACCCACGGCCGTCCTCCCCGTCATTGGCGCGGATATTCGAGAGTCTGCTCTGCACACAGTAAAACCTCGGAGATCGAGCGTACCAGAACTCGAACACATCGGTGTTCCAACGGTACTTTCGAACATTTTTTGGCCCGGAAACCGAACGAAATTCGGAGGTCGAAGGGGCGATCGCGACTTGAAAGAACCCATACGGCTGAGACGCGCATGGCCAGCGTGCGTGACGCTTGATCAGGCAAAGGTTTTACCGTATGAGAGGCTCGGTTAACACGTAGCTCTCACCCAGTACAGTTACCCACAAAACACCGTTCCTGAACTTTTTCGTGAATTTCCTTTATTTTAATGTTTTTTGGTGTCTCCTAAGAAGATTAGTGGTAGTGAAGTTAAATGTTCATTTATTTAATTTATTCCATATATTTATTCCATTTAGTTATTTTGCTTGGTTTTTTTTGTATGATTTTATGCATGTAATTACTGTAAACTTAGTGTAAAAATGCTTTATAATGAGAGATTTCTTGTGTGTGGAACCAATTAATGTCATTAACATTAATTCTTATGGGGAAAATTAATTCGGTGTTCGAATGGCCTTCTGGAACGAATTAAGTTCGATCTCCGGGGTACCACCGTATATTGGTTTGATTCCTGCGATGAAATGTCACCCTCCACGCAGCAGGAGGGGGCAGCACTTTGTTGGGGGCAAGTAGTAGCTCTGTGATGTCCGCTTCTTCAACAGCAAGGGGGTTGCCCTGCTCTGCTCTGCGAGCGATCCAAACGGATTCTTCACAATCGGATTCTTGGTTTAGACCACAGAAATCCAATGAGTTTGAGCCTCTTTTTTTTCCCCGCGGATGAACCCATGACGTCACGCTGGTTGCAACAACCAGGATAGAATGGTTGAAAAAGGACGAAAAAGATGGTCGTGTTAATGGCGACAGCGGTGATGCAGTGATAATGGTGGCAATGGTAGTCGTTTGCCGATGACTGGTACCAGCGGTGTCAAGGTCGGTCGCTGTGGAGGAGGCTCGTGAAGGATGCTGCTACTGGGCAATTTGGGGCAGTCGCCCTCCAGCAACAACGGAAGGCAGAGGAGCGACGCTCACAACAACGAGCGGAGTGCCGGACGGCTAAAACGCACAGTAGGGGGCACAGGTGGTGCAACGGCCAGTTTGCTCAGTTCGGTCAACCCGTGGCACCTGCTGGGTCTGTCTCGTGACCTGCCGACGGGCGTTCGACACTTCACGTGACCTTAAAGTGCACGTAGCCTGGCACGAGCGCCGTGGTGATGTCAGCGCCACTCAGTGGCGAATGGCGGCCGTTGTAATGGTAGTCATGGTGGTGCTGGTGAGTGACGGCGATGGTGGCCACTGGTGCTGGTGGTACCAGTTGCAGTAATAGCGGTGGTGGTGACGGTTGTAATTAGACACGTGGCGACATTTGTTCATCCATTGCAGTCGACACTTACGTGAGCGGTGCGTGTATCGAATCGTGCGAAAAGGCGGAATCATTTAAAATTCTGCGCTGCTTTCAAGCTAATGGAGTGAATTAAAACTACACAAAGGAGACCTCAGAAGCAGGAAAGACTACAAACGGGGTGGTAAAGAGAAACAAAGACAAACGCAACTCCCAATCACGATAAACCGTGAGCGTTAATTGATGCGTGCCTGCCTCTGGCGTGTGTGGTAGCATTGCGGTCGTGTCGGTGATGATTTGTGGTAGTGGTGGTGGCAGCGGTGATAACAGTGGAGGCCGTGGTGGCAGTGACGTTGATAACACTGTAACACTATTTTATTTGTTCCTGGGTAGTAGGTGTTATTTCCTAATTGCGTCTGCTTCAAAAGTACAGAAAATGTCTATTATTCCCCACAAACTTTGCTGTTGTGACCAGGGCAGTGATAATTAGAAATTTACCTATTTTCAATGAGAAAACGGGAGAATGTGTGTCTTTTCGTTCACATAAAATCAGAAAAAAACAACGTATGAATCGAAATTAACATGTTTTTACACTAAAGTATCACGTGTGCTGGCGTCCGCAGCGCCCACAGACGAGCTGGCGACGCGTCTGTTCGGCGCCGCCGGGCCCCCATCTCCCGGCCTGGCTCGCTCCCTCCCCACGGCCGTGCCCGAGTCGCCGGCCAGGAGGCCCCCGCGCACTCCGCGCACTCCGCGCACCCCCCGCCTCATGGACCCCAGCAAGACGCCGCGCTTCTACCCCGTGGTGAAGGAAGGCCGCGCCATCGACAACCAGGTGGGGCAGCGGCGCCCGGCGCGTCGCGGACGTGTGGGGAGCGGCAGCGCTGCTGTTGGCGCCGCGCTCCGAGGCCGGCGACCCGAGTTCAATTCCCGCTCGTGGCCAACATCGGTGACGAATATCTGGACCTGTCCCGGGCCTCCCCCTATTTCTACTCGGTCTCAAACGAGTACCTGGAGCGGTGTGTAGTAATCATCGCCACTGGGGGAGACAAAGGCGGCCGTGCGTGGTGCTGGCCACCCACCCTCCTCGCGTGCCGTGCCGGCCTTCGTAGATTCTCGCCCGCGGCACTCGCCCCCGACAGCCCGTTAAGACTCCACGGGGGAGCTTTGTCCGTGTCGACGTGTGGACACGCCGGCACGCTCAGCTGGCCGCGCTCGTCCCCGCGACCGGCGAGGCGTGAGGATGCCTTCGTCCAGCAGTGTTTGGCTCCCCAAAATATCCGTGAGGCTGCAATTGTTTTGAGGCTGCGGTGCAGGAAGGCGCACGACAAGCTTTCATCATCGGCCGTCATTGACGATCTGCTGACGGTTGAAGGCCTCCCCCTCCCCTCCCCAAGCCTGTCGCCGTCTCTCTCTACGGTGACATTCACAATAAACTCCCTCCCTCCCCGCCGCAGACCCCTCGCAAGAAGAAGACGCGGCACAGCACGAACCCACCGCTGGAGAGCCACGTGGGCTGGGTGATGGACGCGCGCGAGCACCTGCCACGAGGCTCGGCCGCCGGGTACGTCCAGGGGGGTCGCAGGGGGGTCACAGAAGGGTCACAGCTGGGTCACAGCTGGGTCACAGCTGGGTCGCAGAGGGGTCGCAGCGGGGTCGCAGCGGGGTCACAGGGCCATAGACACAAGGTCGCGTCATTACTCAGGGCTGTTCCGCTCGAGTTGCACGTTGCACTCCGAACCTGCGACCCGAGTTCGATTCCCGGTCATTGGCGACAGCGGTGAGGATTGTCTGAACCGATCCCGGGCCTCCCCTTGGTCGCCTCAGCCTCAAATGAGTACCGAGTGAGGTGTGCGGTAAACATCGCCAGTGGGGAGACAAAGGCGGCCGAGCGTGGCTTTGGCCACCCCCACCCCCTCGTGTGCCATGCCGGCCTTCATAGGTGCTACTCGCTTAACAGCGCTTGCCCCGACGGTGCGTTAAGCCTACACGAGGGATCTTTGTCTTTGTCGCAGCGCGAGCGCCAGCCCCGCGGATGGCGCCGGGACGCCGGCCCCGGGCAGCCAGAGCGGCACGCCGCAGTCGCTGCCCAAGTTCCAGCACCCGTCTCACGAGCTGCTCAAAGACAGCGGCTTCACGCAGCAGGTCTACCACAAGTACCACCGCAAGTGCCTCAACGGTGAGCACCGCCGGCGGATCCCAATCCTGCTATGGCAGCCGGGCAGCAGGGCAGACGCACGCTGGCGGCTTCCCATCCTCGCAGCGGCGACGGCGCGGCGGCGCTTTCAGATGCGCTTCTTTGGCCGTCTGGAACGCTCTCTTCCTTCCGATATTAGGAAGCCCACTGGAGCTACTCACTTTTAAATAATGATCCAGATTGATAAGCTCATTGCTTTAGAACTGCTGCTTGTTGTTGTTGTGTTTAGTTTGTTGTCCTTCCCCCGCATCTCCGATGAGCACAGTTGACTACGTACGGTGCGAAAGAAGTTGTACGTACGCACGTGACGCCGGGCACGGCGGCGGCGGTGCCGGCGATTCCGATAGCGTCGAGCGGTGGTTCCTGGCTTGTGGCACGCGGATCACTTTGTACATCGTCCGTGCGTAGTTTGATGGGGGGAGGTGGAAAAGAAACGGGGTGGCCGTGTGTGGGTTGCAGAGCGCAAGCGACTGGGCGTGGGCCAGTCTCAGGAGATGAACACGCTCTTCCGCTTCTGGTCGTTCTTCCTGCGCGACCACTTCAACCGCCGCATGTACGAGGAGTTCCGGCAGCTGGCGCTGGAGGAGGCGAGGGAGGGATACAGGTACTCTTTAAAAAAAAAACTTTAACACGTAGGAGGCTTTCGCGACCAATATTATCCATAATACAGATTTTTTGGGTTATGTCGCGTAAAAAAACAATCCATAATAAAGGTTTTTTGGGTTAGATGGTTTAAAAAATATCCATAATACAGGTTTTTTGGGTTAGATGGTTTAAAAAATATCCATAATACAGGTTTTTTGGGCTAGATCTCTTTAAAAAATATCCATAATACTGTTTTTTTTGGGTGAGATCGTGTAAATATTTACGCGCTTCAAAGCCTCGTCTCGTACCCCCGTCCCCCGTGTGCCACGCACACCCGCTGCGCGGCTCCTTGCGCAGGTACGGCTTGGAGTGCCTCTTCAGGTTCTACAGCTACGGGCTGGAGAAGAAATTCCGGGTGGAAATATTCCAAGACTTCCAGGCGGAGACGGTTCGCGACTACGAAGCAGGTGCGCTGCTGGGGCGGGGTCGTGGGTCGCGGGTCGTGGGTCACGGGTCGTGGGTCACGGGTCACCCCGTTGGTGCGTCTGCCGGCGGGGTTGAGAGGCGTGTGGACTGGCATGGAGAGGGCGGCGCGACGAGAGGTGTGCACCCGTGTGTGGTTGCCGCCTTGGGAGCGGGAAAACGTTTCCCCGGCGTGTCGTCGTCGTCGCCGCCGCCTCTTGCGCGCGTGGGGGTTGTTGCTCCAGGTCTACTCTCATGTCCAGCCCACGGATCGAGTCGACGATCTGTCGACCCGTCGACTCACATGGCTCCACGGTGCAGCCACGTGCGGCAGCGTAGCCGCCAAGGACAAAGATCCCCCGCGCAGCCTTGACAGACTGTAGGGGCAAGTGCTGTTAGCGAGCAGCGCCTGGCACGGCACACGAGGGGGGGGGGGAGGGGGGTGGCCAGCACCACGCCCGGCCGCCTTTGTTTCCCTCGTGGCGACGTTTACACATCGCACCAGGTACTCATTTCAGTCGGCCTAGGGGAAGCCTGGGAACCGATTTAGATAATTGCCACCAGTGTTGGCCGTGAATGGGAATCAAACTCCGGTTGCCGGGTTCATAGCTCGGCACGCTAGCGGTTACACTACCGCTCCCATTAGGAGAAGCCCAGAACCAATTCAGATAATCGTCACTGGTGGTGTTGGCCGTAAGCGGGAATCAAACTCGGGTCGCCGGGTTCGTAGCACAGCGCACTAACTGCTACCGCTCCCCATCACCGCCCAGCTCCTCCAGTGCCTGCTCACGGCACTCACAAGGAGTTGGCCAGATAATTGTGCGTGCTTGCACAGGGTGACTGCATGTGCGCACGTGTGTGGAGAGGTAGTTTCGTGGTTAGCGCACTGCGCTATCAACCCAGTGACCTGTGTTCGATTCCTGGTCGGCGGGTAAGATCATTGGGGAATACATGAACCGGTCCTGGACCGCGGATAGGTCAACTCGGCTTTATATGACTACGCAGTGTGCCGGAGAGACAAATGCGGCCGGGCGTGGTCCTTACCACACCACTCCCTAGTGCGCCATGGCGGCCTTAATAGGTGCTCGCTAACAGCACTTGCCCCAGCGGTTTGTATGACTGAAGGGGAGATCTTTGTATGTGTGCGGTGGTGTAGCGGTTAGCACGCTGCACTACGAACCCGGCGACCCGAGTTCGATTCCCGCTCACGGCCAACAACACCAGTTATTGTCTGAATCGGTACTGGTATAGTAGTGTATAGTATAGTGGTGTATAGTGGTGTATAGTAGTGTATAGTGGTGTGGTGTAGTGTATAGTAGTAGTGTATAGTGGTGTAGTGGTGTAGTGTATAGTAGTGTATAGTGGTGTAGTGTATAGTGGTGTAGTGTATAGTGGTGTAGTGTATAGTGGTGTATAGTAGTGTATAGTGTGGTGTAGTGTATAGTAGTGTATAGTAGTGTAGTGGATAGTAGTGTAGTGGACAGTGTATAGTAGTGTATATACCAGCTGTGTCGGGTGGCGGAGGGTCACGACACATTTATACTCACAGCGATCTAACCCCAAACACCTTTATTAAGTATCGTGCGTGTGTTCGAATACACAAACACACACCCCGCGTGCGTACAGGCCAGCTGTACGGACTGGAGAAGTTCTGGGCCTACCTCAAGTACTCCCAGGCCAAGCACGTGGACACGGACGCGCGGCTGCAGGGGTACCTGCGCAGCTTCAAGAGGCTGGAGGACTTCCGTGTGGTGGTAAGAGCCTCCCCCTCGACACGCCGGCGGGAGCGTCTGAGTCAAAAGCAGCACGCCGGCCTCGTGGCGTGCGCACTCCTCGCTGAGATTCGGGAAGACGGCGAGAAGCGGCGGCAACAACCATCGGGCCAAGCTCTGAGGCCCAGTCTTGTTTGGGACACGTTGGGGCCTTTGTTTTGCTAAGTTGGATTCCCAGCCACGGCTCGCATCAACGATGAGCGTGACATTTGAACCAGTCCTGAGCAACCCTTCCACCCCCACTCCTTTCTCTCCCCCCCCTCCCATCACCCCCCCCCCCCCCTTCCATCACCCTTCACCAGGCACGCACTGACCGGTGAGGTGAAATATCATGTTCAGGCAACGCCGTGTGATGCACACAGCATTGGGATGGCTTCATCCAGCAGTGGATTGACCACGGTCTACTTTGTCTCGTTGGGGTTCTCATCTGCTTGTGAACGTTATAGGTGTTTATTTTAGAGCGTACGGAAAGTGCAGCAGTTGTACGCATTGATGTCTCTGCAGGGCGCGTGGCCACAACTTTCGATTCCCTTTTTGCTCCGTAACGAAACGGCGTTCGGTGCGCAATCGACAACCCACGAGCCGTTATCGTGTTTTGGGCCGCGTCTTCGAGCGAGCGAGCTAACGAAGGAAACCTTTTTATCTCGTTGTCCGCCAGCCCCCCATCGGAGAGGAGGGCGGCCGAAGGAAACCGCCTGGACCGCCGGCGCCAAGCGGAGCGGCGGCGGAGGAGGCACCCGCCAGGCGGGCGTCGTCGGCGTCGTCGTCTGGCGCCAGGCCGGGCCCCGGCGGGGGCGGCGGCGGCGCCCGCGCCGGGGCCGCTCGCGCTCCCCGCTCGGTGGGAACGACGGCGACGTCGCAGCGAGCGGCCGATCGTCCCTCCGCCGACGCCGCCGGCCGACGGAGTTCCACCGACGCCGCTGCCGATGTCACCGTCCAGGCCCCGGGACGGGATGCGCCGCCGCGATCCCAGAATGCACTTGGAGCCGCCGCGGCCGCCGCCACCGCAGCTGGCACCCCCCTGTAGCTGCGCTGCGCGGAAGGGAGACTCGGGAGCGGGAGAAGTCGGGGACGTGTCCTGCCCCTCGGCGTCCCGCGACGACCGCGATGGCGATGACGCGCTTGCAAGCGTCGGGGGGGAACACCCCTGCCAGCGGACGAACTGTGCGGCTGTTAAATTCAAGAAATGGGGACAAAAACAGACACGGGACAACCCAAAAATAAAGGGAACAATTCTGGCAAGAAGAGCTTCTCCCCCTCCGTTGTAGGAAGTCGTTTGCTTGGCACCCGGCTCGTTTTCAACGCGAGCGGGTCGAACGGCCGCCCCCCGACTGCACGTCAGCGCCGGATTCCGTCCTCCCCTCGCGCCCTTCCCGCCCTCGCCGCTTTACGACGACGAGCGGCTCGACCGGCGCACGACGGGGGGCGACGGGGGCGGCTCTTCGTTCCGCGTCACGTTGGAACGTCGCGCTGAGGGGGACGAGGAAAATTTGGCTTGCGACCCGCTCGAGTGCTTCGTGTTTTGTTTCAACGTCGCTCGACAGATCCACGTGCCCGGGATTCCTTTTCGGCGGTGGAGCAAACGCGCCGTTCTGTGCCTTGCGGTTGAGGGTGACGCAAACCCGGTGGCGCCGTGCTCACGGTGGAGGGTGGTGGGCCAGGTCAGGTGACATCGGCGCACTCGGGGTGGAGCCTCGCCAGTGACGACGAAAATGCCTCGGGCGCAGAGAAGTTTAAAAAGCGGAGTAATATATTACCTAAAAACAAAATAGAGATGGGAAAACTCTAAAAAAAACCTTAACTAATATATCCAAGTCTTCCCCGACTGCTGCAAATGCGGTTTAAATTATCTTCAAATTACTATGTACGTCGAGATGATTATATTAAGCTTTTTTTTTACAAGCCAAGGTTCTAAGGAATGTTCACTCTTCACTTCAATGCCAACCCTGGCAAAGATAAACAAAAACACATTTGCGAGGTTAGGCTTGCTTTTTTAGCGAGACGTAAAAAAAAAGAATTCCGTTCAGATGTCGGGACGATGCCAAGGCCGCGGCTGATACGGACCCCCCCCACCAAGGTGAAGGGCATCGCTTGAAGGGCTCGGCCGATTTGGACATCGTGTTTACCGCGGATTCCAGAGGTTGCTCTAGGCCTCGGCACATCGGGCCGTGCTTTGCTGCCAGAAGCAAGCTTCCCCTGCCGCGCGAGCGAGCGAGAGCGCACGCCGTTGGCTACCTACGGCGCGAAAGAAGGTTCGTCGCACGCACGCAGGAGCGCGGAGATGTGAGCGCACGCAAGCGTAGGACAATCCGGAACGGCGGGGATGTGGGAGCGGAGCGGGTGTGACGGGTGACGTCCACGTGGCCGACCCGAGGCGCGGGGGAGCGGGAGCTGCGCGGGCTGGTGAGAAGGAGGCGGCGGGGGGTGCCGAATTGGCGCTGCTCACGGGAGCGCTCTTGGCCGACGGCAAGACGGCGCAGCCTCCGAGGAACGTGGTCCACCGTGACCACGAGCAGCCACATGACGAGAGACACCGCCGCTGCCGCTGCCCCGACAAAGACGGCTGAATTTGAAAACGCACCCCCAGTGTGTTTCTTTTTGGCAAGAAAAATAACAAAAAATCTGGGCACACGCTTCCACGCACGCAGCAGCAGCCCTCCCCCGCCACCGGCGGCGGCGGCGTTGTTGCGAGGCCGATTTAAGGGGCACACGAGACGTCGCGATAGCGCCTTCGCTCGACGCCTTCCTGCGAGCAGAGAGCCCCCTTCGCCAAGGTGCGGCGGCAGAGACGTCGACGCGGCGTTTCCCAAGGGAACCTCTCCAAGCTGCAGCTTCCCATCGACGACGATTATCCCTTGCCACCCCCCCCCCCCCCCGCGTTCTGTCGCTTGTTTTTTTTGCTAGCGATGGCGCGGAACGGATAGATGGACGCACGGATGCACAGAGGGACGGACGGATGGACACACAGATAGACGCAGGGACGGAACTCTGACCCAATGTGGGGACGCGACCACCGTGGCATCGGTTGGAGTAGCGGCGCCTGCCCGCCCCCCCCCCCCCCCGCATTCTCTTTGCGGCCCAGCTCCTGGGGCCCCCTCCATCACGTGGACCCTGGTGCGGTGTCCACCGCCTGAACACTCCGCCGTAGCTGCGTGTTTACCCCCCGCTGGTAGCAGTCCCTCCCCAAGTGAGCAAAATGTCCACATTCCTATGGCGGGGAGAGTTGACCCCAGTGTTGTCACGCACGATACAAGCACCCGGTGACCTCCACAGATCCATAAGCAGCCCTTCATCATTTTTTTTCTTACTCGACCACCGCCGAGAGACGTGTGATGGGCTGCGTGTGTGAGGGTTGCGAGGCCGCGGTGCCACGCGGCCCGTGGTGCGAGCCGGTCTCTCAGTCTCCCTCGATCCACGCGGTCATTTTACCCCGGGCGTTACACTGACCACCGCGCGCACACACACACACACGCACACGGAACGGAGCTTTTAGTTTCTCGGGCAGGTGGTCGCTCACCCTCGTGTGCGTTACGTTGATCTCCGTCTCGTTGCTCAACAAGGTGTTTGCATCGCTGCCATTGCGGCCGACCCGTAAGGCAGCTATACTGGGGGTGCTTCTGTTCTGCCTAATCTGTGCATCGTAATAATATCGCTGTTTTTCTCTTGGAGAGATAACGACTGAAATACATGTTGACATCCGACAAAAAATCGAAACTGGCGATTGTCCAACGCAACGTGGTTGTCGCAAAACCACCTGGGCCTCCAAAGGGCTCAGATTGCTGGGGTTCAGCGAAGCCGACAATTTTGAGCCACGGCTAAAGGGGAGGGACCGCAGAAGACTTTTCTACCAAAGTAGCCGGGAGTGGATACCAAGCCAGCCACGCACGGACGCCGCGCTTGTCGCGAACCGCAAAAGTAAACTCGTGTGCTCTTGCTTCCGCCGGCGATCATCTGACACGATCGATACGATCTATCCCCGTTTGACATGATCGCCACGGTGGCTAGGAGATGTTCACTCCCCCGCCTGGTATGCAGGAGTTAGTGAGTTCGATCCCGACCCTGACGACCGCTGTATATTTGGAGTTTGCGTGTCTCTCCCCGTGGTCGCGTGGATTTTTTTCCCCTCCACATTTAGAATCGACGTCACACGTTTGGAGTATCTGGCTGCTGCCATAAATCTCCACACGACGAGAAGCCACTTGGCTGAGCTATCATTTGTGATGGCCAGGTTGCGTCTGGGAAAAAAGAGCGCTACATTGCTCAGTGGGCCTGACCTGGTAAAATAAAATAAAAGTGTAAAAGTTGTTCTATCCCCTTGCGTGTGACGGCAGTGGCAGCAGTGTGCTCATCAGCGCCATGCCACTGTCGAGATCTGCTGCCACCGGCCGCGACAAGAGGGCTTCATGAGAGAGAGTTGGTGTCGTTTTGCTATTCCTCCTCCGTTGAGCGAGCGCCAGCGACATTGAGCTGATCCACTCGAAGACCTCGTCCCCCCATCTGCACGTGGCCGTTACAAAAAGGGCCTCTCTTTTTGTCGCCATTCAGCTCCACCCATCGCACCTGGGTTCGTCTCACCGACGAAACCCGTTTCTACCGCTCGCCGGCGGCACGAGAGTTTGCGTTTTTGGCGATCGCGACGGGTGGAGGCCACCGCTAGAAGTGGGCCACCGGCTCTCAACCCCCCCCCCCTCGGGTCACCGATGGCGAGTGCGGTGACAGGAAGATTGCAACCGCACGCGCTCGCTCGGGCACATCTGTGATATCATCTTTGTCAGCGTTCATCTTTTGAGGATGGGCCTCTTCAGTCGGTCCCCAGCTCTGGGCCCTGCGGTGCGACGCGACCGGTTGGCTGCCCGCTGCGTCGCCGCGTGCACCTTTGGCCGTCTCCCGCTCCTTTCCTTCGTCTCGGCCACTGCCCGCCGTCCCTGCTGAGCGATGTTGTCGTGCCCAAGCGCCGCTTACATTTTTCCGTGGCGAGTGCGGCAGTTTTGAAACTGGCTTCTGTACGAAAAAATCGATCATTTGCAGCGATTTTCCTCTGAAGTCGTTATAAGAAGCGTTTCCTGGACCAAGCGCGGCTGTTCATGTTTTAAAATTCCCCGGCGTGTCCCCACAATGCACCTTGTGTCGTGACGCGGCTTAAGTGCCGTCTCCCGCAATGCACCTTGTGTCACAGTATAGTTTTAACATGTTTAATATGTACAGTACATTCATAACCACAGTGGCGTCACTGGGGACAGGTCATGTCCGGCAATCCTGGGGGGGGGGGGGGGGGGACTTCAAATTACCTTTCTCTAATGAACGAAGCTCTCGCCAAGGCAGGCAATGGACGATGCTGGGTCACCCCTACGCATGCATCTTCTAGAAAATAAGAGAATTGTTCCGAGGTTGCATCCCTCCTTGACAAAAAAAAACCTCGCATCTCTCAAAAATAGTTTTGTTTTGTACGAGCAGTTAGGTGATTTCTTTCTTTAAAAATGTTGCCACGTTCTTGAGACTTCACACCCCCTCCAGACCTCTGTTTGGATATCACGCGCGCGACGGCCCCTTCCGAAAATCGACGCCGGTGCGGGTCGTAGGGTTTTACACGACCCTCCACGTCGGTCAGGCGGCGAGAGGGGGGGCCGTAGAAATACAGCACAACAGCGGACGGCGTCGGCGCCGTCGACGGTAACCCTTGCAACCTCGGGGAGTGCCAATCTGCCGTCCCGCGCGGTGGCGGTCGCTTCGTCCCGGGAACTACCCAAGCCCGGCTTTGGTTTTGCCCCGGGAACGGAGGAGAGAGCCGCGGGGCCCATTGGAGGCCCACCGGTCATCTCGTCGCTCCTCTTTCGCTTGGAATGCGTTCGTTTTTTGGTTGTTCACCGCAGCGCCTTGGTGAAGCCCCAGTACGTTGTGGCTTGTTTACAAAGAGGACACGGTAGTTTAGTGCGAGCGTGTGACTGACGTGCGTGTGACTGTGTGTGTGTCGCCATTAAATATTGGAGGGCAGTTGTGGAGAGTTTCCCATACCTTGGCAGTGTGCTCATCATCGGCTCCGGTTTAACAGCAGAGGGTCTCATTCCGAATCAGTCGAGCGGCATGATCTTTTCTTCGGTTGCGTAACGCTGTGTGGAAGCTACCTGGTCTGTCGCTCCGCACGAAGCTTCAGGTCTTCTCGGCCACAGTCATTCCCTCCCTTCTCTACGCTTGCGAAACGTAGACCCCCCCTAATGGAACATCTTCGCCGGTTAGAAACATTTAGGCTGGCCTGCCTACGATCCATCCTGGGTTTAACCAGGCTGGATTGTGTGAGGAGCTCACAAATGCTTGAAAGATGTGGACAAAGTCCCATCGGTGAGCTCCTCCGGCAGGCAAGGCTGTGTTGGCTGGGTCATGTAGCCCGCATGCCCAGCCACCGCATGCCGAAACAGCTTTTGTTTCGCCGGATCGAGGGGGCTAAACGGGCGCAGCACGGGCTCGAGAAGAGATGGAGTAATGTGGTACAGGAGGACGTGGAGCTGAGTGGACTTGCCGATGACTGGTACCAGCGGTGTCAAGATCGGCCTCTGTGGAGGAGGCTCGTGAAGGACGCTACTGGGCAGTTGGAGGCAGTCGCCCTCCAGCAACAACGGAGGGCGGGGGAGCGACGCTCACAACAAAGAGCGGAGCGCCGGGTGGCTAAAACACAGCAAGTTGGCACAATAGGGGGCACAGGTGGTGCATCAGCCAGTCATCTTTGTCAGTCGACCTGTGGCATCTGGGTCTGCCCAGTGACCTGCCAACGAACGTTTGACACTTCATGTGGCCTCAACGTGCACATAGCCTGGCACAAGCGTCGTGGTGGCGGTTGTTGTGCTCGCTAAACAGCACTTGGCCCCCAAAAGTCTAAATTCTATACAGGTGATCTGTGTCGCCTGTGTGTACATTATTCCTGCTTTAGAACAGAGTATATCTATATTATTTTTTGCGGCAGCCCATTTACGATCACTGTTGCCCACCTGAGCCGCAGCGCTGATGTGATCGGACGGTCGGATTATTTATTTTGAACGATTTTAACGTCACATACACACATATATTCGATTTTCTCGCCTACCAATCGCGTACCGCCGTTGTGGTCGTATTTTTGTTTGGGGGGGGGGGGGGGGATGGAACGAAGGGTTTGGAAGAAGAAGATAATAACAACGACTACCAACGCGTTCAGGATCTGCGTTCGTCCAGCGCCCATTCGTCGTATGGACCCCCACCCACCGCGTCTCCATCGCCGCTCCCCTCTCCCCCACGCGGTCGGACTGCACGGAAGCGACCGGCGGGCGCTCCTCCAACGTCCTTCCAATGATCCAGCCGATTAGGGCCCCCCCCCCCCACCGAGAAAAACAAAAAAACCTTGGCGACTTCAGCTGTGCGCAAAAAAAAAACCCCGCGTGGTGGTGTCCTTATCCGCGTCCTTTGAAGTCTTCCGCGCTTGGCAGTGCCGGATGGGGGGCAGTGCCGGATGGGGGGCAGTGCTCGCACGCGGGCTGACCGGTCACGGCGCCATCGGCGCGGCCTCGGAGCCGGTGGTGGCAACTCACAAATTCATTCTCGATCTAACTCGCAAATTGCCTGTGGCGGAGGCCACTCCCTGCCGCCAACCACAAAGTGGTCTGCTCGTCTTCTGCTCGTATTTATCCGACCTCGGGAGGAGGATTATTATTACTACGATGGCCGAGCCGACCGAAAAGTGCGGCGACAACCTTGACAAGGGCCTGTCCCTGTCGACGAACGGGTACTAGCCATGACGCTCCCGCGGGCACGAGAAGAGATCCACGACGTTGTTCATCTTCTAAACTCAGGATCCCTGTTGCGGCGGTGCTGTTGAAGCGCCCCATCGTGAACGGCGGCGGCGTTGGACCGTCTAGAGCCTCCACCGGCCCTTGGCGTTTCACCACGAGAGTGGGGGGGGGGGCTCATCCGCTCCCCTGTGGCCGACTCTTTACGGCGCAGCCAGAGGGGAGGGGGGGCCTTCTGATGCTTGGTCACGTCCTGGCCCTGCTCCTGGCTCGGCCTTGCTGCCCAACGCCGCCACTGCCGCCACTTTCAATTTGTCGCGTCCCGCGAATGGGATGTGTTTGTTTAAAATGGGGCGCTGCTTTTGGGCCTCCAAAAGGGGGTGGTGGGGGGGGTGGTAGGCGGATCGCGGTAGGATGGGAGTCGCTGGTGGTAGCGATGTGTAAGCGCTTCAGACTGCAAGCCCAACCCCCACCCGAATTGTGCAGATGGCCGTGTGTTGGGTCAGTTGAACAAGATTTGCGTCGTACTGCCTGAAAGTTACGAGAAGAAAAACATCTACAAATATATAAACACTTTTGAAAATGGTAAAAGTTTATTGCTGCCAGTTTGTGGTTTGAGTTTGCACGCCTCGGGCCTTTAAAACTAAACTACAAACGATTTTTTTTTTATTTTAGCAGGTAAAGCCCCACTGAGCGGTAAAGCTTTTTTTTCAGAAACGACATTGGCCATCACAATTTGTGAGCTGAACGAAGTGGGCTCATCATCATAACGTGGAGATGTATCTTAGCCAAACACTCTTAGATGCATGATGTTGATTCTGAATGTGGAGGGGAAAAACCGGAGGACCTGGACACACAATCCACGCGAACACGGTGAGAGAGACACGCAGACTCCAAATATACAGCAGCAGGCATCAGGGTCGGGATTGAGCCCACGACCTCCTGTATACCAGGCGAGGTAGTTAACATCTCCTGGACAGTTTAATACGTAGGCTTTCGCGACAATATCAATAATGTAGGTCTTTGGTTAGATCGCGTAAATATAAGGGGCCGTCCATAAATGACGTCACGCACCTGGGGGGGGGGGTGAGAAATGTGACGTCACATCAAAATGCGCAACTTTAAATATAGACAACACGTTCTACTTAATTAAATAGACTTTTGAATAAATGTTTTCTCCTACAACATCAGAGTGCAGCACCACATTAAATACGCACTACAATGACAATAGTTTAAAGCGATTTGAAGCATGTATTTGGGGGGGGGCAGAGCTTTGTGACGTCATTTGAGGGGGGGTCTGACTTTTTGTGATGCCGTGTGACGAGGGGGGGGGGGTCAAAAATCGTCCAAAAGCGCGTGACGTCATTTATGGACGGCCCCTTAAGTGTCGTTAAACCCACCACCACCCTACACAGACTTACTGTAAACGTACTCGGATTGTAAATGTGGATTTACTCCAAGCACACGGGCGTGCTGTACTAGTAACGAATTGGCACGTTCTGTGTACGTGAAAACAAACCTCACTAATTGTCTGTGTCGGGTGGTGGCGGGTTTAACGACACATATTTATGCGATCCAACCCAAAAAACAATCTCGCCACCGTGGTGGTGCCCGTTAATGGGTAGGTACAACTGACACCTGAGCGCAGCGGTTTCAATAATCACGTTATTTTTTCACGGTCAGTACAACAGAAGACGCGTTCCTGTGGCGATTAAGGTGGCTACCTTCGATCTGCCTCCCTACGTGAGAACTTGGAGCAATGCACCGTCGCATCTGACGAACTGCACTTTGCTATCGCATCGGGCGTGCACAGTTGGAGATTGTTGGGGAGACATTAGGCAGACCAAACTTAATTTGGAGCTTTCGCGACTGCAGGAATTACTCTTTGGTTCTTTCGGTAAAGTCACGTATAAAGATAAAATAATAAATTGAATACTACCATACGACGTTTCGATTGCAACACAAGCAATCATCATCAGGTATAAATGAAATAGAAACACAAATGCTAGTATTTAATGTATTATTTTATCTTTATACGTGACTTTACCGAAAGAACCAAAGAGTAATTAGGCAGACCACCACCACCCCCCTTCTTCCTCCTCCCCGCGAAGTTCGTACTCGCTGGCTTGCTGCCCCCTTCACGAGGACGCCGCTTGTTAGTAAATCGCTTGGACGGTTCCAACGCGCGAGGGGGTTGACTCCGCGCGTGGGATGAAACCCAGCCGAGGTCAACATTTTGGCCGAAATGTTGTTGTTTTGCTCGCACATCTGGCCGCTTGCAGCCAGATGTGTGGCTGGCTGCCGCCTGAGGATACCGGTTGTAATTACCGGCGAAACGTCGTACTCGGGATTGTAAAATGCTCTCCATCACACCGGTGTGCTGTCCTAGTAACGAATTGGCCACGTTCTATTTAAAGCTTTCGTGACTGCAGGGATTCATCTTCTTGGTTCTTTCGGTAAAGTCACGTAGAAGGGAAGTAATAAAATAATAAAAATAAAACATAATAAAATAATTCTCACGACGTTTCGGCCACAACGCAAGCAGCCGTCCTCAGGTGAAGAACAGGTCTGTCGGGGAGACAGCGTCTGAATGAAACACCACCACGCTTGGGGCGTATATTTAAGCTGAAAGAACCAAGAAGATGGCCACGTTCTGTTTACGTGACAAACCTGTACTAATTGGCTGTGTCGGATGGTGGTGAGTTTAACGACACATTTACGCGTTCCAACCAAAAAAAACAAACCCCTATTAAAATGACATTGGTTCTTGAAAGCCTCCTGCGTCTTAAACTGACCCGCGTTGGGAGCGTTCATTTCGCTCCGGCCGGCTTCTGTTGCAGAGAGAGGGCCACCCACAAACAAGTCGATTCTACGGAAGCCAACGCCTCCACCCCCCCAACATCGATTACCCTTCACCCGCCTGGGTGAATACAGTCAATCATCGATTATCCGGCGCGTGCGGCTGTCCGGCTGCTTCCAACATTATCCAGGGGCACGCTTTGGCTTTCGGTAAAGTCACGTGGGTATAAATTAAAATAAACCACGACGTTTCGGGCGCAACACAAGCGTCCCTCATCAGGTGGGACAACCACAGCAAGAAACAATTGCTGAAGTGGGCAAAAGGGCTGCTGTGACAAGAGGCCATATATAGCCTCTATACCTGATGACGGACGCTTGTGTTGCGCCCGAAACGTCGTGATTTAATTTGTTTAATTCTCTACCTACGTGACTTTACCGAAAGAACCAAAGAGTATGGATCCCTGCAGTCACGAAAACTTCTAATCAAGATTGGTATCCAGTGGTCCCGGGCCCATCCGGCGAAATCGCCAAAAACCGCTCCGAAGGCCGCGACCCAGTCCGGCGATCTGCACCAGGCGTGTGGCCAAGAACAGTAGCTCATGCTTGATATCCGTGTCAAATACATGTGGTACATTATACACTACGTACAACTGCACGTGTGTGTGCACATCTTTCATGACTAATAACTACGGCAATAGATACATTAAATATTCACCGTGCAATCCGGCGAAAATTTGCGTGTAATTCAGAGAGCACTGGTCTAAAGGCTGCATCAGTCCACCAATCATCAAACACGATTGGTGGTTGTGTTGAAACAAGAGCATTGTGGTGCTACGTACATCACCACATGATGCAGAATCTTCGAGATCGGAGTAGTAAGTACGGTACAGTAAAGTTACTTTTAACAGGACCTTATTTTTCCGTGTGGTTTTATTACGCCAATTTCATACAGTACACAGAATATACAACGCTAAAGCAAACGCACAACACCGAAAAACATGACGTCATCCACGAAATGTAAAAAAAATAAGCTACTTCAAATAATGATCCGACTGATCGTGCTCGCAGCCCGATTTTCCTGGCCGCTTTGCTCTTGCGAAAAATTTCAGCTCCCCCGCCACCCCCTGGGGTTTGTTTGACTCATCGGGGTTTGCGGAAAAGCGCCTCCCTCCCGTTGTCGCCTGGCACACGTGTCAAGAGCCGGGATCGGGACCACGACACGCAGACAATCCGCTCTGAGTTGGCATACTCCGGCATCGCACGGTCTGGGAGCCACACGCAGCAATTCGATTCGTTTGAAATGGACGGGAAGGGCGGAATTGTACTGCGGCCGTTTTGGCGCGATGTCAGAATTGACTTGGCCGTTTGAATAAAAGTTCGTACCACAAACGAATTTCCACCTGAGGGTGTGGTGCTGATGGATGGTTTGCTGTGGGTGCGCCTGGTGGCTGCTGGGTCTGTTGTGGATGCGCCTGATGGCTGGGTCTGTTGTGTGTTCTAGATTTGAAGCTTTCGTGACTGCAAGGATTCATACTCTTAGGTTTTTCGGTAAAGTCACGTAGGTAAAAAATAATAGAAATAATGATATAAATAAAATAATAAATCATGACGTTTCGGAGGCAACACAAGTCTCCGTCATCAGGTGGGACCGTCACAGCTGAATTTACTGTCTCAAGGTTGTGAGTGAGTGATACCAGTGGCTGGTTTGCTGTGGGTGCCCCTGATGCCTGGGTCTGTTGTGGGTGTGCCTGGTGGCTGGGTCTGTTGTGAGTGGCACCACTGGCTGGGTCTGTTGTGAGTGGCACCACTGGCTGGGTCTGTTGTGAGTGGCACCACTGGCTGGGTCTGTTGTGAGTGGCACCACTGGCTGGGTCTGTTGTGGGTGTGCCTGGTGGCTGGGTCTGTTGTGAGTGGCACCACTGGCTGGGTGTGTTGTGGGTGTGCCTGGTGGCTGGGTCTGTTGTGGGTGTACCTGGTGGCTGGGTCTGTTGTGAGTGGCACCACTGGCTGGGTCTGTTGTGGGTGTACCTGGTGGCTGGGTCTGTTGTGAGTGGCACCACTGGCTGGGTCTGTTGTGGGTGTACCTGGTGGCTGGGTCTGTTGCGAGTGGCACCACTGGCTGGGTCTGTTGTGGGTGTGCCTGGTGGCTGGGTCTGTTGTGAGTGGCACCACTGGCTGGGTGTGTTGTGGGTGTGCCTGGTGGCTGGGTCTGTTGTGGGTGTACCTGGTGGCTGGGTCTGTTGTGAGTGGCACCACTGGCTGGGTCTGTTGTGGGTGTACCTGGTGGCTGGGTCTGTTGTGGGTGTACCTGGTGGCTGGGTCTGTTGTGAGTGGCACCACTGGCTGGTTTGCTGTGGTTAGTACCACCAGTGAGCCACTTTACATGCTGAGCGAGCCGCTTCACACCAAACATCGGTGGACAGAGACTTTCTGCCGTCGCGTGGGTTCCGGCTCCCGTTCAAACTCCATGTACCATCAAACCGCAGTTGCGATGTTAAAAGCCCACTCGCAAGAGCACATCATCACCGTGTCTCGACGTTTAATCCACAACCCACTCTCCACTCAGAAATAACCGCTCGTTCGTTTTACTATCAACTATAATAACTTTAAACTATTTTACATTTTACCAGGCAAGGCCCACTAAACTATTGTAGCCTGGCAATCAACAAATGAGAGCCCAATGAAATGGCTCATCACGTGCAAATGTAAAGCAGTCAAATACTCTAAATGCATGTTGACTCTAAATGTGCTGGGGAAAAACCAGATATCGAGGCGTCAGAGTTGGGATCGAACCCACAACCTGAATAGCGGGCGAGAGGTCACAAACACCTCGCAACCGTTTTCATGCTCTCAATGAAAACACAAGTCACTAATGTACATCCACTTTTGAATGAAGTCCTCCAGACCCCATTGCCAGTTGTAAGGTTTGTTTGACCATACTTCACCACGATGTCTAGATTTAGATTTGAAGCTTTCGTGACTGCAAGGATTCATACTCTTTGGTTTTTTCGGTAAAGTCACGTAGGTAGAAAATTTAATAAATGAAAACAACTCAATTAAATCACGACGTTTCGGGCGCAACACAAGCGCTTAAGTGTGTCTAAGACACCGTGTCTTAGACACACTTAAGCAGTTGTGCTTTCGCTACGTTGTCCCCACCTGAACAAGGACGCTTGTATTGCGCCCGAAACGTCGTGATGTAATTTAGTTGTTTTCATTCATTTTTTTTTTGACCTACGTGACTTTACCGAAGAAACCACAGACTCTTCACCACAATGGTCAATGCAGGTTGCTTGAAGGGAGGCCCACCGAGGGGCCGGGGTTCAGCCATCGCTCGCTCCTTTGATGGGCTCTTCTTCCGCCAGGAGTCAAACTCGGGTCTCTGGGGCTCACAGTGAGGTGCGCTAAGCAACTCCGACAACCTCTCCACACCAATAATACAGCGCACGTGTGCTCGCCTACACGTGACGGCCCTGCTGCCATTCTGTTGCTGCTGCATGAGGGACATACGCATGCCATGCGGGCTGTCTGACCCATGCTTCACCAGGCTGGTGATTGCGATTTGGTGAATGTTTGAACGTCGAACTTAATTCGCACCGTATGTAGCAAACCATGCTAATCGGAGGGAAACATATATGCCGGGAGTACTGTACAACAATGGCGTTTTGCTGCGCTGCCCTCTGGTGCCCACCCATGTGCACGCTTACACGGGACAGCGTGTCAAATCGATCTCTGTGAAAAAATGCGCCGTTAACCCCACAACCACCCGACACGGCTAATTAGCAAGGTCTGTAAAGGCTGGTGAAGCAATACGCCCAACAGCCCCCGCACCACAAGCGCAGTGCCCCCCCACCCCCCCTCCAGCAATCTAAACCCCCCCCAAATAAAACCTTGATTATGAATAATATCGGTGGCGAAAACCAACTTCTACCAAGTTCAACCAATCTCTCTCACCGTGGCTCCCAGCCACAAAGTCTCGTTCGACCCGCTGGTGCGGTCACTGACCCCCCCACCACCCCACCCCCGAGGAGAAACGGTGGCAACTGGGACGAGCCCAACCCTGGCAGTCGTTGGGCAAAGCGCTTGAACTCCGGCTTCTTGCGAGCGATCACTCCCACACGCCCCCCCCCACCTCGCGGCGTAAATCGTCGCCCGGCGATTGCCGATTTGTCCTTCGACGCGAGGAAGTCGTTGCGGCGAAAGGGGAGATTTGTTCCATCGGCTCGCGATCAGGATCCGTCGCGACCGATCGTAGTCCGTGCGCGCGCGACGGAATGCAGCCGCCCGACAAAATCTCCGAGCGGATCGATGCGCGGCAGTCGAGTCCGAGGCCGTCTCTACCGCGAGCAACTGGTTGCAGAAGACGTCCAAAACGGAAGCGATTTGGTTGCGTGCAACCAATGGCTCAGGTGTGGGTGTGGGGGGGGGGGGGACCCGGTTTTACAGATTTACGTCCAGCGTTGGGCAAGGGAGGCCTGATGGAGTCACTCCACAATTAATGATCCGAGGCTCTGCTGACTGTCGGCTTCCTCCTGCAACTTCTTGGTTCTTTCGGTAGTCACGTAGAAGGTAAATAATAAAATAAAAAAAATAAAACATGACACAATAAACATTCTCAGTGAGAATTGTATTTTATTATGTTGTTATTATTATTTTATTATTTCCCTTCTACGTGACTTTACCGAAAGAACCAAGATGAATCCCTGCAAGTTCATTTCTTCCACCTCTCACCGCTCCAAATCGATTATTTTACGCTACTTCGAATCGTTCCTCTTGGAACAACCGATTATTTACGATGTGTGAAAATGGTCAAGGGAAGAGACAATCGCAGAACAAGACACAACATACGGCACACGCGAGGTCAGTTGAAACGAGACCAGAATCGCCTTCATGCATCGCACCTCCGATTCGCACGGTTGGCTACGTACGGAGCGCGAAAGATGTTCAAAGTGCGTACACCACAACTTGCCCGGATGAATGCTCCGCACTCGCGAATTAGGAACTTCCAACCGCGGAGATGGAGGAGTGAACTCCGCTCCTGTGCAGGTGCTAGGGCGGATAATTGCGTCACGGAGTCGTGGGCGGTGGGGTCGGCCTGCGGAGAGCCTTCATCCAGCAGTGGATCGACCAGGGCAGGGCGGCGCTGCGCCCAGCACTCAGTCGATATCTCCCAAAAGAATTCAGGGCACAACTGACGTTCGTAGCGAGAATGTTTATTTATTTATTTCACATTTCATATTCAAATTACCTCTAATACGTTTATGTATTTTTATTTTGCTGTTACATTTCCAACAGTCAAAGATTACAAAAATCATCAAAAGTTGTATCACGGAGCACAGGAAGAAAGGAAAAAAAAGACAAAAGAAAATGCGAGATTATATAAATGCATGTCATCTGGCGCAGCACTTGTATGCATCGACGCTTCATGGGATACGGCATCCAGACGCGCAGGCTGCTCCCAGCAAGGTGCAAATGTCACAGCCGTTGCCGGGGCGATTCGTAAACCATCAACGCACCAGGATCGCATCCGTCATTCGATGTTTTTAAACAGAAATCTGGGGTCCCGTCACGCAAGCACAATTGCCGATGCGCGTGTCGTACAGCCCCGAGTCCACGCGACACACAAGACAGAGGCTGCCACAAGTCTGGCCATCGCCCCCGATGGCGCGGTTCGCCAGCGCCCGGCGCTGACGGCGCGTAGGGACCCGATTGCTACAATGTTATGGATCTCGCTCTGCGGCAACAGCGGTGGCGCCGAAGCGATAGATGGCGAATGCCGTTGGCACGTCTCTCTTCGCGCGACTTTACTCGGCTGTTTTGGATGGAGGAGGGTGGTGGTGGTGGTACAAGCCACCATTGGTAATTCACTCACGTGCTAATCCGACCCAAAAACATATCATCATTGACGGTGACGTTGGTCAACGGCGGGCTACGACGCCTGTTAAATACGCCGTGGTGTGTCGCTCACTTCATCGACTTACTCAGGGGGTCAACGCACGACCCGCCGACTCGGCTTCATCTGAAACCGGGCAAAATATTTCAGTCTCTTTTGTTTTCGAAGCCGCTTGATACGGCAAACGTTGCACGCGCGCAGGTTTTTCTAACTCCCCGTCGCGCCGTGCGGGTCTCATCGTATTACAAAGCAGACCAGCGTAACCGAGGTCGTCGTCGTCATTATCGTCATGCAGACAACGAAACAACAGAGCCACGTTTGGTGTCGGAGCGCCTAGAAGGGAAGGGGGGGCGCAGGGACGCACGGCTTGGGGCACCAGCGGAGCAGAGCGGTGACGCGGCATGGAACCCCTTCCGTGACCCCTTCAGTGAGCCCTTCAGTGACCCCTTCCGTGATGTGGTCATGCTCCCCGATGCTCCGCCCTCAAGGCCCCACTGCTCAACATCTCACCACGCTGCGCTTCTGCTGCTGTCGTCGCTGCTGTACGGTGGCGGCTTTTGTATTTTTAAATGGGTTGCAGTAAATAATTGTCATGCGCGTTTATACGAATGTAGAACTTTTATATTCACAATGTCACAGCTCCTATACGACGTCTGGCCACCGTGGAAGAGTAGGCCAAGTACCCTACACGATAATAACAAAAAAAACTCAACGCTTCGTAAGATAACACCGTGGGGGGCCTCGAGAGGAATAATACATCGTGGCTGACGTTCTTCACAGCGCCATGAACAAGGCCCGTCTCCCACAATGTCATGCTCTGTTGCACGTTTTTATTCTGCGCGTTGTGACGCACGTCGGCTGTGAAGAAGGCCCATCGCCTGAAACGTCGCATATTACATCATAGACACGTACAGGGACTCCCCTTACTTACGAACGAGCTAGATTCCAGAGGCCTGTTCGCAAGTCCAACTTTACTCCCATCGATTCCAAACACTTTGTTACGGCATGAAGACTAAACACGGGGGATTGCTTTAAAAGTTGAATAATCTCCTGTAGACGTAGATGCCACCGGTTGTTCACGTTCTGCAGATGTAGATGCCACCGCCGCCATCTATTGCGCGGCGGTTGAACTTACAGCTCTCGATCCGAACGGGCAACTGGACACACGGACAAGTTTGTTCGTATCTCTGAAAGTTTCTAATTCGAACGTTCACAAGTAGAAGAGTCGCCCCGTAACCTTTTAAGGCCACAGCGTTAATGACGGGCATGTTGAGTTTCTGTCGCGATTATCTGTCAGTGATCTCCACGTCTCCCTTTGGCGGCGGTGGGGGGGGGGGGGGGGTAGCGGGCATGAACATTCAGCCGGCAGTGGCATGGGCAATCATTGCAGGTGCTGCGCCTTCGCCAAGCGCACAAGGAGCGCCGAGTGACCGACACGAGAGAAGCGACTTTGGGACGCCCAGGAAAGCGATTCGATCATCGTATATATATACACACAGTGTCCATATAAAACTGGTGTATCCAATATAAAAATTGTTTAAACTGCCACAATAGTAATCGTGTATTGGGGGGGTGGGAAACCACAGCCACTCTCTATTGGGCAATGAGCAGGTGGCATAAGAGGCCAAAATGCAAATGAGAATGTTTATTTCAGACTGGAGGAGGAATCCGATGAAGCTCTCCCTCACAGCCTCACAGAAGTCCAGTAATGGGCACGGGGGGGTAGGGGGGTGAGAACATTTCAGGGACATTCGTCGCCGCTGTTGGGATCCAGGTGCAGCACCTCCCAGAGGGCCGCGGGGATTAGACGCGAACCCATTGCGTGACACAAATTGATCAAATCAAAAAGGATCCAAGCACCCCCCCCCCCCCCCCCGCGCGGACCAGTCGCCCGACGATCTATTGTCGCGCTTTGTCAAAAGCGGTTTCGCTGCACGTCGGGGGCATGCGGTCGACGGCCGTTGCGAGCCAGTCGGGGCAACTGGGGGCACAGCCAAAGCGGTAGGAAGTGCAAGATGCAGCAGCCGCAGTAGCAGCAGCCAGGGTGGCTTCGTTACACGGTCACCAGGCTTCTGCTTTCGTGCGGCCGATGATGGCGATGCAGAGACAACGACATGCACAGGTGGTCAAGCACAGATCACCGCGTCAGGAGGAGCAGGAGCGGTGGAGGGTACTGTCGCCGCGATGATGTCTCCTACGTCGTATTTGTGGATCGGGGGGCATTGAGTCATTGTACGGTCTGTTCTGGATGTATGTATGACCACAGTCGCACACCACCACTACCGGAGAGTTGTTAATTTTCCATCCGCATCTGCCGCTGCCGTGGTTTGTGGGGTGGATGCGGGCCGAGGGTGGTGACCACGAGCAGCTTCGTGGAAGGTCGACACGCCAGGGGGATCTTCTGCGTTGGGGTCTTTCACAAGAGTGACCTCGGCTGAGAACCCTCTCCCATGCGCTTTGGAACCGGCTTTGACCGTGGACACCTCAATCCCGACGACTCAATCCCAGGACTCGCAACTTACGATGCCGGTACAATGCCCCGACAACCGTTACGAGCCCCCCCCGATGTTGTCATTTTAAAGCACTTCCTCCTCAAGTCCACTGTCGGCTGGCGATAAGTACACAATGGAACGCCTTGGTGACCTCCCAGAGCAGGAAAGACTCCGTTCCATTGAGCCACGTCAGACCCGAGTTACTACGACTACGGCCTGGAATCCAGCGGACGGATCGCGCAAGCGTGAGTTGTCACTGTGTGCGAGACACCAACGTCGGAGTGCTCGTGGGAGACAGGACACCAAGTGGGTTTCTGATGGATCTGTATAGCCGAGTTTAAACTAGACTATTTTTATTTTACCGGATAAGGCCCCACGCAAATGACAGCTCATCGACGCGGCTTCTCATCGTCGCATGGAAATTTCAAGGAGCCAACTAACTCTAAACGCATAGCGATGTCGAGTCTAATCGCGGAGGCAAAAAACCGGAGGACACGGAGAAAAATCCACGCGACCACGGGGAGAGACACGCAAACGCCAAATATACAGCAGGCGTCGTCAGGGTCCGGATCGAACCCACGACCTCCTGTACACCAGGCGCGGTAGTTGACATCTCGCTACCGTGACATCCCGTGAGCTTGGATGTATTCCCCTCGTACGGGAGCGTGGCTTTCTCCGGACACTTTCAATTACACCCCCCCCCCCTTCCCCCCAACAAGCCGAACGATGCGCACCAGGGAGAGAAGGCTCAACGTTGGTGCGCCAGCAGCAAACTGCTTGTGCCCTGCTCCGAGCCACGGAACTGCTGCTCGCTCGCCAGTGCGATCAGAGTCCCCGGGGGAAAAGGGTAGCGGCCGCGCCGGGAGCGCGTGATGTGGGATAGCCGGGCGGCCGTGACGGCCGGGAGCGCGTGATGCGGTTGACGCAGCGTGACGAGGGCAGGGTTCGATGGTGGGACCTGGTGGTGTGGGGGTTGTAGGGGGAGGGGGTGGGGGACTGCGGTGGAGAGGAGGATGCTGGGCTAAGGTTGGGTCGGATCGATTGCGGCAGTCTGGGGTGGAGGGATAGGCCCGAGGCATTGTGGAACCGAAGGCTTCGTGTCAAATCGCCTCCCCATCCACCATCGCTCGATTAATTGCCATGATTCGGTTGAATAACTATGGACGATTTTTTTTCTCTTGAGTTGCTAGCGATGCGCGCGGCGTGTCCAACTTGTTTCGCACGTGGGCCGACCGTGCTAATCGGGGAGCTGCGGTGGCGCACAGAGCGGGCGCCCAGTGGCCGCAGGCGTCAAACGAACCGGCGAGCGAGTCCATCCCTCCCCCACGCATGATTTGACCGAGGACTACGTCGACGCCGGCGACGCTGCGACACTCGAATCTGTTGACTCTCGCCTTTACCGCAGAGGGAAGGGGGGGGGGGCGTCGAACGTTGCACCGGTTAACCCGTCAACATCGGCTCCCCCGCTGGCACGCGTCGGAATGGCGCGCAATAACGGATCGTTTTACAGATCCACGCGACCGACCCACAGCAACCGGAAGGCCTCTACCCCGGCAGCGGACTGACCAAGGTGGCCCCGGGGCAGGGGGACCGCTGGAGGCGCGGACGTTCACGACGACGTTTAAACAACAAAAAAATAAGGAACAATTCGCGGCACGCCCAATCGTTTAACCGAGTATTGAATCGCCGCGGCGGAGGCCGTGGCGGGGGGGGCGGGGGGTACGTGGTTTGCCGAGTCGGGGTGGAGCGAGGCTGCGTCGCGTCTCTCTCCGTCTCCTCTCTCTCTCTGTCTCTAGTCGTCCTTTGTGCGCTCGCTCGAAGACTCCGTGTCCGAGTACTCGTTGGGCTCCTCACCAGGCTTGAGAAGCCGGCCCACGTGGTGGTACTTCTCTGTAAGGCGGCGGCAGCAGCAGCAGAGCGCGCGGAACATCACGATACAACAACACCACGACACCACACCACGTCACCACACAAGACAACAACACCACGTCACCACACAAGACAACAACACCACGACACAACACCACGTCACCACACAAGACAACAACACCACGACACAACACCACGTCACCACACAAGACAACAACACCACGACACAACACCACGTCACCACACAAGACAACAACACCACGTCACCACACAAGACAACAACACCACGACACAACACCACGTCACCACACAAGACAACAACACCACGTCACCACACAAGACAACAACACCACGACACCACACCACGTCACCACACAAGACAACAACACCACCACACGACTACAACGACACAACGCCACGCGACAAGCCCCCGACAAGCCGGTCCCCATTGAGGGAGCTATCCCCGTGTCCGTAGGGCGGTGTGGTGCCCCAGCCTGTTGTGTTGTGTACCCCCCTCGCTGCGAGCCTCCTGCCTGGTGTGCCGCTGGCAGCAAGCCACGGCGGTACCGCCCCTCCCCAGCCGCCGCTAGTTCATGTCGGCGGGGGAGGGGCGGGAGGGATGCATCCCTGAAGGATTTGACGACGAATATCGAATTCACGTCAATTGAAGTGATTCGTAGTGTATTGGTGGTGATGGTGGCGGCGAAGGCTGAGAGGCTACGGGTAAAGAGAAAGGATGGAATACGACGACGATGACGACGATGACGACGACGACGACGACGACAATGACGACAATGACGACGACGACGACGACAATGACGACGACAATGACGACGACGACAATGACGACAATGACGACGATGATGATGACGTCGACGGCGTCAGCGACGTGAGCGCATGAGGGGGGCTGAGGCGACGCTAGTCGGGTAGCGGCGTTGACGATAACGTCACGTTGATGATAACCACAGGTGTGGGGGGGGGGTGCGGGGGGGTTATGGGGGGTGTGGGGGGGGTTATGGGGGGTGCGTGGGGGTTACGGGGGGGGGTGTGGTGGGGGGGTGGCGCCAGACTGACCCGTGAACTGCATCTCCCACTCGTGGACGCTCTCCATCTCGGTGGGCGACATGTCTGAGAGGTCGTCGTAGGCGTCCTTGAGCGCGTCGCGGTCCAGGCAAAACGTGGCGAGGCCGCGCGAGGCGTCGCGCCCCGCAAACACCCCGTAGGGGCCCTCTGCAATCCGCACGCACACACGACCCCGTCGCCGCCACCGTGAGAGTTTGGACGGCGGCCCACGACAAAGCTAAACGTCCATAGTCGAGGTTTCTTTGGGTGGGATCGCGTTAATATATAAATGTGTCGTTAAACCCGCCACCACCCGACACGGCCAACTAGTAAGGGTTGTCACGTCAACAGAACTTGGCCAATTCGTCACTAGTACAGCACTAGTGTGTAGTGTATAGTGTAGTGTATAGTAGTGTAGTGTATAGTAGTGTAGTGTATAGTAGTGTGGTGTATAGTAGTGTGGTGTATAGTAGTGTGGTGTATAGTAGTGTGGTGTATAGTAGTGTAGTGTATAGTAGTGTGGTGTATAGTAGTGTGGTGTATAGTAGTGTAGTGTATAGTGTAGTGTATAGTAGTGTAGTGTATAGTGTAGTATACTAGTACAGCACACCGGTGTGTTGGAGAGCCAAGCCACAACATTTACAAAACTAAACGTCTCTCGTGCGGGAGCGTCCCCCACCATTGAACCTCTACCGGTTTCAACTTTCCACGCCACCGACGGTCGACCATCAACCGAATCGCTGCCGCCCGATGCCAGAAACGGCGCGTCGAAGATTCGGCGGCTTGCGAGTGGCACCGCCATGAATCCCAAAGCCGTCCACCGGCATCGCGAAACGCTCCGCCGTCTTCACTACTTGTGGAGGTACGGACCGAGACACACTCTTGCTTCTGAACAGACAACTGAGTGGATAACACGACCATTATCATCAAGCAACCCTCCACAAAGATCCCCCCCACACATAGCCGTCAACAGCCCCTTGCTTTTGGCAAGCACTTGCTAAGGCGGGTGACCGGCGCCACGCCTGGCTGACTTTGCCTGATGTTTACAGGCCGCAGCAGGTCGTCACTTGAGGCCGAGTCGACGTAGGGGTGGCCCGGGAAGGGTTCAGATATCCGTCACCGATGTTGGCTGCGAGTGGGAATCGGATGCGGGTTGCCGGGTTGGGTCGCGCAGTGCGATAACCGCTACACCACCACTACACCGCCACTAACCGCTACACCACCGCTGCTAACCACTACACCGCTGCTAACCACTACACCATCACTACACCACCACTACACCACCACTACACCACCACTAACCGCTACACCACCGCTGCTAACCACTACATCGCCACTAACCACTACACCACCGCTAACCACTACACCACCACTACACCGCCACTAACCGCTACACCACCACTACACCACCACACCGCCACTAACCGCTACACCACCGCTGCTAACCACTACACCATCACTACACCACCACTACACCGTCGCTAACCACTACACCGCCGCTGACCGCTACACAGCCGCTAACCACTACACCGCCACTAACCACTACACCGTCGCTAACCGCTACACAGCCACTAACCGCTACACCGCCGCTAACCACTACACCGCCGCTAACCACTACACCACCACTACACCACCACTAACCACTACACCACCACTAACCACTACACCACCACTACACCACCACACCACCACTACACCACCACTACACCACCACTAACCACTACACCACCACTAACCACTACACCACCACTACACCACCACTAACCAATACACCACCGCTACACCACCACTAACCACTACACCACCGCTACACCACCACTAACCACTACACCACCGCTACACCACCACTAACCACTACACCACCGCTACACCACCACTAACCACTACACCACCGCTACACCACCACTAACCACTACACCACCGCTACACCACCGCTACACCACCGCTACACCGCCACTAACCACTACACCACCACTACACCACCACTAACCACTACACCACCACTACACCACCACTAACCACTACACCACCACTAACCACTACACCACCACTACACCACCACTACACCACCACTACAGCACCACTAACCACTACACCACCACTAACCACTACACCACCACTAACCACTACACCGCCGCTACACCACCACTAACCGCTACACCGCCACTACACCACCACTAATCGCTACACCGCCGCTAGCCCTGCTGGGCTATCAACCCCACTAACCACTGCCATCAGTAACATGCCCGTGATCATCATCATCGTAACCAACGGCAAGCACAGGCTCACTGCTCGTCTGCCACATGCGCTCGATTGGCACGGACCGAGCGGGTGAACACGGTGGGTTGTGCAGAGCCGCTGTGCGGCCAACGGCCAACAGGCAGTGACCTCCAAAACAAATCTTGTTAATCTCAAGCAGTGGCTGGAATTTGAACCCTTGACCTCAACGGCTGAAGGTTCAGAGTCTCCCCCCAAACATTTGTTTGCTCTCCTAACCACCTCCCCTGAAACAGGTCATGAAGTAGAACACACAATTGGCTCTGGTGTGTCCACAGTACAAACCTCGTTCATCTCTGGTATGGTGGGGAGTTGGTATGGGGCGGGGGGGGGAGTTGGTGTGGTGTGGGGGGGTTGGTGTGGTGTGGGGAGTTGGTGTGGTGCGGGGGAGTTGGTGTGGTGTGGGGAGTTGGTATGGTGTTGAGTCAGTCAGCAATGAGTATTTGTGCGTGTCGGCACTGGCGAGCCAGGAGTGGCGAACATCTGAAACAGTGGCGGCAGCGTGAGCCCGTGGGGTCCAGTGGCGAGGCGGCCGGGCTGGACGCGCCGCGCAAGCAATGGGCCAGCCCAAGTGTGTCACACCACTTGGTAGGCCAAGTTGGCACCCGCAGCCACCTGCGTACGTAGAGGGTCATCGTCCCCTCTTCAAGGCACCGGCCTTGCCCTGCTGGGCACGTGTGCGCGCACGCAAGGCGACCTGGCACTTTCGCGGAGAATCTCTGTGTAGGCTACACGGGGGTACACATTTGAGGCCGAGTCGACCTAGGGGAGGCCCAGGACCGGTTCAGATAATCGCCACCGGGCAGTGAGCGGGAATCGAACCCAGATCGCCAGGTTCGTATCGCAGCACACAAACCGCTACTGTACTACCGCTCCCCACATTCACACAATGCACGCACACACACAACAACAACAACCGCCATCCGCCACTAAGTGGCGGTGATGTCACCACGACGCTTGTGCCAGGCTATGTGCACCTTGAGGCCACGTGAAGTGTCAAACGTCCGCTGGCAGGAGGTCACAAGCAGACCCAGGTGCCACGGGTCGACTGACTGAGATGACTGGCTGATGCACCACCTGTGCCCCCTAATGTGCCAACTTGCTGTGCTTCAGCCACCCGGCTCTCCGCTCGTTGTTGTGAGCGTCGCTCCTTCGCCCACCATTGTTGTTGGAGGGCAACTGCCTCCAACTGCCCAGTAGTGTCCTTCACGAGCCTCCTCCACTGAGGCCGATTTTGACACCGCTGGTACCAGTCATCGGCAAGTCCACTTAGCTCCACGTCCTCCTGTACCACATCACTCCATCTCTTCTCTAGCCCGTGCTGCGCCCGTTTAGTCCCCTCGATCCAGCCGAACAAAAGCTGTTTAAGGCATACGGTGGCTGGGCATGCGGGCTACATGACCCAGCCAACGCAGCCTTTCCTGCCAGAGGAGCTCACCGATGGGACTTTGCCCAGAACTTTCAAGGATTTGTGCGCTCCTCACACAATCCAGCCTGGTTAAACCCAGGATGGATCGTAGGCAGGCCAGCCTAAATGTTTCTAACCGGTGAAGATGCTCCATTAGGGGGGGTCCACGTTTCGCAAGCGTAGAGAAGGGAGGAAATGACTGTAGTCGAGAAGACCTGAAGCTTCGTGCGGAGCGACAGACCAGGCAGCTTCCACACAGCGTTACGCAACCGATGAAAATATATTGCCGCTCGACTGATTCGGAGTGAGACCTCCGCTGCCAAACCGGAGCCGGTCATGAGCACACTGCCCAGGTATGGGAAACTCTCCACTCTCCACAACTGCCCCTTCACCGATTGGGAGTTGTGGGGTTGGAGTGTCCAATGGTAGAAAATACCCAGGCAGGTGCTTAGTTTTGGTGGGCCCGATGGTGGCACACTCCAGTTTCAGCCGAAGCGTCTCTAACTCCTCCTCTGAATGAGCAGCAATTACCAAATCATCGGCATACATAACGTGGTTGACCAATAGGGAGCCATCCCTTGACCGCGTCCGGGCATCGATCAGCCTCCCATTATATCTGTACCAAATGAAAAGTCCCCCGGTACAGCTATTGAAGGCTTCACGAACTATGTGATCAAAATAGATGTTGAATAATGTGGGAGCCAGAGGACATCCCTGTCGCACCCCAAGGTGTACAGGGAATGGCTCTGACTCCTGGCCACGTAGTTTTACCTGGGCCCACTCACCATCATGAAGGTCCTTAATGATCGTGAGCAGAGGGTCAGGGACTCCGAAAGCAAGAAGAACAACCCAGAGCCCAGGCCGACTGATGGTATCATAGGCCTTGACCAGGTCAATAAAGCAGAGATGTAGGTCTTGTTGGAATTCCCTACACCTCTGCTGTAGCAGACGGACAGAAAATATGGCATCTGTGCAAGACCGCCCTTTCCTGAAACCGCATTGGGGCTCCGCAAGCCTCTCCTCAGCGTGCCTGGCAAGGCGATGTTGAATAATCCTTGCCAGGACCTTTCCCGGCACACCGAGGAGTGAGATGCCCCTGTAGTTGTTACAGTCTGTGCGGTCCCCCTTTATAAAGAGGGGGACCACCAGGGCATCCTTCCAATCCTGCGGAACCCGTCCAGTGGTCCAGACTGTTGTTATGATATCATATAGGGCAGTCTGTGCACAAACGCCACCCTCCCTCAGCATTTCGCTTGGGAGATCATCTCTGCCCGGTGCCTTTCCTGGTCTGACTCTGGATCGCCCTCAGTACTTCCTCAACAGATGGCACCTCAGCCAGCCATTCACAGGGGTGACTTCTTCCAATATTTGAGGCACCGCAGCCTCGGCAGGGTCACCCCCACTTTATGCCATGATGATTTCCTGGCTGAGGGATTTCCCTCCACCCGGACCTCACAGAAATGCTCAGCAAATCTGCAAACCTGTTCCTGGGGGTCGGAGATTGGAGCACTGTTTTTTCCCCTGATTGTAATGTGTGGCACTGCAGGTTACTTTTTTGATGGAGTTAAATAGGGATTTCTGATCGTGGGCCAATGAGTCAGACTCCATCTCCTCAGCAACCCGCGACCACCACCCATCCTTGCAGCGCCTCACGGCTCTCCGAACCTCCGAGCGAAGGCTGCGGTAAGCCTCCTCATTCTCTGACGTGGGATGCTGTAGCCGATGAGAGTGGGCCTGTCGCTTTTTCTCAACTAACCTTAACACCTCCTCTGTCAGCCAGGGTCTCTGGGGAGGTCTGGAGGCATACCCAAACCAGCCATTGCAGCTGTATGAGTCACAGTCCTAAACCTCGCCCATTTACATGCGACATCAGGAGGAGTGGGGGATGATGCCAACCCCAGCCACAAGCGATGATGAAATTCTCGCTTGCAACTTTCATCAGCTGAGACCTTAGGTTGGAATGGGGTCTTGGGTGTACACCCACCACTGGAGTGGAAGAATGGCAGGCGCATCTTACAAATGACTAGTCGTTGGTCAGAGGGCAAACACACGCACACACGCACACGCGTGCGCACACACACGCGCGCACACGCACGCTCACACGCGCGGTCAACGCGTGACATTAATTGTACACGCAGCCCTATGGGCACAACATCATCCGGAATGCGCCCAAATCTCTGCACATCTCACAAGCTAAGTGGGACTTGAGCCTGGATATTTCTTGGAAGGGCAATCAACGCACACTAACAGGTTGCCATAGGGCTGTGGGTGGGGTGGTACTCTCCACCTATACTCCCCGCCCTTTAGTACGTACGCATGGAGGGGGGAAGGTTAACCCAAATGCGTAGGCTTGCTTATGGGGGGGTGTGAAGCCTCGACAATAATTTGTCGACATTGGCCTTCAAATGGGATAGTCCGGTGGTGGCCTATCTGTTTGCTTAAACACGTTAATGTTAGGATTCCTTAATCGTTTCTGCGCAGATTCAATATCGGCCGTTCTAAAGGATTCGGGGGGGTGGGGGGGGTGCGTCAGGCTTTCGTACGTAGGTGGGGGGGGGGTGTAAAAAGTCCGCGTGCGTACAGGGAGGGGGGGGGGTCAAGTTGACAGATTTTTGCGTACCTACTAAACGGATGGCCCCTTACCAACCCGCACTACCAGCGTGAAGTAATAAAAACACTGCCCTACTCCCCCCCCATGATCCACACGGCATGGGAAGCCCTTCATTCGGCAGTGGATTGATGACCTAGCTGCACGTGAGTTGAGGGGAGGAGGATTAATACAAAAGACAAAGATCCCCCGTATAGCCTTAACAGACTGTAGGGGCAAGTGATGTTAGCAAGCAGCTACGAAGGCCGGAACGGTACACGAGGGGGTGGGTGGCCAACCCCACGCCCGACCACCTTTGTCTCCCCAGTGGCGATGTTTACACACCGCATCAGGTAATCATTGGAGGCTGAGTCGACCTCGGGGAGGCTCGGGACCGGTTCAGATAATCGTCACCGGTGCTGGCCGTGAGCGGGAATCGAACCCGTGTCGCCGGGTTCATAGCGCAGCGCGCTGACCGCTACTACACCGCTCCCCCCCCCCAAGCACACCAGGACACGCGCAGTGTCCAAAGTACTACGACGGCCGTCTGGAACGCTCCTCCTTCCGACATTAGGCAGCCACTGGGGCAATTGCACTTCTTAAAATCTTTTCCATTGAAAAACTCGTTTATTGAGAAGTGCTTGTCGTCTACGTGCGGCGCAAACGAAGTTCACCGTACATGCACGCGCACGTGCGTGTACGTGATCAGTGCCTGCTGCCTCTGCCATGTGTGGCCTGGTTCGGGTCAATAACAAGAAGAAAAAAACGGAGGGGTCAGAGAGCGAGATGCTCGGTTTCAATTACACACCGAGGGAGAGACAGGACAACGCGGATTCGAGAACACACGCAGGCGACCGACACAAAGAGAGAGCGGGCACAGGAGCGTGTGCACAGCTGGTGCCAGTCACCCGAGTCAGTCAACCCACGGCGCCTGTTGGGTCTGTCCCGTGACCTCCTGCGCCTAGCCTGGCGCAGCAGTACAACCCACGGCACCTGTTGGGTCTGTCCCGTGACCTCCTGCGCCTAGCCTGGCGCAGCAGTCAACCCATGGCGCCTGTTGGGTCTGTCTCGTGACCTCCTGCACCTAGCCTGACGCAGTACAACCCATGGCACCTGAGTCTGTCCCGTGACCTCCTGCACCTAGCCTTGCGCAGCAGTACAACCCAAGGCACCTGCTGGGTCTGTCCCGTGACCTCCTGCACCTAGCCTGGCGCAGCAGTCAACCCACGGCACCTGTTGGGTCTGTCCCGTGACCTCCTGCACCTAGCCTGGCGCAGCAGTCAACCCACGGCACTTGTTGGATCTGTCCCGTGACCTCCTGCAACTAGCCTGGCGCAGCAGTCAACCCACGGCACCTGTTGGGTCTATCCCGTGAACTCCTGCACCTAGCCTGGCACAGCAGTCAACCCACGGCGCCTGTTGGGTCTGTCCCGTGACCTCCTGCCAGCAGTCAGCCATCCGACACTTCACGTGACAGCCTCAAAGTGCACCTAGGCTGGCACAGGCGCCTCTTGTGATGTCCCCGCCGTTGCGTGCCGATCGGCGGCTGCTGCTGCTGTTTTTGTTTTTAGGCACGGAACACGACGGGGTTACGATGGGACGGCGGCGGCCGAGGAATGGAACGCTCCCCCCCCTCCCCCCCCCCGATGAGGCCGGCTCACGTATTATTTTGGTGATTTCGAAAAGTTTTTTGGTTTGGCCATGTTTGTGTTGTTGTAGCACGGAGTTAGACTGAGGGCCTTAATCTAAGTTGTCTTGTGGTTGTTGTTGTTGTTTGACTTGCATCCCACTGGGATTTTTGCACACAGCGTTGGTGTACAATGCTTTTTCTGCAATATTTTGCCGTCTTTTCTTGGATTTTATGTTTGCACTCAGTCACATAGTCACTTTAAGATGTTTTCCTGTTCATGTTTAAGTTTTTTGTTTGTTGCAGTTGCACCCGATTCAAGAGATGAATGGCTCACATGGCTATACCTAATGAGTGAAACTGAAAACTGAAACAGAGGGAGAGGTGACGGGCTGAACTGTTACACCGCCGCGGGAGATGGCAGCGGCTGGGAAGAGCCTTCGTCCAGCAGTGGAGTGACCATGGCCGTGGACGATGATGATGACGATGGGCACACAGGCCTTTGCCTGGTCCAGTGATAGATTGCCAGCACAGCTGTGTGACGCTGGTGCTGTGGCATGGGGGTGTGGGAGGGACGCACGCGTCTTGTGGCCCGGTGCGGAAGGAGGCAACAGCCCACACCAAGTGTCCACAAAGTCAGTTTGACACAGTGTTCACGGTGTGCTGTGTGGCTGTGTGTGGTGTGCAATGTGCAGTGTGTGGTAGTGTGGTGTGTAGTGTGTGTGCAGTGTGCGGTGTGGTAGTGTGGTGTGTAGTGTGTGTGCAGTGTGTGGTGTGGTAGTGTGGTGTGTAGTGTGTGTGCAGTGTGCGGTGTGGTAGTGTGGTGTGTAGTGTGTGTGCAGTGTGTGGTGTGGTAGTGTGTGTGCAGTGTGTGGTGTGGTAGTGTGGTGTGTAGTGTGTGTGCAGTGTGGTAGTGTGGTGTGTAGTGTGTGTGCAGTGTGCGGCGTGGTAGTGTGGTGTGTAGTGTGTGTGCAGTGTGCGGTGTGGTAGTGTGTGTGTAGTGTGCAGTGTGGTAGTGTGGTGTGTAGTGTGTAGTGCGGAGTGTAATGTGTGGTGTGTAGTGTGCAGTGTGGTGTGTAGTGCGGTGTGGTGTGTAGTGTAGTTGTGTGGTGTGTGGGGTGGTTGTGGTATGTGGTGTGTGTAGTGTAGTGTGTAGTGTGTGGCGTAGTGTAGTGTGCGGTGTGCTAGTGTGGTGTGGTTATGTGGTGTGTGGTGTATATTGTGCAATATGTTTTGCAGTGTATAGGGTGTTGTGTGACGGTGCAGCTGTAGTCGAACAGACACAGTATCACTGCTTGTCTATTGCAACCTGTTGGAACACCACACACACACAACCCCCCCACACACACACACAACCCCCACACACACACACACACAACCCCCACACACACACAACCCCCACACACACACAAACCCCCCCACACACACACAACCCCCACACACACACACACAACCCCCACACACACACACACAACCCCCACACACACACACACAACCCCCACACACACCCCAGACACACACAACCCAGACACACACAACCCCCACACCACATACACAACCCCCACACACACAACCCCACACACACACAACCCAGACACACACAACCAGACACCACAACCCCCACACACACAACCCCCCCCCCCCCCCCCCCCCCACACACAACCCCCCCTCCACACACAACCCCCCTCCCACACACAACCCCCCCAAACACAGACACCCCACACACACACCCCACCCCCCACACACAACCCAGACACCTCCATAACCCCCCCCACACACACCCCACACACACACAACCCAGACACCTACACAACCCCCCACACACACCCCACACACACACAACCCCCAGACACACCCCACACACACACAACCCAGACACCTACACAACCCCCCACACACACACAACCCCCACACACACAACCCAGACACACACAACCTCCACACCACACACAACCCCCACACACACAACCCAGACACACACAACCCCCACACACACAACCCCCCCCCCACACACCACACACACAACCCCCACACCACACACACAACCCCCACACACACACACCACACACACACAACCCAGACACCTACACAACCCCCAGACACACCCCACACACACGCCACACACAACCCAGACACCTACACAACCCCCCAGACACACCACACAACCTACACACACCCACACCTCACGCGCGTGCAACATCGACGCCGGCGCGCTCGCACCGCACCGCCTCCTCACCTGGCCCGTAGAAGCGCCTCCCCTCCGTCACGTCGAACACCTTCCCGTTGACCGCCATGAGGATGCGCGGACTCCGCACGCCGTCGAACTCGCGAAGCTGCTCCACGTTGAAGTCGCGCCTCTTGAGTCGGGCCAGCCGCTCTTCCCCTCCGCCGTCTCCTCCCGCTCCGTCTCCGCCGCCGCCGCCTCCGCCGCCGCTTCCTCTGACGATCTTGACGAGGAGGTAGGCGCACAGGGCGAGCAGCGCCAGGTTCAGGGGGCTCGTCAACAGATCCTGGAGTATCTCGGAGGCCGCCATCGTCTTCACTGTGAGGGGAGGAGGGGGGAGGGGCGAGGTCACGTGGACGGAAGTGACGTCACAGCTCTAATCTCTCGGGCGGCGGCCATGTTGGGTGAGGGAGCGAGGCCGTTGACTGTACGCGGACTGTATGTACAGTGGTGAGAATAAAGTACTGTACTCTGAGGTTTTTTCGGTAAAGTCACGCAGGTAAAAATAAATACTAAAAGATAAATAATATAAATGAAACGTAACGTCGTGATTTATTATTTTATTTCTATTATTTTTAATATTTATCTTTTATTATTTCTTTTTACCTACGTGACTTTTTACCGAAAAACACCTAAGAGTATGAATCCTTGCAGTCACGAAAGCTTCAAATTCTAGCAGAAAGTACTGTACCTGGCGTGGTAACGTCGTCACGAGGGGAGACAAAGGCGGTGCTGGCCATCCACCCGCTCTCTCTCTCTCGTGTGCCGTGCACGACTTTATAGGTGCGACTCGTTTACAGCACTTGCCCCATCGGTCTGTTGAGGCTATACGGGGAGGGCTTTGTCTTTTGTATGAGGCCTCGGGTCTTTTGAGGCGTTTAAATAAACCTAAGTTAACATTGCCATGAATTAACATTTATTTAGTGAGCAAAATAAGGGATTGGTTTTATTGCTATTTTTTTAAAATGAGTGCTGAAATATCCGAGTATCGATTACGTAATCGATAACTCCTATCGATTATCGGTTCAGTAACTCGACTTATCGGGCAAGAACGTCGTTTTTTTGTTGTTGTTGTTTGTTGTTGAGTAAAGGTCTCGCAAAAGCTGTGAGCCGCCGAACCGGGGATGTTCGTTGTGGGCCCGGGCCTTTGTGACGTCATCGCAGCAGACATTTCGACGGCACGAGGAGCGTCGAAACTGGCCAGCAACGGCACAGCGACGACGGCGAACGAACGATGCGAGAATTAGTAAAATTTAAAATAAACTATTTAAAAAACACGCTTTTATTAAATGTACTAGGGCCGTCCATAAATGACGTCACGCACCTAGGGGACGGGGGGGGGGAGTCATACATTTGTGACGATGTGTGACGAAGGGGTGGTGGATTTGAGAAATGTGACGTCACATCAAAATGCGCAACTTTAATAAATATAGACAACACGTTCTACTTAATTAAATAGACTTTTTAATAAATGTTTTCGACAACATCAGAATGCAGCGCCGCATTAAATACGCACTACAATGACAATAGTTGAAAGCGATTTGAAGCATGTAAAAAAATGTTTGGGGGGGGCAGAGCTTTGTGACGTCATTTTTGAGGGGGGGGGGGGGTCTGACTTTTTGTGACGCCGTGCGACGAGGGGGGGGGGGGTCAAAATCGTCAAAAATCTCGTGGCATCATTTATGGACGGCCCCCTAGTAAGGGACCGTGGCCAATTACAGCCAACGTCAGTTGAGCGCGGACAATTAGACCCAAGCCGAAACATAACATATAATAATAATAGTACAATTTGTAACGCGCGCAAATTTGCAGACGTAGTGGCCGCAACTCAGAGGCGCGGAGCCAAGCTCAGAGTCGCTCAAAAGCATGATAGTAGAGGTGAGTTTTTAAGTGTCTCTTGAAGGAGGCGATTGAGGTGATGCTGCGAAAATAAATATAAAAAGATTGTTTAAAAATATTAGTTTTTTATGATAAAATATAGCATTGTCATCAGTAAGACATGAGTATACAAAGTTTGCAGTCGATACCACATTGGGAAGTGGGTTAAAATTGAGTAACAACATTTGAGGATACAACAACGACAACAACAGACGGAGTGAGTTCAATGAAAGCGTGAAATAAAAAAAGGGGACGATATCGGTGCAAGTTAAGCGAGGCATTGCGAGCGAGTCGTCATGAATAAATCATTAAGTGCCGAATAGGAAGTTGCACAAGGACCTACAATTCCGGACTCTTTGGTTCACGTAGATAGAAATAAAATAAAAAAAATTTAAAATAAATCACGACGGTCGTCCTCAGGCAGAAAAAATCATCCAGCAGTGGAACTGCTGATCCAACGAGAGAGCTGATAGTAAAGTAGAGTATCTGTTATCATGTTACGGTGTATTATCCGTTCTTTTTCGGTTAAAAACGATAGTCCCATATAAGTGTAAAAAAATGTTGAAGCGCCCTGTTTTTTTATATAAAAGTGGCCCCGGTAAACAACCACACGCAAAAAAACTAAATAGTCGATTAGAATACCGTAGCGGTTTCATTGTTCGACTTTGCCCAGTTCTAACGATAGGGAGATAGACTTCAAACTTTAATGCTTTTTTTATCTGTAAATGTGGAAAGCCTTAACAATTCCTATTTTATAGATTTAAAGCTTTCGTGACTGCAGGGATTCATCTTCTTGGTTCTTTCGGTAAAGCCACGTAGAAGGGAAATAATAAAGTAATAAAAAATAAAACAAGAACATTTTATTTTATTATTTTTATTATGTTTTATTTTATTTATTGTATTATTTCCCTTCTACGTGACTTTACCGAAAGAACCAAGAAGATGAATTCCTAGTTTTTGGGGGGTTGTCTTTCCTTAAAACAGCTTTTTGCGTACACACAGTGCTAGCTTTTTCACCACAATATAAACCGTAAAATGTAATTAACGGCAACTTAATTTTAAACTGCACGTTCCAATTTGCCAAAAGCCTTCCCATATACCGTGCCAATTCCTCTCTGCGTGTCTGCACACGTGGGAACAAATACACAACACACACACACAACACGTATGTGTGCCTCACTTTCAGGATGTCTAAAGTCCAACTCTCTTCTGACTTTATGGCTCTCAGCAACAGGGCTCGCTAAACAAACACACACAGAGTAAGAGTTGTTCCGAATTGCCACATGTTACTTTCCGGCAAGAGGCACGCCCTCCCGTCTCAGACAGCCGTGGGACCCAATACATCAGAAAGTCCAAAGCGGTCTCTGGTCTGGCGGCTGCAACCAACGCATGCAGCATTGCTGCTTGGTGATATTGGCCTCTGGAAAGAAAGTGTAACATTTAATAATTGCTTTGTTTACACGTGGAGACACGCACAGAACCCAGGTCTGTTGATGCTCTACTACTGTACAACGTGGTCCAGATGTCTTGTGACCCCCCCCCCCCCCCCCCACAATTAATTAGCCCAAAAGTATTTTTTTCTTTCCCTTTGCATGTACATTTCTGTTTTAAATAACCTTACTTAATATATATTTCGTTTCATAGAATGAAATGGGGCGGGGGGGGGGTGTCACAAGACATCTGGACCACCCAGCGGTCTGAGCTGCAGGTTGCAGGCTGAATATCCATGATAAACTGGACTCACATGGTAAACTGGACTTCCATGGTAAACTGGACTCCCATGGTAAACTATATTTCCCTGGTAAACTTGATGCCTATGGTGAGGGGTCGGCAACCAAAATAACAAGGAGAGCCATTTATTGTTCGAATTCGGTAGTAAATCAAATAAACAAAAAGCAATCCTCAACATTTCAATAGCCGCAATGTGGCGTTTTTAAAAAAAAAATTATTGCTGTGATTTTCACACCTGATGATGCTTGCTTGTGTTGCAATCGAAACGTCGTGAGACTTTAATTGTTGAATTGTTATTATTAAATTATTTCCCTTCTACGTGACTTCACCCAAAGAACCAAGAATATGAATGCCTTCAGTCACGAAACCTTAAAATCGAAAAATTCCAATTCTTCTACTGCATGCCCCTTGTGACGTCACCGCCGCTGCCCACGTGCCAATCGGCGTCGAGCCTCCCTTACCAACATGGCGGCCGCGGCGCCGGCGTTGCCGTGGCGACGCGGCCTTGAAATCGGCAAAAAAAAATTTGTGTCAGTCGCGATTTCGCCCTCGTGTGTGTCGCCAGCTCCCACCTCGCGTTCACCCACTTAAACAAACACGCGCTGCCCGTGCGAATATATATAATCATCATCAACGATTGTCAATATCTCGTGTGAAGAAAGGACGCGGTGGGTGGTGGTGGTGGTGGTTGTTGTTGTTGTGCATTGAAAAATTACAATACTCCGATTGGAGTGGCTCATGCAGCCAGCTATGGCTGCAGGGTTGTGGTAGTACATGTTGTTTATGACATTTATTGTGAAAATTCCGTCACAGTTCCTATGATTGCTTTTTCATTGCTTTCATGGCTTTATTTTGGTGATTTCGAAAAGTGTATTGGTTTGGCCATGTTTGTGTGTTGTAGTACAGAGTTAGACTGATGGCCTTAATCTAAGTTATCTTGTGGTTGTTGTTGTTTGACTTGCATCCCACTGGGATGTTTGCACACAGCGTTGGTGTACGGTGTTTTTTTCTGCAATATTTTGCTGTCTTTTCTTGGATTTTCTGTTTGCACTCAGTCACATATTCACTTTAAGATGTTTTATTGTTCATGTTTTTTGTTTCTTGCGGTTGCACCCGATTCAAGAGCCGAATGGCTCACAGGGCTATACCTAATACATGAACTTGAACTTGTTAAAAAATCATAGAAATGGACGTGGAGGCAACGGCGCTCCTCACGGCCCAGATCGTGTGCAAGTTGGCCGACTCCAACTTCTACTCGAGGCTGCACGGCGCCGTCACGGTGAGAGTCGAGAGGGTGGCCCGCGTCTTGTGTCGCCTTCTCCCCCCTCTCCTCTCTCTCTGTGTGTGTCTGTCTGTCAGAGAGACACAAGCAGAGGGAGACAACGCAGAGAGAGACAGAGACAGAGAGAGAGGCACACAGAGACACAGAGAGAGACACACAAGCAGAGACACAGAGAGAGACACTAGCAGAGAGACACACAGAGAGACACACAGAGACAGAGATACACACAGAGAGACAGAGACACAGAGACAGAGAGACACACAGAGACACACAGAGAGAGACACAAGCAGAGGGAGACACAAGCAGAGAGAGACAGAGAGACAGAGAGAGAGACACACAGAGACACAGAGACAGACACACAAGCAGAGACAGAGAGACACAAGCAGAGAGACACAGACACACAGAGAGACACAGAGAGACACACAGAGACAGAGATACACACAGAGAGACAGAGAGACAAAGAGAGAGAGAGACACAGAGAGAGAGACACACAGAGACACAGAGAGAGACACAGACAGACACACAAGCAGAGAGAGACACACAGAGACACAGAGAGAGACACAAGCAGAGAGACACAGACACACAGAGAGACACAGAGAGACACACAGAGACAGAGATACACACAGAGAGACACAGAGACAGACACACAAGCAGAGACAGACACACAAGCAGAGAGAGACAGAGACAGAGAGACACAGAGAGACACACAGAGACACAGAGAGAGACACAGAGAGACAGAGAGACACAGAGAGAGACACACAAGCAGAGAGACACACAGAGACACAGAGAGACACACAGAGAGAGACACAGAGAGACACAGAGAGAGAGACACACAGAGAAAGACACAGAGAAAGACACACAGAGAGACACAGAGAAAGACACACAGAGAGAGACACACAGAGTGCGTGACGTCATTTATGGACGGAACCCAATAGGGTGCGAAGACCAGAGTGGTGGTCAATGTAGCCATGTAAGTGACAATGGATATCTATTATTAGTTGGGTCATTCACAGTTAGTCAACATGAATAATGCTACGTGGCATGCCGTTCATGTAAATTGTGTTAATCTTCTAATTGTTGGGTTGGGTCACGGATGTTGTGGGTGTAGAGGGAGATTGAGAAGCATCATCATCATCGTCCACATTCAATCCACAGCTGGAGGAAACACATTCCTGCGGAGGGAGCTGGTAGGAACGTTGGGTTGCTCGGTCAATGGCCAGGGTCAACGGCGGCGTGGTGTATTCCGCAAATATGGCCGACTGTGAGGGCGGGCACAAGCCGGCGTGAGTAGGTTAAACGTTGAGTTTTATAAGGGCACCACAGGGTGACCAGCCCCTCCCCACCCAGCCCCACCCCTCCCTCCCCCACCCAGGCCCTCCCCACCCAGCCCCTCCCCACCCTCCCCACCCAGCCCCTCCCCACCCAGCCCCTCCCCTCCCCACCCAGCCCCTCCCTACCCACCCAGCCCCCCCCCCCACCCAGCCCCTCCCCACCCTCCTCTCTCCACCTAGCCCCACCTCTCCCATTTTTGGATGCACGACTGGACGGACGGACATAATAATTCCCTGTGGGCTGGTGGAACCAGGAGGTTCCTACCAGTATAATCTAAACCAGGGGTGGGGAACGTTTGGCCCGCGGGCCGTACAAGGCCCGCGAAATCATTTAATGTATCCCTGCCAAGGCAACCGCAGGCGGGACTCGAAATTCAATAAATCTCGGAGCAAACCTGGAAAAGCAGTTACGAGTAGCAACATCATCAACACCAGCTAACATCACATGCCTCACCAAAGAGAAGCAGTTCCAGCCATCGCATTAGGGGTGAGATAATTAAATGTTTGACCAAATATAACAGGCTAATTTTTAAGTTGATAATTTTGTATGGCTCGCGAATGATGTTCTAAATACCCAAATGGCCCTTGGCAGAAAAAGCTTCCCCAACCCCAGATCTAAATGGACGTTTGTTGTGGTTGCCGTTTGTTTGGCCATACTTCACCACCCTGGTCAATGCGGGTTGGTGAGGCGGGGGGGAGGGAGCAGAGGAGGAGGATGGCCAAGACTGGCTCATGTGGCATTTGCCACTGATGTTAGCCGTGGCTGGATTCGAACATAGTTGGCGCAACACACCGTGTCCCACACCTCCACAGTGTCCACTAATGCCACTTGGTTGGCAATCGTCGTGATGTCTTGTCTCAGTGCCATAGCTTGGCACGGTCAGCCTCAATCTCTTCATTCGGGCTGCCTGTCTGCAGACATGCCACGTGGCATTAGCATTTCGCAATTCGGCATTTCGTCTTCGTGGAGAAGTTCACACCGCTGTACTAGTTGCAATGTCTCGTGTGTGTGCACGCACGTTGGACCAACCGTGCTAATCGGAGGGCCGGGCAAAGGACGGTGAACTGAGCGAAACAATGCGTTTTAAATTTCGATTTAAAGCTTTCGTGACTGCAAGGATTCATCTTCTTGGTTCTTTCGGTAAAGTCACGTAGAAGGGAGATAATAAAAATAAAACAATAAAATAATACAATTCTCACGACGTTTCGGCCACAACGCAAGCAGCCGTCCTCAGGTGAAGAACAGGTTTGTCGGAATTCGGATGCTGCCTTTCCGACAGACTTGGTCTTCACCTGAGGACGACTGCTTGCGTTGTGGCCGAAACGTCGTGAGAATTGTATTATTTTATTATGCTTTATTTTTATTATTTTATTATCTCCCTTCTACGTGACTTTACCAAAAGAACCAAGAAGATGAATACGTTTTAAATAAATGAGTTTTCAATCTCGACGACGACGATTTAAAAGTGCAAAGCTTGAGTGGCCTCCTCATATCGGACGGCCGCAGAAGCGCGTTGGAAAGGGCCACGCGATGCAGTGGCCACCGTCGTCGTGCGAGCGATGGCCGAGCCAAAACCCGCTGGTGCGAGGATTACCGGAGTTGGCGTGATGATGGTTCCTGTTCCTTGAAGAGATCAGCAGTCAGACTCTGTGTATTCAGTACGTCTCATGCTGCTGCAGTTGCTTTCATTCTGCTGTATTCCCGAAGACGTTGACATACCAGTCAACCCCTCATCAGTGCCCTACCGTATTACAGACCAATTCAGACCTCATTGCTCACCCCGTGCCCCTTATACATCTCAACGTTCATCCTACAACGCCCGTATTGCAACGGCTGTGCGCCGAGTGGACCTGGAAACTCAATTTGCCTGTACAAGAATACGTGGTAAACCGTATGGGTTGACAGGTATGGTATAGTGTAGTTTATAGTGTAGTGTATAGTGTAGTGTATAGTAATGTATTGTAGTGTATAGTAGTGTATAATAGTGTATAGTAGTGTATAGTGTAGTGTATAGTGTAGTTTATAGTGTAGTGTATAGTGTAGTGTATAGTAATGTATTGTAGTGTATAGTGTAGTGTATAGTTTAGTGTATAGTGGAGTGTAAAGTAATGTATAGTAGTGTATAGTAGTGTATAGTGTAGTGTATAGCATACCAGTCAACCCCTTATCAGTGCCCTACATTATTACAGACCAATTCAGACCTCATTGCTCACCCCGTGCCCCTTCTAAATATCAACATTCATCCTACAAAGCCCGTGTTGCAACGTCTGTACGCCGTGTGGACTTGAAAACTCAATTTCCTTGCACAAAAATACGTGGTAAACCGTGTGGATTGACAGCTCTGCGTTTATTTGTGCTGCATTGTCGCCGGCGTTTTTGGCCAGAAACTAACGAGGTGCATCTTGTCTCTGCTTGATTTCAGAAAGAGGTTCAGAGTGACGAAGTCCGACTCTCCACTCTGAGTGAAGACCTCAGGAACGCCTTGAAGAAGTCAGGTGACGCGCACGCCTGCGTGGGGCGTATGAGTTGTCAGTAGGTTTCCCTGCGCTGTGGGCTTGCAATGATTTACAATTGCTGTATAATTCATATATTTATATCGTGTCTCAAAGGGGGGAGGGATCATATTTGTAAATGGCGATGAACACATCTACCGCGGTGGTGGGATGTTAATTACCTCGCCTGGTATGCAGGAGGTCGTGGGTTCCATCCCGACCCTGACGCTTGCTGTATATTTGGAGTTTGCGTGTCTCTCTTCCCGTTATCGCGTGGATTTATCTCCGGGTCCTCCGGTTTTTCGCTCCACATTTAGCATCAACATGACGCGTTTAGAGTATTTCGCTGCTATAAATTTCCACATTTTTTTACTGAGACCCCCCCCACCTCCTACGCATTCCACAAGTAGTGACTAATCCCATATCTGCATTTTCCATAAATATGCTAGATTCCTCTGTTGATATTCAAATTCCTTTGTCAAGGCGCCCTTCCTCCCCTAACCCAGCTTAAATATACGCTGCCAAACTTGGTGGTGTTCATTCAGACGCTGTCTTTCCGACAGACCTGTTCTTCACCTGAGGACGGCTGCTTGCGTTGTGGCCGAAACGTCGTGAGAATTGTATTTTATTTTTATTATTTCCCTTCTACGTGACTTTACCGAAAGGACCAAGAAGATACATTTCCACATGATAAGCCACTTCGTGGGGCTATCATTTGTGATAGCCAGGCTGCTGCTGAAAGAGAGCTACACAGCTCAGTGGGCTTTACCTGGTAAAATAAAAAACAAGTTTAGTTTGAATAGTTTTAGTTTAAACGAGGACTTGCCGAACCGCGAATTTTGAGTCGAAATAGTTTAGTCGCTTCTACGCAAAATCGCACAAACCGAACCCACAATGAAGCAAGGGAAAACCTGCCCTCACCACACCTGCGCTCCCAACACCTGCCCTCTCTACACCTGCCCTCCCAACACCTGCCCTCCCAACAACTGCCCCCTCAACACCTGCACTCACAACACCTGCCCTCTCAACACCTGCCCTCCCAACACCTGCCCTCTCTACACCTGCCCTCCCAACACCTGCCCTCCCAACAACTGCCCCATCAACACCTGCACTCACAACACCTGCCCTCTCAACACCTCCACTCACAACACCTGCCCTCTCTACACCTGCCCTCCCAACACCTGCCCTCTCTCCACCTGCCCTCCCAACACCTGCCCTTACCACACCTGCCCTCCCAACACCTGCCCTTACCACACCTGCCCTCCCAACACCTGCCCTCCCAACACCTGCCCTCACAACTCTCGTCCCACATTTGAAGTGTTGGAACAACTCGTGGTCCCAGTCGTGGTGGCGAGCGGCCAGCGTGTGACGACCCCCATACCTTCCCCCCCCCCCCATTGCCACGTTCCCGCCGCGTGCGATCCCCGGCTTGAACCCCCGTGACCCACACGGTGCGCGAAGGCCCCTCGTCCAACAGTGGATCAACACAAGGGTTCCACGTGTGCGTGTACCCGCTCACAGCGGTCGCATAGGGGATTTCTGTCGTCTGCGTATTAAGTGCGCGTCGGCCATGCGCGTTATTTGACCGTGGAGCGAGGTCGGTTTGTGTGTGCATTCTGTTTGCAGGTTGGAAAGCGAAACTCCAGAATGCTGTTTACAGAGAGATGAGCGTGTGAGTGACGGCTTCATTTTTGCAATCTCGTTTTTACATTACAATTCCAGCAAATCTTCCAGAAAAAAAACTTATTACAAAGCTGCGTGCAGATGATTGCATCGGGAGTAGCGGAGTGCGAGAAGTTGGTAATTAAGTTGTGTTGCTGTTCCATTCTTACCAAAGATTATTTCCATCTCGCGGTGGCTAGGAGATGTTAACTCCCTCGCCTGGTATGCAGGAGGTCGTGGGTTCGTCCCGACCCTGACACCTGCTGCTGTAGATTTGGGGTTTGCGTGTCTCTCTCCCCGTGGTCGCGTGGATTATTCTCCAGGTCCTCCGGTGTTTCCCTCCACATATAGAAACGTGCTTTTAGATTATTTGGCTGCTGTACATTTTCCACGCGATAAGCCACTTCATTGAGCTATCATTTGTGGCCCAGGTTGCTTCTGAAAAAAAATCTCAGTGGGCCCTCACGTGGTAGAAAAAAAACAATTGTTTAAAATCATTGGGATGTGATAGTTTAAAATATATAGTTTATAGTTTAAATAAAATGCTGCTTCCAGGGGACTTGGCCATGCCACTGCCATTATTTTCACGAATTAATAACTTCCGACCGCTTGCCGGAAAGCGTTGTAGAGTCAATGCGCGTGCACGATTCGTTTCTGTTTACGTTCCCTTTGTTCACGCTTAACCTACGTCGCGCGGCCCGCCCCATCCTGCCCAGGCTGCCGAGCGCTGCGCTGTCGCCCGAGCTGAGGAAGGAGCCCCTGGCGTACATGCGGCGAGCACAGGTGGTTCCCGTCGACCACTCGCAACCACGCGTCCCCGGGAGCAGCCGCCGGGAGCTGCGCACTTTTAAATCATCGCCTGGATCGACGAACTCGTTTTTCTAAAGCTGTTTTTTTGCGTTGCCATCGTTCGTTCTTCCCGCACCTCGCACGGTCGTCTACGTATGGCGGTGCGAAACAAGTTCGACACACGCACGCACGGCGTGGCGCGCGTACCCACCACTGGGCCGCCGCGATGGTCGTTGGTTTCAGCTCCTCCGTTTGTTCCCCCATCGGCAGGCGCAGTGGGAGAAGCGGGTGATGAAGAGTTTGAACAGCATGTGCACGGAGCTCGGAGTCACTCTCTATCAGAAGGTATTTGGGGGGTTTGGATCGAGCTCAAGCTTGAGGCACGGTGGAAAACTTAAGCTGAACTACTTTTTTACTTGACCAAGTTAGGCCATCTTGGGCTATATCGCTCGTTTTTTTTTATAAGCGAGCTGGTTGTCAAAAGTGACAGCTCAACAGAGTGGAGTATCATCTTCACGTGGAAATGTATAGCAGCCAAATACTTTAAACTCGTGACGTTGATTCGAAATGCGGAGGGAAAAACTGGAGGACCCGGAGAAAAATCCACGTGACCATGGGGAGAGACACCACAAACTCCAAATATCCAGTAAGCATCAAGGTCAGGATCCAACCCACGACCTCCTGTATACCAGGCGAGGTAGTTAACATCTCGCTACCGTGAGAGAGAAACACGCACACTCCAAATATACAGCAGGCATCGTCAGGGTCGGGATCGAACCCACGACCTCCTGTATACCAGGCGAGGTAGTTAACATCTCCTAGCCACCGTGATGCCCTTTAAAGGGTAGGTACAGCCGGAAACTGAGCGCAGTGGTATCAATATCACCTTGATTTTTCTTGAGGCAGTGCATGATCTTTTAATTCATCCCAAATAATCCGAAATTCACGCCTGGATATGCACTTTGGGATGGTCCAAAAAGATAAAAACGGCTCGGATTTCTACGAAGGTGCGACATCACAGGAAGCCACACATACTGAACAACACTTGGGCACCTTTGACGTGTCATGGGACGGGGGGGAGAGGCGGCCTTCACCCAGCTGCGGATTGACAGAGGGCAGTACCTTATTGTTCATCTACTTTTAACAACTGCGTGTGTTTTGTTGCCGCACTGATTCGCGTTGTGCTTGCTTGCGACCCCCCCCCCCCCCCCCCCGCTTTCCGCTCCCACGTGACCTTCAGCGTTCGCCCGAAGAGCAGAAAGGGCTGCTGAGCAAATGGAGTGAGATGGGGTCCGACGAACCAGGTAGGAAGGAGAGCGACCTGAGATGAGAAGCGACACCATCGCTGCAGCTCAACAAATCAGGGACGGATTTTCTCCGCCCGTGAATTTTGTACGACCTCACGGGCGTGTGTGCGTACGCGTCTCTCTCTCTCTCTCGTAGATCTGAGTCGGTTCCGGCCTGTCTACGCGCCCAAGGACTTCCTCGAGGTAAGACCGGAGTTGACGGAAACGCACGTTTCAATTGTTACCCAGTAGCTCGTGTGCTGCTGGATGAGGGGTCTCCCTCCCCCCACCTCACCCCGTGTCTCTCCAGGGTTGTGTCGTCAGAAGGTTGTTTAATTGTGCGTCACCGCGCTGGTCAGTGCGGGCCGGTGAGGGGGATAGCATATGCGTGGAAGTGCAGAGACTCCTCTGCTTACGGACATTCGACTTACGAATTTGCAGAGATACGAACAAATCTGTCCATGTGTCCAGTTGCCCGTTCGAGAGTCGTAAGTTCCAGAAACCAGTGGCATCTACATCTACAGAATGTGAAGAAACCAGTGGCATCTACATCTACAGAACGTGAAGAAACCAGTGGCATCTACATCTACAGAATGTGAAGAAACCAGTGGCATCTACATCTGCAGCACGTGAAAAACCAGTGGCATGTACATCTACAGAATGTGAAGAAACCAGTGGCATCTACAGAATGTGAAGAAACCAGTGGCATCTACATCTGCAGAACGTGAAGAAACCAGTGGCACCTAATCTACAGAACGTGAAGAAACCAGTGGCATCTACATCTACAGAACGTGAAGAAACCAGTGGCACCTAATCTACAGAACGTGAAGAAACCAGTGGCATCTACATCTGCAGAATGTGAAGAACCAGTGGCACCTAATCTACAGAACGTGAAGAACCAGTGGCATCTACAGAATGTGAAGAAACCAGTGGCATCTACATTTGCAGAACGTTAAGAACCAGTGGCATCTACATCTGCAGAACGTGAAGAAACCAGTGGCATCTACATCTGCAGAACGTGAAGAAACCAGTGGCACCTAATCTACAGAACGTGAAGAAACCAGTGGCATCTACATCTACAGAACGTGAAGAAACCAGTGGCATCTACATCTACAGAATGTGAAGAAACCAGTGGCATCTACATCTGCAGCACGTGAAAAACCAGTGGCATGTACATCTACAGAACGTGAAGAAACCAGTGGCATCTACAGAATGTGAAGAAATCAGTGGCATCTACATCTGCAGAACGTGAAGAAACCAGTGGCACCTAATCTACAGAACGTGAAGAAACCAGTGGCATCTACATCTACAGAACGTGAAGAAACCAGTGGCACCTAATCTACAGAACGTGAAGAAACCAGTGGCATCTACATCTGCAGAATGTGAAGAACCAGTGGCACCTAATCTACAGAACGTGAAGAACCAGTGGCATCTACAGAATGTGAAGAAACCAGTAGCATCTACATTTGCAGAACGTTAAGAACCAGTGGCATCTACATCTGCAGAACGTGAAGAACCAGTGGCATCTACATCTGCAGAACGTGAAGAAACCAGTGGCACCTAATCTACAGAACGTGAAGAAACCAGTGGCATCTACATCTACAGAACGTGAAGAAACCAGTGGCATGTACATCTACAGAACGTGAAGAAACCAGTGGCATCTACAGAATGTGAAGAAACCAGTGGCATCTACATTTGCAGAACATGAAGAACCAGTGGCATCTACATCTGCAGAACGTGAAGAAACCAGTGGCATCTACATCTGCAGAACGTGAATAAACCAGTGGCACCTAATCTACAGAACGTGAAGAAACCAGTGGCACCTAATCTACAGAACGTGAAGAAACCAGTGGCATCTACATCTGCAGAATGTGAAGAACCAGTGGCACCTAATCTACAGAACGTGAAGAACCAGTGGCATCTACAGAATGTGAAGAAACCAGTGGCATCTACATTTGCAGAACGTGAAGAACCAGTGGCATCTACATCTGCAGAACGTGAAGAAACCAGTGGCATCTACATCTGCAGAACGTGAAGAAACCAGTGGCACCTAATCTACAGAACGTGAAGAAATCAGTGGCATCTACATCTACAGAACGTGAAGAAACCAGTGGCACCTAATCTACAGAACGTGAAGAAACCAGTGGCATCTACATCTGCAGAATGTGAAGAACCAGTGGCACCTAATCTACAGAACGTGAAGAAACCAGTGGCATCTACAGAATGTGAAGAAACCAGTGGCATCTACATTTGCAGAATGTGAAGAAACCAGTGGCACCTATATCTGCAGAACGTGAAGAACCAGTGGCATCTACGTCTACAGGAGATTATGCAACTTTGAAATCCATTCGTTCGTGTGTAGTGTACACGCCGTACAACGTGTTTGAAATCGACAGGAGTAAAGTTGGACTTACGACCAGACCTCTGGACCCTAACTCATTCGTAAGCAGAAGTAGTCCCTGTAAATACACGCATGTGTACAGTACAACAGTGGATTTTGCGGCACGGCCCTCTATCTGTCTAAGTTCAACGACCTGTGACAACCTATTTGTGCACGGTGGTGGTCGCACATCCGAGCACGACTCGGGCTCACACACTGCTCAGCTTTCGAGGTGTGCCACTTTCAAGTGCATCTCTGGCGATTTGGTCACGCGACCAGTCGCACGCAAGGTGAAAATTCACGTAATCAACAGGCCATGTTGGCAGTGTCAACTCACCGTGAACATCGACCCTTTTGACACAATTTTTTTTTTTTTTACGGAGCAGGCGAAAGTTTACGTGAGTGGCCCTTCTTCGGAGCGGAGGGAGTGCAGACCGATTGGCTAGCTAATACTCTTTGGTTCTTTCGGTAAAGTCACGTAGGTATAAAATAAAATAAATTAAATCACGACGTTTGGGGCGCAACACAAGCGTCCGTCATCAGGTGGGACAACCACAGCAAGAAACAATTGCTGTGTTTGTGCAAACCGATTGGCTGGCTTATCACTGGTGACCGCAGTTAACAGGGAGGTGCCTTGAAAAACATGTCTAGATGGGTGCGTCAGGTTGCTGAGTAGGCTGGCCTCATGCCTGAAGTAACCGCATTGAGTTGACTGATATTAAAATAATAATTATATACACCCGTGCAGAAAATCTCCACTCTGCGCCGAGACTCATTGTGGAAGGTCCTGCCAGCCAAGGCCATTTAATAAAAACTATATAAATAAATTTTGTCGTCGCAATTAAAATTATATATCCACTTCATTTATACATTTTAGCTTTCGTTTCATGTCATAATGAGTGAAAATCTAAAATAGTGTGTTCTTATCATGGGACCCCTTTTTGCCAGTATCAAAGTATGACAAATAAGAATAGGTTTTACCCTTTTTGCCAGTAGCAAAATATAGTAATAGGTTTTTTACCCTTTTACTGGCACAAAACTGACACTTTTTTACAAGGGATCGTGTTTGCGTTGTCTTGATTTGTGTGCCTTTTGGCGTCATCTGTTCCAACACCATGTGAAACTGGGCTCTAAAAAAAGCTGTCTCTGGTGTGGACCTATCAATTTCAAGGACAATACATACATTATCAGAGTGCTGTTTTTTGTTTGCATTTTGACTACAGCTATTGTGGTTAATGCAAACACGATCCCTTGTACAAAGGTGTCAGTATTGTGCCAGATAAAAGGGTAAAAAAAACGATTATTTTACCCTTTCTGGCAATAAAACAGGCGTTGTGTTAAGATGTTCAAACACCAAATAGAAACCTCTTGCAAGGAATCCAGTTGTAATGCATTAACCACACAGAGGACTTGTGGTGAACACGCAGAAAGGCTAAAAACATTACTCTTTGGTTCTTTCGGTAAAGTCACCACGTAGGTGAAAACAAATAAAAATAGAAATCAAAAATTAAATCACGACGTTTCGATTGCAACACAAGCAATCATCATCAGGTGTGACAACCACAGCAATAAATTTTTTACTGTAAAAAAAAAGACATTTTTTACTGTCATTTTTTATTTATTGCTGTCGTCACACCTGATGATGATTGCTTGTGTTGCAATCGAAACGTCGTGATTTAATTTACTTATTTCTATTTTTTCACCTACGTGACTTTACCGAAATAACCAAAGAGGATGGATCCTTGCAGTTACGACAGCTTCAAATCGAGGCTAAAACCTATTATTTTTCCTATACTATATTGTTTAAACATTCAAAATGTAAAAAAAAGTCTAATTGATCTGACCCGAACCCAGGTGACTCTTGCAAGTGTGAATCATCCTTCACATCCACAATAGAGGTTGTTTTTGGTTGGATCACGTAACTATTAACGTGTCATATTATGAGACCTCCTTTGCCAGTAGCAGGATATAGTAATAGGTTTTTACCCTTTTATCTGGCAACAAAACTGACACCTTTTTACAATGGATCATGTTTGCATTGACCAGAACACTTGCGGTCAAAATGCAAACAAAAAGACAACTCTGATAATATTATCCACACAGTGGATAATATTTTGTTTGCATTTTGACCGCAAGTGTTGTGGTTAATGCAAACATGATCTCTTGTAAAAAGGTGTCAGTTTTGTTGCCAGATAAAAGGGTAAAAACCTATTACTATCAACGTGTCGTTAAAGCCGCCACCACCCGAGGACGGCCAATCAGCAAGGTTGTGTGACGTGAACAAAATGTGGCAATTTGTTACTGGTTCAGCCGCACGCCGGTTCGTGTGTTGGAGAGTAAACCCACCGCAACGTTCACTATTCGAGTAACCGTGACGTTTCGCCGGTAATTGCAACAACCTGCGTCGTCTTGGCGACAGCCATAAATATTTACGAGACCTAATCCCAAAGAAACCACCGCGTGGATAATATTGGTCGTGAACCCCTCCTGCTACGTGTTGAAGAGACTCATGCTGGCCTCCTGTGCTTTCGCCTGAATCAACAAAATAAACCCGAAACTTGAATCCTCGCCCCAACCCTTAATCCTAATGTAGAAGCACCGCGTGGGAATGTTTTTTCGCAGTCGTTATAAAACTACCTTTTGAGAGGCCAGATTTACCTACAGGGCCTCATCTCGGTTCAAACTCGCAGTCTCGGTACGGCCCGTTCTACGCTAACGCTGCGTTGTTGTTTTCATAACGCGGGTGTGATACAGCGCGACGATGAATTTGTCAGGGAACACATTTTCTCATCACCTCGGGATACGAATTGATTACGATGCGATCGGAAACCACGTCGCAGCGCGAGTAGGTATAAGCGGTCGTAACGGCTGGCTTGGCGAGGCATCGCACGACAAGGAACTGGGATGCTGCTGGATGCTTTTAGACGCTACCCACGCGCCTCCGGCCTTGTTCGCCCTGCGTGACGCGTCTCATGCGCTATCGCAGACCGTGCTTTATACCCCGATGTTCTATTTTATTGATAATGACGCCACTTTTCCATAACCCGGTGTTCTTGCGGAACGCAGCTACCACCGCCGCGTTGTAGGCGAACGAACTGTACTCCAGCATGTCCACTTTGAACTTTCCACCTCGCCACCCCGATAGATTGCCCGTAGTTCCGTCGCGAGTTTCAGTTTGTTTCTTGATGCCGATATCATCGCTGCTGTCACCGCTGCCTTGTCCTTGCTGTCTAGGTCCTTGTGCATCTTCAGGACCCCGAGGTGTTGAACTTTGACCCGGGACACCCGTGTCGGCCGTGGGGGCTGGTGCAGGTGCCTCTCGAGATCAGCACCTCCGAGCAGCTGGTGATTTAAACCCCTTCCCGTGCCGATGGCGTGCACGCCATAGTTGATGCATTTATGTGTTTTTTTGTTTTAACACGTCGGCGTTTTTTGGGTTAGATCGCATGCATAATGTACGTTGATTACCGTATAAATCACCCGAATGGCAATGGATACTCATAGTCATTTATATGCATTCATTAATCCCTCCCCCACTTCACGCAAGAAGGGCACACATAGTGACGTCATCACAGGATTTCTCCACAAATATGGCTGTCGCCTAATGAAGCTGAGTTGTAATTACTGGCGAAACGTCGTTATTCAGATTGTAATTGTTGTGGCTTTGCTCTCCAACACACCGGTGTGGTGCTGTACTAGTATACTACACTATACACTACACTATACACTACTATACACTACACTATACACTAAACTACACACTATTATACACTATACTATACACTACACTATACACTATTATACACTACACTATACACTACACTATACACTACACTATACACTACAGCTCTTGAATCGGGTGCAACCGCAACAAACAAAAAACAGAAACATGATCAAGAAAACATCTTAAAGTGACTATGCGCAAACAGAAAAATCCAGGTAAAAACTGCAAAGTCTTCCAAAAAAAAGCACCGTACACCATCTTCACGGTACAGCAATCCCACGCCAAAACGTAGAGTTGAGGTTCTTGGAAAGAGCCGCAGTAGGCAAATCCGTGGTTGTTAAAGTACAGAGGCCCTAAATTTGAAGCTTTCATGACTGCAAGGATTCATACTCTTAGGTTTTTTCGGTAAAGTCACGTAGGTAAAAAATTTAATTAATAAAAGTAATAATAGAAATAAAATAAAATAATATTATATTATAAATAAAATAATATAATTAAATTGTATAATATTTTATTTTATTTGTATTATTACTTTTATAAATTTATTTTTTACCTACGTGACTTTACCAAAAAAACCTAAAAGTACAGAAGCCCTTCTTGGCGATTTGCGTGAGCACCGTCTTGAAGCCCGGCCGGGAGAAGCTGTCCTCCGGTGGGAAGGATGTCCCGCCAACGAGCGGCCAGAGGTCCGGGGTGAGCCACACACTCACGGGCCAACCGCCACCCTCACAACAGGCCCTCACAGCAGGCCTGCACAGCAGGCCCTCACAGCAGGCCCGCACAGCAGGCCCTCACAGCAGGCCCGCACAGCAGGCCCTCACAGCAGGCCCTCACAGCAGGCCCGCACGTGCGAGGTGGATCGTGGTCCTGTCCAGTTGGCTAAGATGACCTCTCTGAGTAGAATGTTGAAGGGTTTGTAGGAGGGCGTGATGGTGGCTCAATAACGATGGGGAGAAACTCCTGCCACGTGTCATCATTCCCATTCTCTTCGGTTCTTTCGGTAAAGTCACGTAGAAAGAGAAAATGATGAATTAAATGAAAGCATACGACGTTTCGACTGCAACACAAGCAATCATCATCAGGTACAAATGAAAGACAAAACAAACCTAGTAAACTTAGAAATGTAATGCAATACAACACAGAGAGTCGGCTAACATAGCAGTCAACACCCTACCTGGTTGATTACGTTCTTCCAAAGATTGGTAATTTGAGAGAGACACAAAACACAGACACGGAGACACGTAAATGTCGAATGCTAGTGTTTAATTGATTATTTTCTCTTTCTACGTGACTTTACCGAAAGAACCAAAAGAGTAATTCCTGTAGTCACGAAAACTCCAAATCAGTTAATTCCCATCCTGTTCCGATGACGCACACGCACGACGTTGGGACAGAATCACTTGTATCGGTGCGTCTTCGAGTTTGAAGGCGTCGCCTTGTGGGGCAGCCAGAAGTAGAGTAGCATGGCCCTGAAGCAGCAGGCGACAACACCTGGTCTCTATCGAGCAATGATGATCGCCCCGGACGATCAGACTCTGCCCATTAGCAGGCCGGTACTGTGTTCACCCTAAATATAACAAAAATTATAGATTTGAAGCTTTCGTGACTGCAAGAATCCATACTCTTTGGTTTTTTCGGTAAAGTCACGTGGGTAGAAAATAAATTAAATCACGACGTTTCGGGCGCAACACAAGCATCCGTCATCAGGTAGGAAAGCGTGGCCTGCTGCTGAGGCTGAGGCAGACTGATTTAATTTATTTTATACCTACGTGACTTTACTGAAAGAACCAAAGAGTATAAAATTTGTATTTTACCAGGCAAGGCCCACTGAGCTATGTAGCTCTTTTTCAGAAGTGACCTGGCTATCAAAAATGATAGCCCAACGAAGTGGATTATTGTCACGTGGACATTCATAGCAGCCAAGTAATATAAACGCGTGACGTTGATTCTGAATGTGGAGGGAAAAACCGGAGGACTCGGATAAAAATCCACGTGACCACGGGGAGAGAGACACGCAAACTCCAAAGGTACAGCAGCAGGCATCGTCAGGGTCGGGATTGAACCCACGACCTCCTTTATACCAGGCGAGGTAGTGAAGATCTCCTAGCCACCGTGATGATGAGAGAGACACCGCAAACTCCAAATATACACCAGTCATCGTCAGGGTTGGGATGGAACCTACGACCTTCTGTATACCAGGCATGGTAGTTAACATCTAGCCACCAGGTTGATGATGAGAGAGAGAGACACGCACACAGACTCCAAATATACAGCAGGCATCGTCAGGGTCGAGATCGAACCTACGTCCTCCTGTATACCGGGCGAGGTAGTTAACATCTAGCCACCGTGATGATGATGACAGAGACACGCAGACTCCAAATATACAGCAGGCATCGTCAGGGTTGGGATGAAACCCACGACCTCCTGTAGACCAGGCGAGGTAGTTAACATCTCCTAACCACCGTGGCGCCGTGCAAGGTTTGTTGGCGATGGGGTCCTCTTGGCTCGGAGTGCCGCAGGGCATTGGAATAGTTGAGATGAGGTAATGATGTCAGGCGCTTTGAAGTTGCCGAGGCGTTTAAGCACCCTATCAAAGCAAATCCTTTTCCTTAAATCCTTCGCAGCCCCGATCGCTTCAATCATAATGCCAGCAGTTGTCCCAGGTCTTACGCTAAACCCTATACAATAAGCCTCGCCTCAAGCAATGGGATTGACCTTAAGTCGTTGCACTTGGATAATCACTGATGCCTGAAAACTCTTGACATTTCTGTTGATACTTAGAATCTGAACTTTCGCGCCAGCGTCGTTCTAAATGCTCAACACCGCCCAGATTTGTTGCTAGCAGCGTCTTCATCCTAACAGGCCCCAAAGTGTAACAGCATCTGTCCAACGCTAACAACAAGTGAGATATCTGAGTACGGGAGATCGTAGATTATCCAGCGGCTTCTGGTGGGTGGGGGCCGGATTTTCAAAAACGCCGGATAATCACGACGTAATTTTTTTTAATGGCTTATTTTTGCACATTCTTATATGACATGTTTTTAGGTGTTGTGTTTTTAGTTTTTTGTGTTTTTAATGTGTTTTACTATTTTAATTTGGCATGAATTAACATAAAAATATACAACAAAAAATGTAAAAAGTTACTATTTACTGCACCGTATTTACCACTGTAGCGGCACTACGCTCTTGTTTCAACACAACCATGAGTTTGACGATCGCCAGACTGATGCAGCCTTTAGACCGGTTCTCCGGCAAATGCCGAACAACACAACGCACTTTTCTCCACATCTGTATATTTTCTGTTTTTATCACCGTACTTATTAGTCATGAAAGATGTATACACGTGCAGTCTTGTCATTGTTTAAGTTGTTGTATGTAGTGTATCGTGTACCGTAGAGAATATTTAACACTGAAATCAAGCGTAGATACTTTTTTTTGCCACGCACAATGTGCCGATCGCCGGACCGGGTCACAGCCTCTCGAACGGTTTTTCCGGTTTCGCCGGATTGGCCCGGGACCGCCGGATAATGTTTGGGAAGCCGGATAATCGCGCGGTGGCGGATAATCGACGATCAACTGCAATTTCTTTTCAGTCTCAGCACTTTAAGGAGCTTGCCCTGTACGAGCAGCAGACTGGCTTGGAAGACGTCACTCCATTTACCTCCGGCGAGTAATCCTGGCCACCGCGCTCATCCACAGTTCGTCAGCCGCATTTGGCCCGCGACGGTTCGATTGAAGTGGGCCCTACTGAGATTTGTGGCCTACGTAGAGGTAGGGCTGGCGGAGAGGCATGTTAGCGAGGTGAAACGGGAGACCAGCGAGAGACGGAGGAGTTGAAAGAGCTGCACGCATGAAGTGGAGATTGGCGAGATAATTGAAGGAGAGATGAGAGGCCTGGGGACGAGACGTGCAAATTGGTGGTCACGTGCACGGGCGGCATTGTGACATCGCGGCACCGTGTAACGCCATCGCATACGATGTCACGCGTCGTGCCGGTACCTTCCTTTAATGTCCACCGGACAATACGGTCGAAGAATCCTGCTGCAGCCCAGACACACCGATCTGTTTGAGGGGTAATAACAATAAGTGGTACGGATTTATTTGCATGACCGCTCAATGCTCCATTGGGATGATATTTCCAAATCGGTCGACTCGTACAGTCGGCTCTCGATTATCCGCGTACGGTTTATCCAACTTGCGGATGACCCGCACAACCTGAGATTTCAACATGAAAATGAATAACATGTGGATTTTCCCTGAACCCAAATTCATAATCTAAAAAGAGTTGTACATTTGTTGTTCTTGGAAATGTTTATTCCAAGATACACGAACAAGTATGTTGCTCCGGTTAATTCGAAATCCACGTGATCGCCTCTACAGTACAGTAGTTGCAATATCTTTACAACATCTTCTTGGTTCTTTCGGTAAAGTCACGTAGAAGGGAAGTAATAAAATAATAAAAATAAAACATAATAAAATAATTCTCACGACGTTTCTGCCACAACGCAAGCAGCTGCTTGTGACTTTACCGAAAGAACCAAGAAGATGAATCCCTGCAGTCACGAAAGCTTTAAATCGAAATCTTTACAACAGTTGGGGCGGAGTTTGATTGATGTTGATAGGCTGTTACTCTGCTGCTGTCATCCACTTAGTGGGGCCGAGTCTTTTGCTGGACGGGAGCAGGAAAGTGTCATCACGAAGCACGTGCATTATCGATCGGACGATCGTTAATGTTCGTTCTAAGAGTAACAATCCATATCGTCAGATGTGCTTCATTTTGAGTGGTTTAGCCGATCATTTATTTAGTGGGTTTTAATTTATACCCCGATATTCGTGGTATTTGACATAGAGATCCGCGGAAAAGGGTTCTATTTTTGGATTATCCGCGATTTTGAATTATCCACGGCCGTCCTCCCCGTCATTAGCGCGGATAATCGAAAGTCTACTGAAAATCGAGAGTCCGTTATATAATATTACCACTGAGACCCTAAATTAAGGTTTAAATTGCCTGTCATTAAACTGGCTTCTCAAGGCAAAGGCGTTGACGATTTCAACCTGGACACCATTGCCTGCACAAAACAAACGATCTCTTAATTCGCCTAATTTGAGCGCTAAACATTTTTTTATTTGACGAGGGTGAAGGAGAATTGGGTTATCGAGGGATGGCGAGGCTGTGTTTTGTTTGTATTTCGTGAAAACGATGAGCGCTGTGGGTTTTGTATGCAAGCAGCGTGGACTAACATTTGTCGTGGTGTTAATTGCCTTTTAGAATCATTCGAAGTGCAGAGAGAGAAGCTGGCAAAGAAAGGTGGGTTACGTCCCTGCGTTTTAAACTATTGTCAGTAATTTTGCTCGGCTGGGTTTTATGCACACAGTACTTTAACTGCCTCCATACCTGTGGTCACAACAAAAACACAAATAATTGAAATGGTATCTAAGCATCATTGGACCTCCTTTGCCAGTACCAAAATATAATAATCGGGGGGTTTTTCCCCTTTTTTCTGGCAACAAAACTGAAACATTTTTACAAGGATTCATGTCTGCATTAACCACAATACCTGCAGTCAAATACAAACTAAAAACACACTATGATAATATATATATTATCATATCATAGTGTTTTTAGTTTGCATTTGACTGCAGGTATTGTGGTTAATGCAGACATGAATCCTTGTAAAAAGGTTTCAGTTTTGTTGCCAGAAAAAGGGGAAAAACCCTAGTATTATGGTATCTAAGCACTTTATCAATGCAAGACGCTTCACATAAATGAAAAGGAGATTTTTTTTTTAAACACGCTTTAATGAAATGTACCCTACTTGTAATGTCAGAACTCCACGACTCCAGGAAGTGGCCCCGCAGATTGCCACAGCGTAAGGGACTGGTGATTTACAGACAACGTGAGTTGAGCGTGGACAATTAGACCCGTAAAAAAGATTGCTTAAAAGTATATATTTTAAATTTTTTTTATGATAGAATATAGTATTGCTATCAGTATGATATTCCTATACCAAGTTTGCAGTCGATACGACATTGGGAAGACGGCTGAAATTGAGTTACAAGATTTGAGGATACGACAACAGACAGTGAGTTAAATAGAAGCGTGTAAAATGTTAAAAATCTATTTATAATTTTTTATGATAGAATTTAGTCTTGTCATCAGTATGACATAAGTATACAGAGTTTGCAGTCGATAGCACATTGGGAAGTGGGTAAAATTTTAGTTACAAGATTTTTTAAGGATACGACAACAGACGGAGTGAGTTGAATAAAAGCGTGAAATAAAAATACATTTGGGTACAAGGAGGTTTGGTGGGCGGGAGTGGGTCAAGGCAGGGCAACACGAGAGAGAGGGAGGAGAGAGAGAACAAGGCCACAGCAAAGGCCAGGATGAAGCGATGGGTCCCAGCACCAACCACAACCACAGCAACGATGATGACGATCTCTAGGGGCAGCCGGGGGGAAGGTCAGCGTGGTGCGAAATTCATTGGGACTTCACTGGGGGATGATTGATAATTGTTGACCGATTGGTGGCCATGTTTCCCCAGTGCTGGAGACAGATGAGAGTCTGCTGGCCCAGCACTTTGCCCGGAAGGGCTGCCCCAACGCCCAGCGCGCCGCTCTGTGGCTCCTCATCCTCAACGTCTCCATGGGCGCCGAGGTGAACGTGGTGCCGCGTGCGTTTGGCTCGGAGCGGGAGGAGGGAAGTGGGGGGGGGGGGGGCCTTCCCCCCGAGAACCCCGATTCGGGGGTGTGCACGGCATGGCCGAGGGACGTAAAAGGGGATCGTGGCGGGTCGGAGCGCTCGCAACGACACCGCCTGAGGTCCAGCGTTCCCTTTCCAGGCTTCAGGCGCCACGTGGTTAATCCGGACTCTCAACTGTGGTCTGAGCGGGGTCACCAAATTATTGCGCACAAACTCGACACTTTTGTCAATAACAACAGTGCCTTCAAAGAAAAAGTGCATATGCACAGCGATATTCCCTCGTTATTTGCGAAGGATACGTTCCGGAGATGCCCGTGAACAGCAGATTTAGCGGATAATGATATTGGCCTGCGGATATTGTACGTGCAAAACGGCTGCAGATGTTTCTGAAACTTATAGAAGTTATTTCCATCTCACTTTATTTCTCACGACTTTCTCTCGCACGACTTTATCTCTCATCACTTTATCTCTCACGACTTTTTCTCTCACGACTTTCTCTCTCATCACATTATCTCTCGTCACTTTCTCTCCTGTTACTTTATTTCTCTCTTTCTCAGTGCAGACGTGTAAAGTCCCAGATGCGATTCACGGAGAGCCAAAATCGTGGATAGCGAGTTCCTGAATAACGAGGGCAGACCGTATTGCACAAAAGCTGACATTGACAATCGCCCGGTTTGTGATGAGGTGACCAGGTGGCTCAAAGGTCAAGTTCGAATTCCAGTCAAAGGTCAACTCAACTTATCATCCCTCTACTTTCAATACAATTAGAAGCATGCTGTGGGAATGCAGCAGTGGCTGTATTATGAATATACATGCCCCGGTCATAGGAATGTCGGATTTTTGCCTCACTCGTTTAGTGTTCCATTCCAGGAACATGTCCACCCTGTATGAATGAAAAGTCTTTGCGTATGCCCAGGCCTGCTGAACGTGTTGGCTTTGCCAGCTTGAGCCCGCTTTTTTGTCTTGGTCCCCGCAGGAAATACAGATGTATGAGCAGCTCAAGTCGGCAGTGGTCCAGCAGGATCTGCTTGTGGACAACCTCATCTACAAGGTGGGCCCAAGTGCGTCACGGTGGAGTCATGGTGGCCAGATGTTAACTACCTCACCTGGTGTACAGGAGGTCGTGGGTTCGATCCCAGCTCTAACGCCTACTGTGTATTTGTAGTCTGCGTGTTTCTCTCTCTCTCATCATCATCACGGTGGCTAGCAGATGGTAACTACCTCGCCTGGTGTACAGGAGGTCGTCGGTTCGATCCCGGCTCTAACGCCTGCTGTGTATTTGGAGTCTGCGTGTTTCTCTCTCATCATCATCAGCCGGGTTTGAAAAGTCCACGACGAACCAACCTCAAATGCCAGTCTCTTCATCACGGCTGCCTTTGAGCACTTTCGCTCTGCTCAGTCGGGGTGAGGAGGAGGGCGGCTGCGACGCAACCGAGACCAGTGTGCTTGGAACCTCATTTGCCAGAAGAAAAAATATGATAATTGGTTTTTTACCCTTTTATCTGGCAACAAAACTGACACCTTTTTTACAAGGAGTCATGTTTACATAGACCACAATGCCTGCAGTCGTATTGCAAACAAAAAACATAACTCTGATAATGTATGCACTGTTCTTGAAGTTGATTGGTCCACACACAGCTTTCCTTAGAGCCTAGTCTCACATGGTGTTGGGCCAGATGACGCCAAAAAGCTGTCTCGGGTGTGGACCAATCAACTTCAAGGACAGTGCATACATTATCAGAGGTATGTTTTTTTTTGCATTACGACTGCAGGTATTGTGGTCTATGCAAACATGACTCCTTGTAAAAAAGGTGTCAGTTTTGTTTCCAGATAAAAGGGTAAAGAACCAATTATCACCAGTGTGTTTGTCGGGAGAAGCAGACCACATGGACCATCACCTGAGCTGCTGCTGCTGCATTGTGGTTGCTGCTGGCCGTCCACTTAGCACCCCCCATCCCTTCGGGGGGGGGGGGGGTCGGAGAGGGGTGTGCTCGATAAATTGAGTAGCAATTTGTTGGGAAGCCAACAAGTGGATTATCCTGTGGATAGACTGGCACCCGTCATTGGAATGTGGAATTGCCATCAGCAATGGAGATGAGCACCGCCACGCTCCCTTTTGTGGGCCAGCATTTTGACATTTTGTGCGTCGGTGGCATTGTTGTCGATCTGCTTGTTTCAGGATGTGAAGCTGACGGCCAGCAATGATGACTACTACTTCGTGTTTGAAGACTTCCTTTACCAGGTAACGCGCGTTTACTTACCTCTGCGCGTGTGTGTGGTGTGTGTGGTCTGTGTGTGTGTGGTGTGTATACGTCAGAAGGTCGCGCTCGTTACACGCACAAAGCGCTTGCCGCAAATGAACTGCGTTACCTTAGCTGTTCTCGTCAAGAAGCTTCAATCGTCATCACGCGAACTCCGGTCATCCTCGGAACAGCGGCTTTAGGCTAACCGTCGGACTGGGACGGTGGTCACCGCATCATCGCGCGGCGCTTTCAGATGCGCTTCTGCGGCCGTCTGGAACGCTCTTCCTTCCGACGTTAGGAAGCCACTGGAGCTGTGCACTTTGAGGTCTAAATTAAAAACTAATTTCTTCAGAACTGCTCGTTGTGTTTAGTTTGTAGTCCTCCTGGCTACGTACGGTGCGAAAGAAGTTCAACATACATAATACATACGTGTGATTAAAATGTTCATTGAAGTGTGAGGGGTGGCATAAGCAGCCGTCCAGCAGAATTAGATTCAACTTTTATTCTCATCTCACTTCTGCAAAGTGAATGCTAAACCTCTCTTGGAGATGAGAAGCTAGATCAGAAACTGGAATATTAAGGATGTAATCAACGCTCCAGATAACGTGTTTGGTCTTTGAGTAATATACCCTCCGATTTTACCACCGTGAGTAAAATGTATTTTCAAGGGGTAAAATGCAACATTACCGTGCAGTTACAAGCAATGTCAATTAATACCATGCCATCTTTCATGGTAAGCTATGGCGTGTGTGTTAACGAGAGCCTTGCATTTTTTAACGACGGCGTTACCTTGATTTCACTGCAGGCAGCTCTGGCACGGCTTTCGGTAAAGAGCCACCAGGTTGGAATCGGGCGATTTGTGAGCGCGTTGCTGAAACCTGCGCGTGCCCCGTCTTAGGTGCTGTTGTGTTTCTCTCGAGACACAAAAGTGCTGAGCCACTTTGAACACAACAGCGCCACTCCGCCCAAGACGTATTCCCCAGGTGCGTGTGTGTGCGTGCGCGTCTGTGTGCGTGTGCATCTGTGCACACAACAACGAGCGGAGCGCCGGGTGGCTAAGGCACAGCAAGTTGGCACAGTAGGGGGCACAGGTGGTGCATCAGCCAGTCGTCTCGGTCATCTCAGTCAGTCGACCGGTGGCACTTGGGTCTGCCTCGTGACCTCCTGCCAGCGGGCGTTCCACACTTCACGTGGCCTCAAGGTGCACATGGCCTGGCACAAGCGTCGTGGTGACGCCACCGCCACTTAGTGGCAAATGGCGGTTGTTGTTGTTGTATGAGAGATACATTTCCATTTGGTACAGATACAATGGGAGGCTGATCGATGCCTGGGTGCGGTCAAGGGATGGCTCCCTATTGCTCAACCACGTTATGTATGCCGACGACCTGGTAATTGCTACTCACTCAGAAGAGGAGTTGGAGGCACTGCTGCTGAACCTGGAGCTTGCCACCAAGAGGTGGGGGTCTTACCATCAGCCCCACCAAAACTAAGCACCTGCCTGGGTATTTTGTACCATCGGACACTCCACCCCCACAACTCCCAATTGGTGATAGGGCAGTTATATGGAGAGAGTGGAGAGTTTCTCATACCTTGGCATTGTGCTCATGACCGGCTCCGGTTTAACAGCAGAGGTCTCACTCCGATCCTATCGAGCGGCATTATCTTTTCATCGGTTGCGTAACGCTGTGTGGAAGCTACCTGGTCTATCACTCTGCACGAAGCTTCAGGTCTTCTCGGCCACGGTCATTCCCTCCCTTCTCTACGCTTGCGAAACGTGGACCCCCCTAATGGAACATCTTTGCTGGTTAAAAACATTGAGGCTGGCCTGCCTATGATCCATCCTGGGTTTAACCTGGCCTGGATTGTGTGAGGAGCTCACAAATCCTTGAAAGATGTGGACAAAGTCCCATCGGCAGGCAAGGCTGCGTTGGCTGGGTCATGTAGCAGGCACACTGTGTGACGCTGCCGCATGCGGGCGACATCACAGATGTGGCGTCACCACTTGCTTTACATTATTGCGCCCCCCAGCACAGCTGTTCATGCGCCGCTGCGCTACATACTCGCTGAACATCGGTGTGTCAGCCTCTCCGGGGGTCTCCCCCCAGTTGACGAAGCCTGAGATCCATAGCCCTAGAGAGACGAAAGATGCGTATGGTAGAGGCCGACCGAAACTGATTGTCTGGTTTCGGCCGAAAACTAAACGAAACCGAAAGTAAAAAATTTACTTTTGGCCGAAACCGAAACTATGCCGGAAGAGGCCATTTTTCAACTTTCGACGCCGAAACCGAATTTCGGTCGGCCTCTAGCGACGGTGCCGTCCACAGCACCACTCACCCAACGTGTTGGGTCCCAATGGATGTATCAATATGTCCTGCCGAGTATTCATGTCGATTGTCTGTGTGTGCCGTGCGCTTCAGGGAAAATGGGCGTGGAAGAGTTTGCGACCGTCTACCCGCCCAGCGGTGAGCCAACATCGCGACGTGTATTCGGAGATGTATGATTTAGCACGAGTGAGTGTTCTCCGTTCAGATGATGTGCGGCCAGGTGAGCGGTGCATAGTGGGGATAGGCGGCATTGACAGACACCAACGCGGATGTGTTGGCCCATAGCGTTGTGTCGTCAAGTCCCTTTTCTTCGGGGAAGGAAGAGGGGATGGGAGGGGGGAGTCAGCCACAATTCAAGTTCAGTCAAGTGAACTCGGGGTCTCTGGAGTGACATTAACGCGTGTCTGCCGCCTTGCAGGTGTCATTCCCTTCCACGGCTTCACGATGTACGGTAAGCGATGACCGCCGCCACCCCGTAAACATTGCCGGCCGGTACCTGCGTTGCGCGATGCCGAGGCTACCGCGTGCGTACGCGCGCGAGCGAGGTTTGTGTTTTCCCCCTCGGCAGTGGCTCCGCTGTGCTTCCTCTACCACGAGCCGCACACCCTCTACTACGCCTTCCGCCAGATGTACGTGCGCCACTTCTTCCGGCTTCACTCGGTCTCCTCCCACCCGTCGGTGAGCGTCGTCGCTAGTTGCTCACCGCTCGTTGTCGCTCGCACCAGGACCGCTCGCTCGCTCGACCGCCCTTTCCGCGTTGCGCAATGTCGCGAACAAGGGCGGAAGATTCTGCACGTGCACGGATTCTGTGGTGCTTTCGAGGAATCTGCTTGTCCTCGGAGGTAATGAATTCGTCAACATAATGCTCGTGGGCATTGCCAGGTGCCCCGGAGCAGCATTTCCTTTAAACAAAACTGATGGAATGGGGGATGGTTTAGTTTTGTTTGTAGTTGTTTGGGCGATTTGTGTTGCCTTTCTTGTACTTTGCACTGCTATTGTGTTTCTGTGTTTGTCGTTGTGACGCTCTTTATACCCCGTGCCCCGACTGGACATCTGTAAGAAAGAGCTTCACAGCTCGTTGTATGTCTCCAACATGAAAACAATATTCTGATTCTGATCGTCTTCTGACAATCCAATGAGACTTTTAAGATCACAGCCGAGAATACTCTCCTGGCGTGATGCAGCAACCACGCTTCCTTGCCATCAGGAGAAGTGAGGCTGAGGTCGTTGCCGTGACCCCTCGCTCACCGGCGCTCTGTGTGCAGGGCATCGTGGCGCTGTGCCTGCTCTTTGAGACGACTCTGCAGAGGCTCCAGCCGCGTCTCTTCCACCATCTCCGGGACATCGGCGCGCAACCGTAAGTCGCCGCACGATCACCGTTACCAGAATCAGCCTCACCACAACCACCGTTACCAGAATCAGCCTCACCACAACCACCGTTACCAGAAGCGAACTTCTTTCGCACCGTACGTAGGCAACTGCGCTAATCGGAGGTGCGGGGGAAGGACAACAAAGGAAACACTAAAAGCAGTTTTAAAGGGAAATTAGTTTCAATTTTTGCATAGTAGTGTAGTGTATAACGTAGTGTGTATAGTGCAGTGTATAGTAGTGGAGTGTATAGTAGTGTAGTGTATAGTGTAGTGTATAGTAGTGTATTTTATAGTATATTTTATAGTATTGTAGTGTATAGCATAGTGTGTATAGTGTAGTGTATAGTGTGTATGTGTGTTGAACTTCTTTTGCACCATACGTAGCCAACCGCGTGAATCGGAGGTGCGGGGGAAGGACAACAAACTAAACACAGCAACGAGCAGCAGATCTAAAGATATTCGTTTTTCAATTCTCTGATTCCTCGTGGTACGTGAACATCCATGAAAGACGATGTCATGAGTGGGCCGCTTCGTGCACACAAGGGACCGCGTTCTTCATACGCCTCGAGAAACAAAACAAGTGTTTGTCACCTGGCCATGAAATCAATATTTTGAATCATCAGCGTTGAAATACGCCAAACTATGTAATAAACCACATTTAATGATGATGTTTTTGTTTTTCACTGGTGCCTGGGCTGAGACAATGAACTCGCTGCACTTGAATGAGAATCAGAATATTGTATTTCTACTGCAGGAGGCATCCGATGAGCGATGAAGCTCTTTTTGCACATATGTCCAAGTAAGGGCACGTGGTCAGAACGTTACAACAACTAATACAACAACACGACAGGTCCAAACTGGGGCGGCCCAAACCCACGTGGCCTTACGCCGGATCTCGGCGAACTCATTCCGGCCGAGTTCGCAACTCGCAATGCGTCGGCCTGCCGAGTCACATGGCTGTGAACCGTGCCCTCTGACCCTGGTCTGGAACTCCCTTCCCCCTGGCCACCCGCATTGCCAACTCACCCTGATAACGGTCCAGACTCCCGCCCCTGCCGGTCTCTCTCCGCCTTTTGAACGACTCGCTCCGTCGAGGGTCTTCCACCGCGCGCCACGTCCATCTCCCATCCCTCACCGCCTGCCTCAAAGAATCCTCCTCGAGGCGGTCGGGTGACTCAAAATGCCGGGAGCGCTGCGCCGACGCCGCAGAGTCGAAATCCGGACGGCCGCCCGTTTTGTTAAACCGCGTCCTCAAACCGTACATTTTGGTTTTCATTTGGCTGAATCCCAAACCCTAAATTCAAAACGTCAGCTTGACCGCCCGCGGCCGGGGTGAGTGGGAACGGCACCGCCCTCAACCGTGCAAACGGGGTCGCTGCAAGCGATCTCCGAGGTAGCTCTGTGATACCCGCTTCCGTGAGCTGCTCCCCTGACCGCTCCCGTGCGCGGGATCCAAACGGGACGCCCCGTGAGACGCCATTTGGACGTTTCCGCCGACCCGCGCCCCGCGCTGTTGTTTGTGCGCAGGCTGCGCATCGCCTTCAAGTGGCTCGTGAGGGCCTTCTCCGGCTACCTGGCCACGGACCAGCTGCTGCTGCTCTGGGACCGCTTGCTCGGCTTCAACTCGCTCGAGCTGCTGGCAGGTGGGACCCCCACCCCCCTCCGTGTGGTGGTGGTGTAGCGTGCGGCGTGTCCGTCACCTGCGTGTCCATGACCTGCGTGTGTGCGTACGCGCCGGCTCCGCTCGGGGGTAGAGCTGCTGTGCTGTGTGGGGCCCACAGCAGTGGTGGTGGTGGTGGTGATGCGCCACAAAGGAGAATCAACTGCGGTGGTCCAAAAGGGACTCGGTCTGCAGCAGGCCATGCTCTCCCACCTGATGACGATGGACGCTTGTGTTGCGCCCCAAACGTTGTGATTTATTTGATATTTCTACCCACGTGACTTTACCGAAAGAACCAAAGAGTATGGATTCCTGCAAGTCACGAAAGCTTCAAATCAAGACGTTCAGAATATTTTTTTTTAAGGAGGAATCCGATGAGCTGTCTCTGTGACGTTGTGCGGACGTTGCGGCGCTGTGACGCACGCCGCTCCCACTGTGCGTGTCTCCCCCAGTGCTGGCGGTCGCCATCTTTGTGCTCAGAGCGGAGAATCTCATGGAGGCTGCTTCTCTCGCGTCCGCCGAGGTGCGTGCTTGGCTGCTGGTCAGCCCCCCGCGCCATGAACCCTGCCAACCCAAGTTCACTTCCCGTTCACTACCAGTAACAGTGGCGGATATTTGAACCCGTCCCCGAGGTCGATTCAGCCTTACAGAAGTTCCTGGTGTGATGTGTGTAAACATCAACAATAGGGGAGACAAAGGTGGGCAGGCATGGCTTCTGGCCACACCCACCCTCTCGTGCGCCATTCCAGCCTTCATAGGTGCTTCTCTGACAGCACTCGTCCCAACAGCCTGTAAACAGCTACACGTGGTGGGGGGGGAATCTTTGTGGTTTGTGGGGCGGGCGATCGACCGCAGTGGGTGTGTCGTAGACTGGAGCCTTGAAGGAAAGACTCAACCATGAACTCTTGGATCTTGTCGCAAAGTGGACACGTTACGATTTAATTCCGAAAAATATTCCTACGCTCATGATACACGCTGTGAATTCGTCTGCGGACCATCTGTTCAGGAATTAGGAGAAAAATTGCATTCAGGGTAATGGGCTCAACGAAACAAAAGCAGCGAGACAGTAACATGCTTGACCGCCGACACAATTGAGGACTGCACGCAGTCGAGACAACTCGCCCCCGAATCGAGTCACAACCTCGACCTTGTTAAAAATTCTTTCGAGTCGTTCGGTGCCGCCCCGCGCCCGTGTTGACGGTCGGCCACGCCGTTGCGGGTTTCGCAACGTGACCACGGCTGGAGTTGTTTACGTGGCCGGGGGTCTCTCCCGTGGCGTCCGCAGGCCGTGCTCGCCGATCTGTCCACCGTCAAGGTGGTGCCGCTGCTCCAGCTCGTGCTCTTCGGTGGACTCAAGTGACGACGTGGACTCGCGCAGGAAGCACGCCGCCTACCCCGACACTGCATCCCTCGGCTGCCCACGCCTACCACCAACCGCTCCCGTGTTCAGGAAGTTGGGTATTGCGTGGGGGCGGGCCTCTGATTTGTGTCGAGAATTTGGTTTTGGTGAAACACGTTCCTTCGGAGTGGGCAGGTAGGAACTTGGTTGGACGGCGCATTCGTGCGATCCGTGTCACGCGGCGCAAGCCGCGTGGGGCGGCGCGTCACGTGGTGCTGAGCCCGCCCGAAGCGCTCTGTATGAAATACAAATCGAGGACGTGGCTATGCACGACAAACAGACAAACAAATAATCCCTGGTGGGCAGTGTGGAACTCTTGTTCCTACCTGTAAAAAAGCAATTTCCATTGAATTAACCCAGCCCCAACGTTCCACCATCACCACCTTCACGATGAGCCCATGGTCTATCCACTGCTGAAGGACTCCTCACCCTGTGACCCCCTCCCCAACGTCCGATCAAGGTCTCCGCCACGCCGTCGCCACCATTCTCACGGTCCCTGCGATGCCACAATCCATCCCCACACTCTGACGCGAGCCGAACTCGAATGTGCCCAGTCCCTGCGGTGGTCACGTTCGATCATTTGTCATTCAGTCAGCAGTCTCAGCGTCGTCCATTATTGGCCAGCCATCCCTCTCGGGATGTGGCTTTCCCAAGCCCCCACTTAAATGAAAATTTTATATTTTACCAGGTAATGCTCAGAGGCGACCTGGCCACTAATGATAGCTCAACGAAGTGGCTGTATTATCACGTGGGAATTTATAGCACCCAAATACTCTGAGCGCGTGTCGTTGATTCTAAATGTGGATGGAAAAAAATCCAGAGGTCCTGGAGAAAAATCCACGCGAACACAGGGAGCGGGAGAGAGACACGCAAACTCCAAATATATACGGCAGACGTCAGGGACGGGATCGAACCCACGACCCTCTTGTATACCAGACGAGGTAGTTAACAACTCAACAACGTGCCACTTATTTCCTTTAACATTCAATGATTCGTCTAATTTGGCAATCGCGAGCCACGTGTTCTTCTGTTTTTTATTGCAACTCGAGCCTGGATATCTGCGCTCTCTCGGCTTCCTTCGCCCGCGTCCGTGCGTCCGATCCGTCCGATAAGCAGGTTTAAGAAAAAAATTAACCCGTAAAAACAAAGTTTTTCACTATAAATCCTTTATATGCGTGGCGGCTAGAGTCCTCTCGTCCTCTGGCTTGAGATGGCTGCCACCTATGGGTCAGATAAATGTCTGCCACCACATTAAAGCAATTGGTAATTAAATATAATAATTTTTTTCCTAAAAAGTGTAAAATTTTGGAACAAAAATTTTCACGAAAATACATTGTAACGCACAACGAGTCTGTGTGCAAAATGTCAGCTCGATTGGATCACGGGAAGTGGGTTAAAAAACGACCGAAAGATTTGCACGGTCGTAAGCAAGCAAGCAAGCAAACGAACTTAATATAAAGGATTTAAAAAGCACGCAGATTGAAACCTTTCCTCAACAAACACGACACTGCGCCTCTGCACTTTTGTTCAAAATCTCGGTGAAGCAAAACCGCGCATCGAATTCAAGCCGTGACTGCCGTACGCGCCTAAAGGCAGTCCCCCGAGTCGCGCCACGAACATGACATCGATATCTCGGTTTCACTGCTGGATGAACGCAGCGGGCGGCCATCGCCGATTTTCACGACGTGCATCTGCCGCACAGGAGGGGGTGGTGGTGGGGGGAAGGAATCTTCTCTCTCGAATCCAGGAGCCAATAATACTGGTAGGAACCTCCTGGTTACACCAGCCCACAGGGGATTATTGTGTCCGTCCGTCGTGCAGGGAGGGGCTGGGGGGGGAGGGGCTGGTCACCCCGTGGTGCCCTTATAAAACTCAACGTTTAACCTACTCACGCCGGCTTGTGCCCGCCCTCACAGTCGGGCATATTTGCGGAATACACCACGTCCGCCGTTGACCCTGGCCATTGACCGAGCAACCCAACGTTCCTACCAGCTCCCTCCGCAGGAATGCATTCATTGTTCAAGAAATGGAAGGCGACCCGCGGACAAAGACGACTTAAAGATCTTTATTTGTACGGCGCAGATTAATTACATTTGTTTCAATACTGAAATTTAAGTGGTACATGTATTTACAATTTTAAGCGGCCCTGAATATAGCGATTACATGAATGAGGTATACGCAATAAAGGTCGGACGTTAAATACGTGAGCCGAGTCATCGTTCTTCTGTTGTTGTTTTAAAGGCAGTAATACAACTCGGCTTGCACAAACATACAGAAGCGAGATCACGATTTATGCAACGGCATTCGAGATATAATTGCGACATAAATAGCTGCATATATATTAAGATTACAAGCTGGGGTTTTCATCGCACAGCTGACGTCTTGATTAACGTTCCTGAATTCATATGTACACAAAGACAAAGATCCCCCCCTCGCCGTATAGCCTCAACAGACCGTCAGGGGCAAGTGCTGTTAGCGAGCAGCACCTATGAAGGCCGGCACGGCACGACGAGGTGGGGTGGGGGGGGTGACGATGTTTTAAACAATCGCACCCCAGGCACTCACTCGAGATCGAGGGGACCCCGTTCAGATAATCAGCGCTCACCGCCGCGTTACCGCCCCCCCCCCCCCCCCGGCACGTGCACAGCACCTACGTGCAACGCGCGGGAACCTGTGACGTACGCAATCATTCTTTTAAAATTATTAAAAAATAATAAACCGAGTTTCACATGTTGGCTTTTATTTGATAGATCAGCGGACGACTCCTTTGGTTCTTGCGCTGCTGTCAAACTGCTGCCCAATTGGCAAAACGTGTCGCTGACCGGACCGTGAGCTGGCAATGCTGCGAAGTTCACGGCGAGAGGCAAAACGTGAGCACCTCGCAAAGCCGGAGGTGGCCGGAGGTCCCCCACACTCCTTGCGCGCACACCAGAGGTCGCAACCGGGTACCCGATACCCGTACCCTACCCGATACCCGTATCCTACCCGATACCCGGCTGGGTACGGGTAGACCGTGAGTCACTGGTGAGTAACTGTTTGACACTCATTTCCCAACGTCTTGTCTCTTCTCACAATTCAAGTTCCTAGAATCAACCCACCCGCGCCTGCAACATGGCTTCATCCCAGAGGTCGCAATCAGGTACCCGATACCCGTACCCTACCCGGCTGGATACGGGTAGGGTACGGGTACGGCCGGATACGGGTACCCGTTTGCGACCCTGGTGCGGCCGGGTACGGGTAAGGAATCAAAACCCGTTTGCGACCTCTGGCGCACACACACACACAGGCTACTCCACTTCTCTTGCCTATGTAGCAAGCGGTGCGCTGACCTCTACCACACCAAGTCACAACGAACTGACGAAACACAAATGCGTCACGCGCTGGGCGGCGTGGCTTGCTCAGGTTTCCCTCCTGCGGGAGGCAGCAGGACGTGGGACTGCGTTATACAGGGAGGGGGCTTCAAAACAATGTTTAACACTTCTGAGAATTTGCAACAAGACCACAAGCAGTGTGCCTCCTCCTGGCTCTGGAGACCAACCTGGAGAAGATTCCAGGCGTGGGCGTTGACAATGATGGCGAACAAGTGGAGACTCAGAATAGATTTTTACCCTTTCTGGCAATAAAACTGTTGTGTTAAGAGACTATTTGACTTTCTGAAGCTACGAACATGACATTTGTTAGCACGTTACGGTGTATTATTATCCATTCTTTTCCCCCATTAAAAACGAGCGTGCCAAATAAATGTCAACATTTTTTTTAAGCGCCCTGTACATTCAGGGAGCTAAATGTCCACGGGGCTACGGCTGGTCACGACGGGAGCACTTCAGCAGAGAGAGAGTTGGTGGTGGAGCTTCGCCATTCCCCCTCCCGACTGTTGAAGGAGCGTGGGGGGGGGGGGGCTACGGTGGTTGACCTGCACAGTCCACTGTCTCACTATCGTGGCTCGCCTTTAAAGTATATCTACGGGTCTCTACGAGTCTCTGTGGGTTTACTACGTGGCCAATCGTTTGGGTTGCATGGCCAAAATCTTGCTCTGGCTTCGTCTTGTGTTGGTCTCTGGGTCTCTACGTATCTATGCGTATCGGTGCATCTCCGTGTATCTTCTGCTTGCGTACTGCACATTGTGTTCGGAGAAGACAAATGCCACCGTTGACGCCTGCCAGCAGAGAGAGTTCGTGTCGTTTTGCTGTTCCTCCTCCGTTGAATCAGCGCAAACTCCTGTGGCTTGCCGTGTGGCCCGTAGTTTGGGTTGCATGGCCACACTCGCACTCCTGTAGCTTGCCTGTAATGTCTACCTACGTATCTCTACGAGTCTCTGTGTATCTCTGTGAGTCTCTACGTTCCTGTATGGGTCGACATATCACTGAGCCTCTATGTATCTCTATGAACATCTAAGAATCTCTATGGGTCTCTACGTTTCTCCCGAGTCTCCAGGTATCTCTACGGGTCTCTATGTATCTCTCTGGGCCTCGACATATATCTCTGGGTCTCTACGTATCTAAATAAATAAAAACCCACAATGTGAAACTCTGACGGTTTGTTGCACACACACCGCGTACAGCGCACTTTGTCTACGCGGCGACGGTGTCTTCGTACCGGTCGTTTATCGCCAATCGATACTAACAACTCGTAACACTGATGAGTCCAATACATAGCTTGCTCCGTATAATTCCAGAAAAATGGTAATACTTTTTTTTCGCTCCGATGAAATGAATGACATTTTAGGAAGCCGAAAAACGCGACGACACGAAAAAAACGATTCCAGTTTCCTTTTAAAAGCGACCGAACAATCTCCCAACGCTCGCTCGGAGTAGGTGGGGTGGGGTGGGCGGAGAAAACGCACAGCGTGGGAATGATTCAAACGCACGGCGGACGAATAGGGATGGCGCGCGCCATGTTCAGCCGCACGAAATCCCATCGGCGTGGCAAAAATTCCCAATGCAGGCTTTCCTCGCTGTACGTGGGTTCGGTGTAGTGTGTGCGTGCGTTTTCGCGTGTACACACTACACACATATATAGCGGCTTGCCAATTTACTAATAGAGTTTTCCCCTTTTTTCTGGCAACAAAACTGACACCTTTTGCAAGGAATCATGTTTACATTAACCACAATACTTGCAGTCAAATGCAAACAAAAAACAATACTCTGGTAATTTATGCCTTTTGGCGTCATCTGGTCGAACACCATATGAGACGAGGCTCCAAAGAAAGCTCTCTCTGGTGTGGACCAATCAGTTTCAAAGACAATGCATAAATTACCAGAGTATTATTTTTGTTTTCATTTGACTGCAAGTATTGTGGTTAATGTAAACATGATTCCCTGCAAAAGGTGTCAGTTTTGTTGCCAGAAAAAAGGGGAAAACCCTATTAGTATATGTTGGTACTGGCAAAAGAGGTCCCATGATGAGGCTTGCCTATTTATAAACAAAATTCGCCATGCCAGTGTTGCCCCTATGAATTCACCCATGTGCGGATATTATGCGGTCGGAAGTTGAACAGCCTTGCGTGCCGTGACGTACTGCACGCGCCACTCGGCACGCCAGCCGTCTCGTGCCGTACGCATCGACTACTCCGACCACGACTGCTGCCACTGCGACCGCGTAAAGCAGGGGTGGGGAACCTTTTTTCTGCCAAGGGCCATTTGGATATTTATACCATCATTGGCGGGCCATACAAAATTAAATTTATGTTGCTGTGAAAAAAGCTCCTAGATTTATTGAATTTCGAGTTGTGCGGTTGCCTTGGCAGGACCAGACTAAATTATTTCGTGGGCCTTATACGGCCCGCGGGCCGGACGTTCCCCACCCCTGGCGTAAAGCGAGACAAAACCCGGTATCCGAGAAATCTATCTGGGCATCCGAAATCCGCTGTGCGGGGCGACATGACTAAAACAAAGCCGGCCACGTGGGTCAGCCTGGACCATTCCTCTTCTCAAGCGACAGGATATTTTTCATCTTGGGCATTTCCCATGACATCTACGTTGGTCTGTGGGGAAGTGACCTCACGGCTCCACACACTTGGGCTGGGATGTTATTTATGTTGCAGAAGCAACTCGCACCAGCAGGGGGCATCGCAGATGAGCAGTGTTTGGTGGGGGAGAGAGAGATAGAGCGCGCGGAAGGTTCCAGTAATATTTCGGTGAAAACATCCAAGCTGGATTGCTAAGAATATAAATACTTTGAATTTGCATGGAAAATTATCGGCAGAAAATTCCCTTCCACCAACAATACGTGAATGAAGGCCCGACAGGTTTTGGCCGGTCCGGGCTGAATTTTCACCGTCAATGCCCTTTCAAAGTTATCAGCCGGCATGGTTGGATGCATTGTTCAGTCAAGGAACAATAACACGCTGACAGCCAGTCGCCCTTTGGTGTTGATACGATCGGTCTGGATTTAAGGCGGTTTTGGAGGTACACACAACAAAGGTAATCACCAGCCACAATGGTAGTGAGCACGCAAGAGGGCTGGTGAACACGTGATAGAGCTGGTGAACACGCCAGAGGGCTGGTGAACACGTGACAGCTGGTGAACACGTGACAGCTGGTGAACACGTGACAGCTGGTGAACACGCGACACAGCTGGTGAACACGTGACAGCTGGTGAACACGTGACAGCTGGTGAACACGCGACACAGCTGGTGAACACGTGACAGCTGGTGAACACGTGACAGCTGGTGAACACGCGACACAGCTGGTGAACACGTGACAGCTGGTGAACACGTGACAGATGGTGAACACGCGAGAGAGCTGGTGAACACGCGAGAGAGCTGGTGAACACGCGAGAGAGCTGGTGAACACGCGAGAGAGCTGGTGAACACACAAAGTGGTTGGCTTGACTTTCTGCGTTTGTACTTTTTTCCCAAGTGGGGATAGTGAGGGAGGCAGTGAGGTTGGGAATGAGATGTGGAGGATGAGCCGAGCAGGAAGACCCCATGAAGATCGTCGTTCTGCACAGGCTCGCGCCCCACCACAACATCACAACGCACCGGCGGGACCCGTCTCGTCACATCTCACAAGCTAAGCAGGTTGTGAGCCTGGCTAGCGCCTTGGATGGGCGACCACCGCCACGCATTGACACAGCTGCGTTACGACTAGAGGCGGCGTAGGCCCGCGATGTCTACGCCGCTCACCTTCACCAAGTCACTGACCCCGTGCCCCAGGCTTGGACGTCGGTGATAGAAGAGCTTTCATAGCTCATCAGATTATTCCTCCTCCTGCTGCTGAAAAGATTCAGATGCTGAAGGATGGTCAACTCACATCCACACGGCCCCGCCATAACGTAGGGGGAGGCTCTCATCCAGCAACTTTCAGAGATACGAACAAACCTGTCCGTATGTCCAGTTGCCTGTTCGGAGTGAGAGTCGTAAGTTCAACCGCTGTGCAATAGATGGCGGTGGTGGCATCTACATCTGCAGCACGTTTAGAATCAGTGGCATCTACATCTGCAGAACATAAACTAGTGGCATCTGCAGCACATGAAGAGCCAGTGGCATCTACATCTGCAGCATGTGAAGAACCAGTGGCATCTCCATCTGCAGAACATGAAGAACTAGTGGCATCTACATCTGCAGAACGTGAAGAACCAGTGGCATCTACACCTGCAGAGCGTGAAGAACCAGTGGCATCTACACCTGCAGAACGTGAAGAACCCAGTGGCATCTACACCTGCAGAGCATGAAGAACCAGTGGCATCTACATCTGCAGAACGTGAAGAACCAGTGGCATCTATATCTACAGAACATGAAGAACCAGTGACATCTACATCTGCAGCACGTGCAGAACCAGTGGCATCTCCATCTGCAGAACGTGGAGAACCAGTGGCATCTACATCTGCAGAACGTGAAGAACCAATGGCATCTACATCTGCAGAACGTGAAGAACCAGTGGCATCTACATCTGCAGAACATGACGAACCAGTGGCATCTGCATTTGCAGCACGTTAAGAGCCAGTGGCATCTACATCTGCAGAACGTGAAGAACCAGTGGCATCTACATGAGATTATACAACTTCGAAAACCTTGCCCCATGTTTAGTGTACACGCCGTACAACATGTTTGGAATCGACGGGAGTAAAATTTGTTAGACTTACGAACAGACCTCTGAAACCGAACCCGTTAGTAAGTAGCAGAGTTACTGTGCGTGTGTGCCCGTTCGTAGCAAAAGTCGGCACCACACTCTCTACATTCTGGTCTCCCAGCGTGGTGGTGGCGCTGCGGGTACCAATACACATCACCGTGTGTGTTGCCGTGCGTGGCACCACCAGCGGGGACTGTGAGAGCTTCGCAGTAAGAGTCACGCACACGTTCCTATCGGCGAATCTTAAGACACGTTCATATTGGCACATCTTAAAAATACTCGTTCCCATTGCCAAATCTTAAGACATTCCTATCGGCGGATCTTAATAAGACATGTTCCGATCAGCCAAATCTTAAGACACGTTCCTATCGCCGAATATTTAGACCCATTCCGATCAGCAAATCTTACGGCACGTTCCCATTGGCGAATCTTAAGACACGTTCCGATCGGCTAATCCTCGAGACACGTTTCCGATCACGCGAATCTTGAGACGGGCGTTGGTGGCCCACAGCTCCTTGTACCGTCCCCACTGCATCAGCGCATCTGAGATGATGGCTGTTGAGGATGTGAGCCGATGCGTGTAACGACACGGCCGTCGGGCTTAGTAGCCGCGGCCTTGACAGAGGCCGAACCGGTGGCAAACGGACGCCTTTGCCGATGGCTCTGCGTCCTGGCAGAGCGAGGCGACTTCCGAACGGAGGGGGCTCTCGTCCAGCAGCGGATTAAGAGCAGCTGAACATCGCTCCCAAGGAGGCGAGGAAGCACGCCCCCCTTCCCCCTCGACCGCGTACGTCCGATGTCGCTCGGAGGGATTCGAGGCGCTTCCATCGGCCGACTTCTCTAACGCGCTGCGCTGCCCTGCGAGGGATCCTCGGTGGACGCTTCGTCGAGTTGAGGGCACGTCGATGAGATGAAAATCATAAAAAGCTATAATCTGCAGCGTTCTTTTTCAGAAGCGGCCCTGACAATCAAACAATTTGATGGCCCAGCAAAGTGGCTCATCACCGCCGTCCCGTGGAAATTCATAGCAGCAGGCAAAATACTCTTAAACGCGCGTTGATTCTAAATATAAATAAGAATGGCTGTGATTGGCCGACAGAAATGGCTTCATGCTTCCGAGATCGGCTCTTTCAATAGACGCAAAAAGTTGCAATCAACTGTAACAACGGTTCAGAGTTATTTTTTTTACTTTTTAGTTTTTATATTAATTGTAACCACTGTACACGCACGCACGCACACATATATTAAATGTTATTACATTCTATGGTATTTGTTTTAAATAGACCATTTTAAAAATATAAAACAGAGAGAGAAAAAGAAGTTACAGGCTGACGAGGCTCAGGTGCAACTTGGCTCAGCCTCGGTCAACTTACGAGCTGGGGGTGGCGCAACGGCGACAATGTTGCCAGTGCCGGAAACCGCCGCCATGCCGCCGGCAATCACGGCGCTTAACGAGCAAGAGGGGGAGCGAGTCAAGGATGTAACATGGGGGGGGAGGAGGGGAGGGCGGGAAATAACAAATGACGAAATGTGACCGGACGAAGATCAAGAGCGAGAGACGAGAGCGATGGTGAAAGCAACGGAGAAACTGGACCACACCGGGGCGGTGGTGGCGGTGGGGGGAGGTAGGAGGAGGATCTTCGGCACGGCAGCCGCACGGAGGAGCGGCGTGCGTTGAATTTCTCTCGCACCGCACCGAGCCAACCGTGCTAATCGGAGGCGGTTCTCAGAGTGGGCGACCCGCCGATCGACCCGCCGCCGTGAGCCCGGTGACGCCGCTGGGGGTGGACAGAGGGGCGGTGGAGATGGGGGGGGGGAGGGGAGCGCAACCCGGCGGCCTTCCACCGACGCGCTCTGTGACCCCCTTATGCCCAGCTGCACGGTAAGGAAGTGAAACTTGCGATCGCTCGGCTTGCACCCTTGAAACCCAGTGTGCTTCGCCGCCAAATAAGACTCGTAAATAATTATACACCCACACACACACGCGCGCTAGTATATATTATATGTACACACACACATATATAGAAAATAAAAAATGTGCAGTGGCATTTTCCGACTCGCCGCTCCGTCGAAAAGGTGAACAGTTTTGTACGAAGAGAACAAAAAAACTATCTTTGGTTGTTTTCAAATAAACGTTCCTCGTCGTCGACATCGTCACCGTTGCTTCCGTGAAGCCACGCTCGATAGAACACGCACACTCTCACGGGGTCGAATGAAAAGCACTTCCGTAAAACAAAAAAAGAAAGGATGCTTGGAAAGTCCCCTCCGAGGCCGTTTTTCACGGGAAGGCTTCCACGCGACCACCGGTGCGATTCGTCATCGGTTTGCGTGAATTCTCAAGAGTTCTTCGGGAAAAAAGACATCGTGGCTCAAGGTTATCGAGGTTGAATGCCCACCACCCAATTACATAAACATCCAAACCGTGTAGCCTGCAACAGACTGTTGGGGCAAGTGCTGTTAGCGAGTAGCAGCACCTATGAAGGCCGGCACGGCACACGAGGGGGTGGGTGGCCAACACCACGCCCGGCCGCCTTTGTCTTCCCGGTGGAGATGTTTACACACCACACCGGGTACTCGTTTGAGGCCGAGTCGACCTAGAGGAGGCCCGGGACCGGTTCTGATAATTGTCACTGGTGTTGGTGGCCATGAGCGGGAATCGAACTCGGTTCGACGGGGTTTGTAGCGCAGCGTAGTGCTAACCGCTACACTACCGCTCCCCACACACACCCACACATCACCCACACACACCCACACACCACCCACATACAAACATCCCCCAGACATCGCCGCTACGGGGCTGTAGGGGTGAGCGCCAGTGACCGAGTGCCGGTCAAGGTGAGGCACGGCACATGCGGAAGCCACGTGGACAGTAACCCCCACGCAGAGCCACCTTTGTCTCCCCGATGCAGACGTTTCACGCACGCTGCACGCTGCACGCTGCACGCTGCACACTGCACCGGGTATTGGTTTTAGAGCAGGTTCGAGCCGGGTTTAGAAACCGGATCGTCAAAGATGGAACTCGGGTCCCGAAGGTTCATAGTGCATTGCGCTTGCCACCGAGTCACCATTCCACGCACACAGGACAAAGGTCCCCCGTATAGCCTGTAACAGACTGTTGGGGAAAGTGCTGTTAGCGAGCAGCACCTATGAAGGCCGGCATTGTGGCACACGATGGGGTGGGTGGCCACCACCGCGCCCGGCTGCCTTAGTCTCCCCGGTGGCGATGTTTACGCACCGCGCACCGGGTACTCATTTGAGGCTGAGTCGACCTAGGGAGAGGCCCAGGACCGGTTCAGATAATCGTCACTGGCGTTGGCCGTGAGCGTGAATCGAACTCGGGTAGTGCAGCGCTGCTAACCGCTACCGTAACACAAACGTACGTACGCGCACACGCACACACGCGCGATTCCTCACCGCCCATCACCACCATTACCACTATTATTGCACGGCGGATTGTCCAGCGGTTTCCTTTGTCACGCAATCAACGCCTTCCGTGGCGTGTGAATCACCGCCTTCCGTGGCACCTCGTCGCGGGCCCGGGAGTAAAAGGACGCCAGCAACGGCGACGTTGACCACAATGCAGTGCGGAGAGACTCCGGTTCCCCGACGGGAGCGGCCTTCCTGAAGTGCAGGCGCCCAGCCGGCGCCGGCGTCACCTCGCGCGGTGTCGGTTCACACCCTGAGACGGGACGGTGGGGGGGGGGAGGGGATTCTCGGTGTCATTCAACGCCACGCGGGGAGTCCGAGTCTGGGCCATCGGCCGTCGCGGTCCCGAGGCAGCGGCAGCAGCGTGGGCGGAAATCGCCGCCCGTGTCCTCCTCGTGTCTCTCGTGTCCCCTCGTGTCTCTCGATGGATGGGACGTCGCTGTCTGGATCGACCTGAAACCACACCGAGGCGCAGCAGTGGCGAGATGTTAACTCCCTCGCCCGGCATACAGGAGGTCGTGGGTTCGATCCTGACCATGACGCCGGTATATATTTGGAATTTACGTGTTTCTCTACCCATGGACGCATGGATTTCTATCCAGCTCCTCCGGTTTTTGCCTTCACATTTAGAATCAACATCGTGCGTTGAGAGTATTTGGCTGCCGTAAGCTTCCACGTGATAAGCCACTTCGTTGAGCAATCATTTGTGGCCACATCACTTCATGAAAATGAGCTACACAGCTCAAACTAAAAAGAAAAAAAAAACGTTACAATTGAAACAGCCGATCTCAGAAGCATGAAGCCATTTCTGCTGGCCAATCACAGCTATTCTTAGTCATATTTAGAATCAATGCGCGTTGAAGAGAGTTTTGGCTGCTGCTGTGAATTTCCACGCGACGACGGTGATGAGCCACTTCATTGACCCTGATAGCCAGGGTCGCTTCTGACAAAAACAGCTTTTAGTAGCTCAGCGAGGCCTTACCTGGTAACGTAAAAAAATACTTTTAACAGTTTCATAAATAGTTAAGAATAGCGAGCGTGGTTCAACGAGCTGCGCACCTCACTTGGGAGCTTGCGGTGTCGTCGTGGAGAACGCTCAAATCTTTGTCTCGGGGCCGTCGGACGCCTGGAAGGAGTCGCGGATGCGTGCCACCTCGGACGCGCAGAGGTGCCCAAACACCTTGACGTACCAGTCGGAGGTTCGACCCCTGGGCGCGGAGCAGGGGAGAGACAGGTCAGGGATGTGGCCGCGGGGGCTAAGCGACGGCCCCCGACTTCGGCCGCCCCCAAGGACCACGCTCCTCGTCACAGCGCAGTGGTGGGCCTTAGAGGCTCCCGGCAAGGCGAGGCCATCACGGCGGACCCTTGGCCTGCCATCATCACGGTGGACTCTGGGCCTTGCCTAGTTTACCTACTGGATCGACTGTGCACGACACGGCTACGGGTACTAGGTTACTGGCAAGGCGAGGCCTGCCATCATCACGGCGGACCCTGGGCCTCGCCGAGTTTGCCAAATTTCTCCCGGTGGGATAGGTGGCCAGCACCACGCCTGGCCACCTCTGTCTCCCGGATGGTGTTGTTTACACACTGCAACAGGTACTCATTTGAGGCCCATGACCGGCTCAGATATTCGCCACTGTTTTTTTATTTGTGAGCGGGAGTCGAACTCGAGTCACCGGTTTCATAGTGCAGCTCGCTAACCTCTAAGCCACTGCTCCCCACACTCGCACACACTCACAAACACTCACAAACGCAACACTCCCACACTCACAAACACTCACACAAACACTCACAAACACTCACAAATGCAACACTCCCACACTCACAAACTCACAAACACACTCACAAACACTCGCACACTCACAAACACTCACACACGAGTGCTGGGTGACGTAAGCGACCACGGTCACATGGGGCGATGGAGCCATTCCCGTCGTGCACAGCAGTCAGGAAGGCGCTATGCTTCACAGACAGCCTGCCGTAATTTCACGGTCAGACGCGATGTTGCTACGTGGATTTGCCCAATCATTTCTCAAAGTAAGGCAAATTTGGAACCGTGATGCCGAATGACGGCAAAGCAGCCGGCGCCGGTATCCTTTTTTTGATGTTGTTATAAAACGCCCCGCGGTATTAACCGGGGCGGCCACCAGGCCCACACCGCGAAGCTCCACAGCGAGCAGGTAAATGCGCGAGCACTCGGCGCTATCGCAGCGCGGTCGCTACCATCGCCCGGCACGAATAGCGGCCGCCGAGCTGAAGCCGGGGCGGATCGAGAGACCTGCCGTGACGCGAGGCGCACAGCCGGCCCGAACTTTGCAAGCTATTAACTGTTTCAAGCTTTCTAAATAGGGCGGTGTGGCGGGCGGTGTGGCGGGTGGGGTGGTGAGTGGAATCGTGGGTGGCGTGACGGTGTGGTGGGTGGCGTGGGGGGTGGCATCGTGGGTGGGGTCGGGGTGGTGGGTGGCGTGATGGCGTGGTGGGTGGGGTGGGTGGGGTGGGGAGCGGGGTGGTGGGTGGGGTGGTGGGTGGCACGGCGGGTGGCACGGCGGGTGGCACGGCGTACCGCATGTCGATGCGGCAGACGTAGGTGAGCCTGCAGCGTGCGGGCGCCAGGGGCTCCACGAGGTAGCGTGCGTCGTACGTGTGCGCGCGCACGCCGCCGGCCAGGGGCGCCTCCGGCGCCGGCACGGAGACGGCGGCGACGGCGCTGGCGCCGCGCGGGAGGTCGCAGCGCCACGTCCTGCGGCACGCGGCAAACCACGCAGACGCCGTCGTCAGCACCGGCGACGTCGGGGGCGGGGGGAGGGCGGGCGCGGGGACGGAGGGGTGGGATCGACGGCGAGTGGGGGGCCGCACCTGATCAGCACGTGGTCGCGGGTGGGCTGGGGCGCCATTGCGTCCGTGGCGAACTGCACGAGGTCGGTGCGGTCGGCGGCGGCGACGGCGCGGCGCTCCTGCACCAGCCCGTCGTCCCAGAGCGCCCGCTCGTGCAGCACGCGCTGCACCACCTCGGCCACCGTCGCCTCCACCTCCACGCTGGCGCGCCACGCTCGCAGCGGCGCGCCGTCCTCCACCTGCGCCGCCGCCGCCACCGCCACCACCGCGGATCAGAATCGGAGAAATCCGAAGAGCGATGGAGCTCTTTTTCCCCCCCACGTATGTCCAGTAGGAAAGTTACGATGACAAACACGATAGGAGTGCAAGGCAGAGGAATGTTAAGCTAGAGGTAAATCTGAAGGTAAATCTGAAGGTAAAGCAAAATCAGCGATGACAACGCAGTGGGTTTAGCGCCGAGGCTGTGAAGCCGGCGAGCTGTAGGTTCACATTGCAGGCCACGGCTAACATCGGTGGAGCGTTCCGCATTGCCGAGAATGTTTTGAATGCTTTCAGGATAGTCAGTTTCACCGGACACGATATCCGACACCAAGTCCAGCGGGTCTCCATCCAGCGGCTGATTAACAAATAAATAACCGTGCCCTTTACCCCCCGCACGACCGACGGGCAAAGAGACGGGGCGCGGGCAGACAGGTGGGCTGACGGACAGAGAGCTTGAAGGGTGGACCGGACGGACAGAAAGATGGACAGATCGTCGGGATGGACAGGAGGACGGAGCGGAATGGACTAACGAATGGCCTGACTGACTCACTGATGGATGGACGGCCGCACATGGCTGACTGACTGATGGATGGACTGACTGACTCACTGATGAATGAACTGACTGACGGACGCATGTCCAGGCGGGCGCAATCAAGACGACGATTACGGAGCGAGCGCGGCCCGGCCGCTCTCCGTCTCTCTCTCTCTCTCTCCCGCGTGGCCGCCCGCACCTTCCTGTAGGAGAGCTCCACGTGGTGCTCGTGGCTCTGGGCGGCCGTCCAGCCCCTGAACTTGTCCCGCGCCTCCTTGAGCAGCCCCTCGATCCGCTCGTCCAGCGCGGCGCGCAGCTCCGCCGGGTCGCACGGCGCCGGCGCCAGCGCCGCCGGCCACCGCCGGCTCCCCTCCGCCTCCCTGTCGGCGTCGCCCTCGCACGACGAGGAGGAGGAGGCGACGGAGGAGGAGGACGAGGTGGAGGAGGCGGAGGAGGAGGGCGACGAGGGGAGGGAGGAGCGGCGGGGCCGGGCGGTGGGCTCGCCGGAGCCCTGGCTCTGCTTCAGCATCTCCGGCGGCACCTGGGGGGGGGAGTGGGGGAAGGGTGGGGGGTGTTGTTATTGGATTTCTCGGATTTTAAAATCTCGCTTCTGCATTCGAGTTACAAGTTAATGATGTGCTTCAAAACAAGTTTGTATTTTAATATTATTATTTAAACAAAAAAAAAGATTTTCTGTTTATTTGCTTTACGTTTCATTGGCGTATTTATTTTGTCGCTTTCATTTTCCACAACGACACCGGTGACAAATTAGTGCCGAATTGGAAGCCCATGCGGTAAAGACGACAATTTCGCCGGCACTCGCCGACTTGGCACCGCGAATCAAAAAACCGGTCCGGAGTTTGGCTCGTCATGAAACATCGCCGCTGAAAAGGTCGCACGACTCCCAGGGGGCCGTGCGCGTGGCCGATGGGCTCTGCGGGAATTCTTATTTTTTGTTTGTTATTATTTTATTTGTTCTGCGGAGAGAGACGAATACGAAGGAGCCAGGGGAGACTGGTAGTGCAGGAACTAACGACGTCGATTGACGTTGTTAGTTCCCACAATTCGGGTTTTGACGGCCGCCGGTTTGCTCGCCGGTGCATCTCACGGCAAGCTGCGAGCGTCACTCCACGCACCTGGAACAGATTCTTGCATTCGGAGATCATGTGCGTGAGGCCCTGCGTGGCAGCGAGGTTCTCCGTCAGGTCCTTGTGGTCGGGCTTGCCCATGCTGTGCTTGCGCTGGATGGATCTGATGTTACGCACGGGGGCACGGCATAAAGACAAAGGACCACCGTGTAGCCTTAACAGACTGTCGTGGCAAGTGCTGTCAAGCGAGCAGTCGCGCCCGGGTAGGGTTGTCAGCACCACGCCCGGCCGCCTTTGTCTCCCCAGTGACGATGTTTACTACACACCGCACCAGGTACTCATCTGAGGCTGAGTCGACCTAGGGGAAGCCCCAGCACCGGTTCAGATAATCGTCACTGGGTGTTGGCCGTGAGCGGGAATCGAACTCGGGTCGCCGGGTTCGTAGCGTAGAGTAGCGCTAACCGCTACACGACTGCTCCCCACAGTCACACACACACAACAACAACCGCCATTCGCTACTAAGTGGCGGTGACGTCACCACGATGCTTGTGAGGCCATGTGAAGTGTCGAACGCCCGCTGGCAGGAGGTCACGGGGCAGACCCAGGTGCCACGGGTCGACTGAGTGAGATGACCGAGATGACTGGCTGATGCCCCCTACTGTGCCAACTTACTGTGCTTTAGCCACCCGGCGCTCTGCTCATTGTTGTGAGTGTCACTCCTCCCCCCTCCGTTGCTGTTGGAGAGCGACTGCCTCCAACTACCCAGTAGCGTCCTTCACGAGCCTCCTCCACTGAGGCCAATCTTGACACCGCTGGTACCAGTCATTGGCAAGTCCACTCAGCTCCACATCCTCCTGTACCACATCACTCCAACTCTTCTCTAGCCCGTGCCGCGCCCATTCAGCCCACTCGATCCGGCCGAACAAAAGCTGTTTAGGCATTCGGTGACTGGGCATGCCGGCTACATGGCCCAGCCAACGCAGCCTTGCCTGCCGGAGGAGCTCACCGATGGGACTTTACCCAGATCTTTCAAGGATTTGTGAGCTCCTCACACAATCCAGCCTGTTTAAACCCAGGATGGATCGTAGGCAGGCCAGCCTAAATGTTTATAACCGGCGAAGATGTTCAATTTGGGGTGTCCACGTTTTGCAAGCATAGAGAAGGGAGGGAATGACTGTGACCGAGAAGACCTGGTGCTTCGTGCGGAGCGACAGACCATGTAGCTTCCACACAGCGTTACGCAACCGATGAAAAGATAATGCCGCTCGACTGATTCGGAGTGAGACCTCCGCTGTCAAACCGGAGCCAGTCATGAGCACACTGCCCAGGTATGGGAAACTCTCCACTCTCTCCACAACTGCCCCATCACCGATTGGGAGTTGTGGGGGTGGAGTGTCCGATGGCACAAAATACCCAGGCAGGTGCTTAGTTTTGGTGGGGCTGATGGTAAGTCCTCACCTGTTAGTGGCAAGCTCCAGGTTCAGCAGCAGCACCTCCAACTCCTCTGAGCGAGCAGCAATTACCAGATCATCGGCATACATAACATGGTTGAGCAATAGGGAGCCATCCCTTGACCGCACCCGGGCATCGATCAGCCTCCCATTGTATGGAAATTCCTCCGGTACAGCCATTGAAGGCTTCACGATCATGTGGGAAGCCAGAGGACATCAAATGGAAGGATAGACGGAGGCACGGACGAACGGCTCGATGAACGGGCCTGACGTGTGGGGGAAGGGGGCAGGGGGGTAGTGGGGGGGGGGGCTCACCTCGGGGACGAGTGCTCGCGCTTGGCGGTGTTGAGGTGGAAGATGGAGGGCGCCAGGCAGATGGCGAGGTTCCCCGGCGTCATCTGGTTGTCGGCGACGCAGGCGGCGACGTCGCTGAGCAGGAAGAGGAGCGACTGCAGCGCCTCCCGGCTCTCGTCCGGCAGGAGCAGCACGGCGGCCTGCACGGCCGCCAGCCGCTGCTCTTTGGGCACGACTGCGCGGGGACGCACACATACGCACACACACGCGAGCACACACATACGCGCACGTACGCACACACATGCGCACACACGCACGCACACACACACAAGCACACACACGCGCGCACACACACGCGCGCACACACACACGCACACACACACGCGCACACACACACGCGCACACACGCGCACACACACACACGCGCACACACACACACGCGCACACACACACGAGTACACACACACACGCACACACACACACGCACGCAAACACACAACTAGATTTTAGAACTCGCGTCGCTCTTCACAGGTGGCCACCGAAACGCTCCGGCCCAGGCACGGCCGACCCTCCATCCCTGCGTCGGGCGCCCAACGAACTTGTCGCACCATTTAACATTTTAAATAAAACGCATTATTTTTAAGCAACGCTCCCGCCGGACGTACGAACTCGTCGCGACGCCGCATTCTCCGCTCCTGAGCGAGCGCGCGACGTGGGAGGAGTTACGTTGCATCTGATGGAACGGCGCCCAACCAAACCCGACGACCCGCGAGGTGTCAGACGAAGCCCGGATTTCTTCCCGTCCAAAGGACTTCTGTAACTTGAGCAAAGCGGCCGGGGGGAAGGGGGGCAGCGGACGGGTGGCAGCGCAGCGGCGACACTGAAAGCGACTCACGGCAACAAGGAGCCCGGGTTCGATTCCAGACTCGGGAGTTTCGCATTCTCTAAGCCCCTGCTCTGCAACGGGTTTCATGCCGGGATCTCCGGCACTTTCCTCCTCACCCCATAGCGACAAAAAATGGACGCACGCAAGCGCGCAGGCACACACACACACACACGCGCACGCACACACACACGTACGGATGCACGCACGCAACGTATCACCGGCGTCGGCCAAAACTAGGGCCCCTGCACTACCGACGTTTAAGCTGTGCATCCATCTGCAGGCGATCACCGGCCGGCTCTGACTGCACGTGAACTCCACACACTGGCGCCAGGCACCACGACCGTGCCATCAACGGGTGACCGGCATGCCGCCGACCGCCGCCGGTGCCGTGCGTGCCGCGCACGGCGTTTGGCACGACGCGCGGCGGCTCTGCGTGCCGCCCAATGCTCCCATCCCTCCGATCGCTCCCAACACTCGCGACGCTCCCGACGCTCGTCCGCAAAGCGCCCCCCCGTCCGCCCGCCGGCGTCGCGACGCGCCACGCACACTGGTGGATGAGCAGGAAGGTGTCGGACAGCTTGCTGGTGAGCAGCGGCTCGGGGAGGTCGCGGAAGTACTGCTTGAGCAAGTCGGCGACGTCGTACGCCGACTGCTCGCCGTAGTCGACGCCCTCGGGCGACGCCTCGTTCATCTGCCGCAGGGCCTCGATGCGCGACTTGACGCCGCACTTGCGGAAGAGGCCGACCTGCGGGGGGGCCGGTGGGAGGGGTCGGGGGTCAGGGGTCAGGTCAGGGGTCAGGGGGCAGCGTCTCCACGTCGACCGAGCCCGGCGTGACCGCCGCGTTCGGGTCGAGCCGAAGCTCTGGGGAGCGCGAACCCGGCCCCCTCACCTGGTCCCGGCCGTGGTTGCGCAGGTGCCGCATGGCCTGCTGGATGCTCTGGGGGAGCGGCTGGCCCGTGCGCTGGGCGTTGACGAGCAGCGGCACCCCGAACACGGCCTTGTCGCGGTAGTCCGGGGCGCGGGCCCTCTTCATGAAGCGCGGCACGGCCCTGCGGCACGCGCGCAGAGAGGGAGAGGGAGAGATGGCCGCTTTCAGGCCGCACGTCCGCGTGTCGCCCGGTAGGAGGCGGTGGGTGACCCTGCTTCCTGCGTGCGTGCGTCATCCCACCGGCGTCACTATGGAATCACGCAACGGTTCGACTCGCTACGGACGAGGCAGAGGTCGCAATCGGGTACCCGATACCCGTACCCTACCCGATACCCGGCTACCCGTACCCAGCCGGGTATGGGTACGGGTACCCATTTGCGACCCTGGTGCGGCCGGGTATGGGTACGGGTAGGCCGTGAGTCACTGGTGAGTCACCGTTTGTCACTCATTTCGGGTAGGGTACGGGTAGGGAACGGGTACCCGTACCCGACCGGGTACGGGTAAGGAAACAAAACCCGTTTGCGACCTCTGGGACGAGGTCAGGGGGGTCAAGCAAGGCCCCCGCTGCCCGTGAAGCGGGCAGTGCGCCATTGCCACGGCTGCGACGCTGTGGCGGTACCAACCGATGTCTGACCGCTGCTGCCTGCGTGTGCACGTGTCTCTGTGTGTGTGTGTGGAGTGCCTGGGGAGAGCCACCGTTCCCCAGAGACACACACAAAGAGACACACACACAGAGACACACGCACACGGGTTCATGTGCGTGTGTGCGTGCATTTCTGGGAAGTGCCACTGCTTGCCAGACACAACGAAAATAAGACAAAGATCCCCCATATAGCCTTAACAAATTGTTGGGGCAAGTGCTGTCAGCAAGCACCTATGAAGGCCGGCACGGCACACGAGGAGGTGGATGGCCAGCACCACGCCCGGCCGCCTTTGTCTCCCCAGTGACGTTGTTTACACACCGCTGAGTCGACCTAGGGGAGGCCCAGGACCGGTTCAGATAATCGCCACTGGTCTGGGCCGTGAGTGGGAATGGAACTCGGGTCGCCAGGTTCGTAGTGCAACACACTAACTGCTACACTACCGTGTGTGCCAGATACACACACGGGGACACACACGGACACACACACGGACACACACACACATGGACACACACACACACACGGACACACACACACACACGGACACACACACACGGGGAAACACACACATACATGGGGACACACACGGACACACACATACACACGGACACGCACACGGACACACACACGGACACACACACACGGGGACACACACACACACGGAAACACACACACACACACACGGACACACACACACACACGGAAACACACACACACACGGACACACACACGGACACACACACGCGCGAGCTCGTGGCCGGAGGGGTGTAGCAGCCCGCTCTCTCACCAGTTCCAGCCGTGCTTGTTGGAGGGCGAGTGCTTCTCGATGAGCGCCGTGAGTCGCAGCAGGGCGAACCTCTGCAGCAGGTTGAGCTGCGCCACCGACTGCGCATGCAGCTGCAGCGCCGCCGAGCCGGCGTGGCGGGGGCAGTGCGAGCGCTGGAAGCTCGGCCAGCGCAGGCGAGCGCGCCTACACGGCGGCACGGAGACACAGAGAGACACGTGGTGACGCACACACACGGTGACACACACGGTGACACACACGGTGACACACATGGTGACACACAGTGACACACACGGCGGCACGGAGACACAGAGAGACACGTGGTGACGCACACACACGGTGACACACACGGTGACACACACGGTGACACACATGGTGACACACATGGTGACACACACGGTGACACACACACATGGTGACACACACAGTTACACACACGGTGACACACATGGTGACGCACACACATGGTGATGCACACGGTGACGCACACGGTGACGCACACGGTGACACACACATTGACACACACGTTGACACACATGGTGACACGCATGGTGACACGCATGGTGACACACACAGTGACACACAGTGACACACATGGTAACGCACACACATGGTGACACACACAATAACACACATGGTGACACACACAGAGTGACACACAGTAACACACACGGTGACACACAGTGACACACACAGTGACACACACATTGACACACACACAGTGACACACACATTGACACACACACAGTGACACACACAGTGACACACACGGTGACACACACGGTGACACACACGGTGACACACAGAGTGACACACACGGTGACACACAGTGACACACACGGTGACACACACATTGACACACACGGTGACACACACAGAGTGACACACACACAGTGACACACACAGAGTGACACACACAGAGTGACACACACACAGTGACACACACGGTGACACACACGGTGACACACACACAGTGACACACACAGAGTGACACACACAGAGTGATACACACACAGTGACACACACGGTGACACACACGGTGACACACAGTGACACACACAGTGACACACGAACACGCTGCGGGTCCTCTGGTTTTCCCCTCCACATTTAGAATCAACGTCACGCCTTCAGACTATCTGGCTGCCGAAACATTTCCGCGTGATGAGCCACTTTGTGGAGCTGTCGTTTGCGCGGCTTCTGAAAGTCGCGTCTGAAAAACAAGCTACGCGGCTCGGTGGGGCCTCAGCTGGCAAAATAAAAACAAGAGTTTGGTGCGGTGTGTCGTAAACATCGCCACACTCCCCACTCGTGCGACACGGTGCTGGTTCTTTCGGTAAAGTCACGTAGAAAAAAATGAAATTAAATAATAATAGAAGACGGCGTTTCGATTGCTGCATAAGCAACCATCATTAGGTACGAATGAATGAGAAAACAAACCTAGTAAACTTGAAAATATAATGCAATACAACACAGAGTCAACTAACAACAGTCAACACCCCACCTGGTTGATTACGTTCTTCCGAAGAGTGCTATATTTCAGAGAAAGACAAAACATAGACACGGAGACACACAGACAGACACGCAAGCAGAGAGAGACTCACACAGTGTGTGTCTCTCTCTCTGAAATTTAGCAATCTTTGGAAGAACGTAATCAACCAGGTGGGGTGTTGACTGTTGTGTTAGCCGACTCTCTGTGTTGTATTACGTTCTATTTCTGAGTTTACTAGGTTTGTTTTCTTATTCATTCGTACCTGATGACGATTGCTTGTGTTGCAATCGAAACGTCATCTTCTATTATTATTTAATTTCATCTCTTTCTACGTGACTTTACCCAAAGAACCAAAGAGTAATTCCCGCAGTCACGAAAGCTTTGAATCTAGTTTGGTTTGGTTTCACACCGTGCCTCAGGATAGGATGCAGACTATTTCGGAGCTTGCGCTCGATCCCAACCCCCCCAAAATCCCTCCTGAGAGACGGCGACTCCGAGCTCCGTGCGCACGCCGTTCAAAATCTCCGTCACCGACACACGATGGCGCCCGCACCGCGGCGCTCACGCACGCGGGACGCGTCGAAGCCGCTCACCGGTTTGGCCTCGTGAGCGACGCCCCCACGCCCGAGTCCCTCCGCTCCCGCGCGGCGCCGCCCTCCGCGTCGTCCAGCTCCGGTAGCGACTCCGCCGGCGGCACCGGCGACGCCGCCACCGCGTCGTCTCCCCGCCCCGCGCTCTCCCCGCCCGGCTCGGCTCCCTCCGCCGCCGAGCCGAGCGACGGTGCCGAGCCGGACTGGGCCTCGGAGAAGCCGGCGCCCGCCGCCGGCGCTCTCCGTCACCTCGAGCTCGCTCCACACCTGGCGCGTCCACGAGTCCACCGAGCGCTGCATGTCGGCCACGTGCGACAGCAGCGCGTCGAAGCCGCTGAACGCCCCTCCGCCGGCGCCACCGGCGTCCGCGTCGGAGAGGTCGCCGGCGCTGCTGCTGCCGCCGCCGCCGCCGCCGCACGGCACGTTGTCGTAGAGGCTCAGGCGGCTGCCCGTGGAGCCGAACGAGCTGCTGCGCTGGCGGTGGCATCGCCGGTGCTGCCCGCCGAGGCTGCCGTAGCCGTGCTGGTGCTGGAAGGGGTGCCGGGCGTGGCGGGAGCCGGCGGCCGGCAGGGACTCGCGCGACGCGTCCGTGCCGTCGTCGTCGCCGTCGTAGCGTGCGTCCCCGAGCCGGCCTCCGAGGAAGAACCCGCCGTCGCCGAACCGCCCGCCGGCGCCGCCCGGCCCCCGGCCCGTGGTGGGCGAGAGGCTCTCGCTGGAGAGGGCGCGCGGGAACGTGCCGGGCTTGTGGTCGCGCGGCAGGTGGAACGCGAGGCTCTCCTGCGAGCGCGACGCCGCGCCGTTGCGCCGGTTGCGCTCGGCGATGGCCGCCAGGCTGGAGTCGTCCCCCCGCTCGTCTCGGCCCCCCCCCGCCACCCCGGCGAGCCTCCCGTCGCCGTCCCCGGCCGCGTCGGCGAGGCCCGGCCGCGCCGCGGCGCGGTCCGGGGCCGGCCTCGGCACGGGGCCGCTGATCACGAGGGGCTCCTTGCGCGAGGGAAGCGTCGCCGCCGCCTTGCGCCGCTGCTGCTGCTGCTTGCGGAGGCGCAGGTTCTCGACGCGCTTGAGCAGGCTCTTGGCCTTGGAGCGGTGCTTCTCGTCCGCCGGGGAGGCGTCCGGGAGCTTGCGGCCGAGGACCTCGCGCGCCAGCGCCGCGGGCAGCGTGCTCGCGCCCAGGTCGCGCATGGCTCGCCCGTCTCTCTCTCGCGCCGTCGACGACGTCGACGACGACGACGATTTCGCCGGGGAGGGGCCGGGTTCGGCGGCGAGGCCGCCGGGGTCCGAACCGAACGCTGCGCCGCCCGCCGGGCGTTCGGGTCGCGCCGTCCTTCCGGGGGCGGCGTCCGCCGCGGCTTTGCCGCCGCCGCCGCCCTCCGCGAGCACCGACAGCGTCTTGAGCGGCTCGCTTGGCGAGCTCACGCGGCCGCCCGGTACTGGTGCCGCAATCGGCACACCCGGCACACCCGGTGTGCCCGGCTGGTCGACGCGCGACCAGCGCCGGCTCGAGCGCTCGAAGGTCCACTTGCCGCTCAGCGCGCACTGCTCATCCTCGTCGGAGTCGTCGCCCTGCGGTAGAGAGAGCCACCGGATTAACGGTGGAGAGAGCCACCGGATTAATGGTGGAGAGAGCCACCAGATTAACGGTGGAGAGAGCCACCGGATTAACGGTGGAGAGAGACACCGGATTAACGGTGGAGAGAGACACCGGATTAACGGTGGCGAGAGACACCGGATTATCGGTGGAGAGAGACACCGGATTAACGGTGGAGAGAGACACCGGATTATCGGTGGAGAGAGACACCGGATTAACGGTGGAGAGAGACACTGGATTAACAGTGGAGAGAGACACCGGATTAACGGTGGAGAGAGACACCGCATTAATGGTGGAGAGAGCCACCGGATTAACGGTGGAGAGAGCCACCGGATTAACGGTGGAGAGAGCCACCGGATTAACGGTGGAGAGAGACACCGCATTAATGGTGGAGAGAGCCACCGGATTAACGGTGGAGAGAGACACCGGATTAACGGTGGAGAGAGACACCGGATTAACGGTGGAGAGAGACACCGGATTAACGGTGGAGAGAGCCACCGGATTAACGGTGGAGAGAGACACCGGATTAACGGTGGCGAGAGACACCGGATTATCGGTGGAGAGAGACACCGGATTAACGGTGGAGAGAGACACCGGATTAACGGTGGCGAGAGACACCGGATTATCGGTGGAGAGAGACACCGGATTATCGGTGGAGAGAGACACCGGATTATCGGTGGAGAGAGACACCGGATTATCGGTGGAGAGAGACACCGGATTAACGGCACGGCCGTGGCGGTGCCGGATCGCGGCGACGGGAACGATGCGCCGAGGCCGCGGGCGCCACAAACGCGTCGAGCTGCAACACCCTCGCAACGTTTACATCGTGCCGCCGAAGCTCAAAGAGGGAAAAATATAAATGTTGACCTATCCCGAGTTTAGATGCAACGCTACAGCGCATACATATAACGCCGACAGACGCTACGGTTAAACTTTACCAGTTGTAATAAAAAAATGTCGTTTTAGAATTCAGTATTGGAGTAGCGTGCACAACTGCAGCTACCTGGCCATCACAAATGATAGCTCAAGGAAGTGGCTCATCATCATCATCACGTGGAAATGTATTGCAGCCAAAAACTCTAAACGCACTTTTTTAAATGTGGAGGGAAACACCGGAGGGACCCGGAGAAAAATCCACGGGGAGAGAGACACGCCAACTTCAAATATACAGCAGGAGCCAGGGGTCGGAATCGAATCTACGACCTCCTGTATACCAGGTGGGGTATTTAATATATCCTAACCACCGTGGTGATGATGATGATGAGAGAAAGAGACACGCAGACTCCAAATATACAGCAGCAGGCATCGTACAGGGTCGGGATCGAACTCACGACCTCCTGCATACCAGGCGAGTCGTTAACATCTCCTAGCCATCGCAGCGCCCCTAACAGGGCGGTGAGGTTACTCTGGTGAGGGGGAGACCAGAGGGGGAGGGGCGACCGTGGTGATGTGGGGCCCCCCGCTGCGGCGGTACGTGGGGGTCTCGGGCGGGGTGACGTCGCTCCGCGGTTGTTAGCGACGGTGAGCGGCGAAGACGGGGAGGGGGGGGGGTGGGGTGTCGGGACGCATGGGAGACTCACTCTCTTCCTGAGCGGGGTCGTGTCGATTCTCATCGAGGCCCACTTGTTAAGGGCATTGAGCCGTCTGCAGACCAAAATTCACACAAACGAAGGAGGTGAGATTCAACAACAAACAACAACAAACAACAACAGCAGCAGCCAATCCACTGCGGCGGCGGAGGCCAGTCCCCGAAGAAGCTCCGGGGCACGCGCAGCGAAACGTCGGACGTCGCGTCCAATGACGCCGCGGACCCATGGACCCCAGGGGAGCGAACCCCAAGAGCCGGTGAATGACGGATTTGAGAAGTGGAGCCGTCCGATGGGCCCCGTGCGTCCACTTTGCGTCGTGAAGCCAGAGCTTCACCGACATCCGAGCTCTCGGGCTCCGCTCGGGGAGGCTCCCGCGGGGAGCCGCCCTGCCCGTCGCTCGCCGAGCAGCCGACATTTGTCTACCGGCGGCATCCCTCGCGGGCACGCCCGCCCGTGCTTATATCCAAAGTAGTAGCAGTAGCAGTACTAGAAGTCGTGTGCTCGTATCAGAACTTTCCCTTTGCTTGCCCTCCCACCCCCGCCCCGCTCCAGTGTAACGTGAGCACGTATTTCTTATGCCGGAGCTGCGCTCGTACTCGTCGCAAACACATCCCAGCAGAGGGCCAGAGGGCTTGTTGGCAGCTGCCATGCGGCTCGTCCGTGGGTTCCCCCCACCGAATCTCAGGAAGCTGAGCCACACATTCACAGTTCCTTTGAGCCGGTGGTCTGGATAAGGCCGAGCACTCTGACACACGACGCGACGCACACATCTGTATATGGCGTCGTGCCGTTCAATCGACCGCACGACGGAAGTCGGCGGGGCAGGCGGCGGGAAGAGAGGGAAGAGAGGGAGGAGAGGGAGGGGAAGGAGGGAGGGAGTGAGGGAGGGTGGGAGGTGAGGGAGGGAGGGGATGGAGTGAGGGAGGAGACGGAGGGAGGCTCGTTAGCGGCGTGCGCGGTCGCAATTATTGAACGAACTTCCGACGCAGCGTGGAACCGCTGCCGCCGGGGGTGCCCGGGTGAAGCGAATTAATGAACAATGCGGATGAAGCGCCGCACGCACGGTGTGCTCCGCACGCTCGCGCTCCACAAGCGGGCCGCCCACACAACGGAAGAGGAGGCCGTGCGCTTTGTGTTCACGCACGGCGCAGAGGGAGGGCGCCGGGTCGCCTGCGAGGGGCTGTTGGGGGCGGGCGCCGCTACATCCGGTGCTGCCTTTGTCTCCCCGGCGTGAACTAATGCGGACGGTCTAACGAGGACGGACGAGAGCGCGAATGAACAAACCCTCGAAAAAACTTCGTCTGGAAAGCGCTCAGGAAGCGCTTTGATGTTGGGAGGAACGATGCCAGAGGAACAAAACCAAAAAACAACGCACAGCGCTCTTCCTCTGCTCCCGCTGCGGCGTTGGAAGCAGAGTCGAGAGGCTGCGATCGTGCCTTTTGTTTCGCACGGCGTTACCGCCACGGCGTTACCGCCACGGAATGGCCATCACGTCGTTGCCACCATGGCATTACAACCATACGGCGTCGCGTCCCGCGAAATCGCGTCCCGCACCCGACCCGAGCTTTCGTCCCCGAGGCGTGGCGGTGGTGGTGGTGCACCGGGCGATGATGGGAGGGCTGCTCTCACCTGCACACAGATTCAAACGAATCCCAGTCGAGGAAGTCGTGGTCCCGTTCCACAGCGGCGATGTCAATGGGGAACTGCGAATCTGCAAAACGGGAGGACGACGACGATGAATGTGTGGCTCACTGCACGAGCATCCAGAAGTTGTGCACTCGTGACAATGCAGGTCAAAAGGGTTGCGCGTTTATAGACGCACGTGCTTACCTGCTTAACGATGCACTGGTTTATGGATTGACATCAATTCTTAACCTCATGGTTGAAACAATAATGTGTAGTTGTATATACAAGCAGTCCTCGACTTACGAACACCCGCACTTACAGACACCTGCACTTACGATCCAGCTTCCATGAAATATTTTTTAACGTCGACTTGGAACGCGAAACTCTCGCATGTAAATTGAAACGCGGAACAATTTTGTTCAGCGGAGCGATCCTCCGTGAGATGTACTGAGTTAGCCTGTTCGTGTGTGTGCGCGTGTGCAATTGCGTGTGTCGGTGTGTGTGTGAAAGTGTGCCAGTGACGATTATAATTTGAACCGGTCCGGGGCCTCCCCTAAGTCAACTCAGCCTGGTGCAGTGTGTAAACATGGCAACTGGGGAGACAAAGGCGGCCGGGCGTGGTGTTGGCCACACATCCCCTCGTGTGTCGTTCTGGCCTTCATAGGTGCTCGCTAACAGCAATTGCCCCTAAAGTCTGTTAAGGCTACACGGGGGATCTTTGTTTTATGTTGAACTTCTCTCGCACCGTGCGTAGCCAACCATGCTCATCGCAAGAAGCAAATGTAGACATTTAATAACATTGAATGCATCATACACTGGTGGTGGCTACGCAGCGAGGGTTGGTGGATGGCACACAGACATTGTGAAACCTTCTACCGGTGGGAGTCGAGGAGGTAGAGGGACTCTTCACACACACACACACACTCGCGGACATGCAAACACGCTCACACGCACACACGCTCGCACACACGCACGATCATACACACACACACCACTAAACTATCACTCCCCACACACACGCACGCTCGCACAGGAGGAGCCGCTAGGAGGTGGAGCGAGTGGAGTGGATGGAGGGGGTCAAGGAAACTGGGGGAGGCCTTGCCCGGGAGAGGGGAGTTACCGGTCGACAACAACAACAACGAGCAGCAGGTAACCATAGGGGCAGCTTGGATCAAGAGGGTGCGTCGCGTGCGAGGCGCACGGTTTGTCGCACGCACCTTCGTAGAGCTGGGCGTACTGCGGGAAGCCTGCCGCTTTCAGCCAATCGCACGCCTCCTTGGCTTCGATCTCTGTGAAGGCGAGGGAGACAAAAAAGGGGAGACGAGAGAGGAATCTCAGTGAGGGGTGAAAACCAAAGACTGGTGCCGGCTTCGTCACCGGCACCGCCTTCCACGCCCCACGGTTACGCTGAACGGGCCTCTCTCCCTGCGCCGATTCACCGACAATAATAATTAATCCAGTCGATTGTCAAATTCAAATTCGTGGATAATCCAAGAATATAATCATTCTCCACGGATCTCTATGCCAAAAACGAACAATAGATGATGCGCGTGCTCAGTGATGACACTTTCCTGGCTCCCGCCCAGCAGAAGACTCGGCCCCACTAAGTGGATGACAGCAGCAGAGCCACAGCCAATCAAAATCAATCAAACTCCACCCCACCGTTATAAAGAGATTGCAACTACTGCACTGTAGAGGCGATTCACGTGGACTTCAGTTTAACATATTTGTTCGCTTTGAGCACCGTGTGACTTGGAATAAACATTTCCAAGAATAACAAATGTATAACTGTTATTAGATTATTAATTTGGGCTTCAGGGAAAAATCCACGAGTTTTTAAAATTTGTGTCAAAATCTCAGGCTCGCGATAAACCGCAAGCAGATAATGGAGTCTAATTAAATCTTATATCGGCTCATTCATGCTCAAAGCATCCCGTAACACTGTACATTAATTGTATATAATGACCAAATCCCACATACAGCCACTGCCAAGCAAATAAACACCTTACTACTACTACCAAGCTAAATCTAAAGTTATTAAACAAGTCAAGAAATGGCACCAACACCAAAAGTGCAAACGTCACGATAAATTCATTATCAGTGTCCAACTGGGAGCGGAATCAACCGATTTTCTCCTGCAAAATCTGCCTGTCGCCTCACGATGCTGGTCGAATTTAACTGGCGAAACGTCGTACTCAGATTGTAAATGTTGTGGATTTACTCTCCAACACACAGCCGGTGTAGTGCTGTACTACGCGACACTAAACCTTGCTAGTTGGATGTGTCGGGTGGTGGTGGGTTTAGCGACGCATTTCTATATTTACGCGATCTAACCCAACAAAAACCTCTATAATGGATGATATTGGTCGTGAAAGACTCCTACGACTACATGGCGTTAAACGACCTTTTGAAACATTTCATCGATGTCAACTAAATTCTTAAGTTTCTCCGATAGGAAGAATAAACAGCTAGTTATTTGCATATATATATATATAAAGCACACAGTACATGTAAAACAAAAGACCCCAGGCAGACGATACCCGGCTTTGATCTCCTGCAAAGCTTCTGGGGCCACAACCTCTGAACTGTATCCGCTGCAGAAACCACAGCAGCAGCATCAGCTGACAATGACGCTGATACTCAATGCACGAATGGGGACATTACAAACCCTTCCGGCAGTGTGTGGAGACTGTGCGTCACCATCCAAAGCAGAACCACGGAGCGTACGACAACTCGGGTGGCCGGTTCACAAATACGGAGGGAGGCGGGAGGAGGAGGAGGAGCGTCCGCCACTCCTGCCACAAATTATAATTATCTGGCTCAACCACCTCCGTGTAAAATTATAGTTGTTGCTATAATTAAGGTATTTAAAAAGCTCAAACGATGCATTATCATCTCCAGCAGTGGAAATTGCATATTCCTACAGCAGAAAAAAAGGTAAGTCACTTTTTATTAAAATGGCCCAGTTGTAGAAATTCCACATTCCGATGGAAGGGGGCATATTCCCCCGTAAGACCACGGCACCGCTGTTGATATCCCAACAGCGCGGTACGAATTTTGTTGACACCAGCAAGGCGACGAGTCGAGCCCCGGGCCTGCGTTTAAGACCCCCCTCACTCGCTTGCCTTTTGCCTCGACAACAAACGCGTCTCCCGCTCAGCGTGGCGATGTCACGTGACGTGCACGGCATTATGGGTCCCCATGGTCACAATCGCAGTCCAACATTTTAAAAACTTTTTTTTCTCGTGCTGGGCGTTCTCCGCTACTTCGACATCTCAAGGAGCTGCTGCCGACTGGCTGGCCTCCTTGCAAGACACTCCGGTGAAGAGGAAATGGTCCTAAATGCACGGCGCGGGAGTTGCGGAGAGAATGGCATGGGTGGCTCATATTCGGGACTTAACTCTTTCCCATCCGGATGACGTACGTCCATGTACGTCATCGTGCGCGTAGATCATCGTGCGCGTAGGTCATCGTACGTGTGTGTACGTTACCAGTTATTTCTTTTTCATATTCCGATGACGGAAACACAGAAGACGGAAAGATGGAAGATGTACCGCGGGAGGATACTGCACTGAAACTGCACACGTGGGTGAACGGGGACACCCACGACTTTGCAGTGCGTCTCGGGAGGGGGGGGGGGGGGGTTGGGGGAGGGTGAGCCTGAACCCCCCAACAACCCAGACAGCTAAACCCCAAACAGCTCCGGCGAGAAATGAAAGCCCCTGGTCATTCGAGAATGGGCCGCGGGAGACAATGTTGATCTCTTCGCTGATGAACGGCCCCCGCTGGCAGCCAAATCAACAAGTCTTTTTGACAAGTTCAGGGGCCTGCCTGCACCATGACCGTTTAGCGAATTCCTGCAAATGCATTCCTGGAGGTCGGCTCGCTGCTGTTCGCATGGACCGCGGACAACGAGCAGCCGTTCCTCGGCGAGACGAGGAGGCCCTACGGACTGCTAGAAGTCGGCGCTCCTTCAGCGGAAGAGGACGCCGACTCTCTCGCAAGGTGGCGAAAGAAGTTCAACGCACGCACGCACGGACCTCGACATTGGCATCTTAGCTCCTGGACACACTGCTGCTGCCACTGCCATCATCACGCACGAGAACGAGTTGCGAGTCTCTGCCGACTGGGGGAGCTCCGGAAAGACGTTTAAATCACCACGACAAGACCTGCTTCTACGAGACGGTGACGACACGGACTGGTGACAAGTTGAAAGTCAATCGCCACTCCCAAAGCTCGAGTTTGAACCAAGCGCGACCCAATACAGACGCCGCTGCAAGCCGCGTTTCCACCGCGAGGTAGTTAACATCTCCTAGCCACTGTGGCGTGAATGCACCTGGCAAGCGTCTCTCCTCGTCTTTACTTCCCCTTCTCACGCACTAAAAGCCAGGAGGTTAACACAGAGGGGGCAATTGCTTTGACTGAACATCTGACATTAATATTATCATCATTATTATTATGGCAGTAACTGAATAAGTTAGCAGTGAAAAACACCGTGGTTCCACTTCAACACCTTAACAACGCGCACAGCACACTGACAACAACGACAACGACGATGACGACGACAAGGACGATGACGACGATGACAATGACGACAAATGACAACAATGCCAACAAAGATGACTACCATGACGACAAAGATAACCACAACGACTGACGAGGATGATGACGACAACGACGACGAAAATGACGACGAAAATGACGACAATGGCGGAGTACATGACGACATCTTTCCGCAATTAAAACTTGAAGGCCACGACGGCATGACCTCTCAAGATTGGCCTACGGTGCCCTCGGGTAGAGTTGGTGGCACAGTGTGGGTGTCGCACTGCCCTTTGAACTCCGGCGACCCAAAGTTCCATTCGCCACCGCGGCCAAACGCGAGCGGCGAGAGAAACATTTTGAACCGGTCTCGGACCTCGCAGCGACCTACACTGGACCAGCCTGGCAAAGTCTTAATTAATCAACCCCCCCCCCCCCATGACCGACGCAACTATGTGGAGGCCTTCATCCCGGCAGCGGAATTACAGCCAACGTCAGTTGAGCATGGACAATTAGACCCAAGCCGAAACATAACATAGAAAAAATAATGTTACAAAAATATATATATTTTTATTTTAATTATAGAATATAGTATTGTCATCAGTGTGACATAAGTATACCAAGTTTGCAGTCGATACCACATTGGGAAGTGGGTAAAAATTGAGTTGCAAGATTTGAAGATACAACAACAGCAGAGTGAGTTAAATAAAAGGGAGTAAAAACGGGAGGCGTTAAGATGTTCAAACACCAAATAGATACATTTTGCAAGGAATCGAGTCTGCATTAGCCACACACAACACTTGTGGTGAACATGCCAACAAAACATGCTCTGATAATTACTATAATATATGGGCATTGATTGGCCTAGTCTCACCGCCAGTGTCAGAGCAGAGAACGCCACAAGTGCGAACGGTGCAAGGGCAATGCACTAGCAGAGCACTTACAGCTCGGGGTGAGCAGCTCTATCACGGGATTCATTTGTTACCAGTTTCAAAGTATGAAAAATAACTTTATTTGGATGCTTGCAAAAGGTACGACTGATCAAACGGCGTCGATTCTCCAGTCGAACCGCGAGCGAATCATCGGGCAAAGGGGCGGGGATCGTGAGGCCAGGAAATGAACCGAACCTCCAATCGATTGACATTTTTGGATATTTTTGATTGATAAACAACCAGTTTTTAATTCCGGAGGAGGATGCGTTCCTGAAAGGCGCGAGGGCGAATTCCTGAAACGGCGTCAAACCGAAGCGACGTTTCCCCACGAGAGACAAACACGGACAGCGGAGGGGGAGCGTGGGACGAGCCGTGTCTTCATCGCAGACGTACCCACGACGTTACGTGAACTTACTAAGCATCCCGCGCAACGGCAGTCAACTTGAACACAAATTAGACTGGCGTTCAATTTCAGTAGACTACATGACAAAACCGAAACACTGCACGTGAATAATAGATTGCGCTCTACGGTGCGGTACGTGTCTTTACGCACGACGCACGAAATAATGTCTGTACAGGGTAGTAGTGGTGGGTGGTGGTGGTGGTGGCGATGGTTAAGAGGCGACGGATAACGAGAAAGAATAAAACACAACGATGATACCGTCAGCGACGTGAGCGTGTGTGTGGGGGTTGAGGGCGACGCGAGTCGGTAGCGGCGTTGATGATAACGTCGCGTTAACTGTAACGTGATGACGGACTTGCGTGACGACGTAAATCGGGGGGGGGTTGCCGTTTGCAGTTTTTTTAGAACAAGA